AAATTTCAGTATTTTACATGTTTTATTTACAATAGAGTTACATGACTAAAAACCATTGCGCGCCTAGCTACCGAACGTGATGTCGCAGCCATTGAACGTGATGGCGCAGCTATTGAACGTGATGACGCGTGTGGTGTGGTTGGATAAAAATGCCTACTAATTCGGTCCAAATTTTAATTAATTCAAAAATTTTTTTGTGACCGAACGAAAGGATATTTTTGAAAGTTTTCTTCGGCAATATTGTTCTAAATTATGGCAGGAATCGATTGGTAAATGTTTCAAGTCGCTAAGTTGTCTGGTTGCCGAGATATGGGCCAAAATCTGCATTTTTCGAGGTTTTTTGGCTTTTCCGGGAAATCCATGAAAGAAACCCGGAATTTTTATGGCCTATGTTCATCCTCGTAACTTGCTTAACATAATTGCTTTGGAACTAGTCCTCGATATTGCTTCGTTGAGGAGGAGATACGACTTAAAGCTGCGGACACACATCCATCCATCCATTCATTCATTCATTCATACATCCAGAAATGACGAGTTAATAAACGCAATTCTCCAGAATGGAAATTGCGCTAAAAAGAGCCATCGTGACGGGTACGGGTATACAGCTAGTATATATATATATATATATATATATATATATATATATATATATATATATATATATATATTCTCTCTCTCTATATATATATATAAATAAAGAGCCACCGTGACGGAGTACGGGTATACAGCTAGTATATATATATATATATATATATATATATATATATATATATATATATATATATATATACACATATATATATATATATATATATATATATATATATATATACATATATATATATATATATATATATATATATATATATATATATATATATATATATATATATATGTTCTCTCTTTCTCTAAATATATATATATATATATATATATATATATATATATATATATATATACACATATATATATATATATATATATATATATATATATATATATATATATACAAGTAAGATTGTCCTTTGTGTACTGATTTATTTGGGCAACAATCACTTTATCAATCTCAGTTGCACATTATTTCAAAATTATTCCTCCCAAATACTGCTTTTACATAGAGGAGAGGAGACGATTTGGGGTGGGCAGGGCGGGTTTACTTCCCTTGTCGCCAGCAATGACACTAATGCTAAAGATTTATGGTCTCAGACACAGAAAAAAAAACTGAAGAGCGACACTGTGACTGTCACTAATTGAAACTTGGTAAACCACAACCCACACGATAACAGACAAAAAAAAAATAATTTAGAACATTACACACTCAAAGGGTAGAACTACACACGCAGAAACAATAACACAGAATCAATGACACGTAGATGTATGTGGGCTGAACGGACAACAACATTATCAAGAAAACAACAGAGAGGCGTGGTCTACTTATCGCGTGTCACCGGGAAATAGGGACCTACACTTTTTCTCTGTCCGCGCCCATTACATAATCAGCTTGCGAAAAAACAAGAAAAAAACCCCATGTAATAGGATCAGAGCTAGCCACAGTATGATCATTGTTTAAAAAACTTTCTGGGTGATGGATATGTGTTTTCGTTTCGTAACGGGTTTGTGCGTGATTTATAATACCCGATAAATCCATGACCTGTTTTGATATTGACATTGCTAAGGCCAGAAACATAAATGTTTTCATTATCAAATGATGATCGAATACCTATGTGATCAGTTGAACCTCACACCTGCCAGCAGAGGGGGTAGGGGGGGGAGGTTTTAGGAGGTTACAGCTACCTTTTTCCCATTGACCCCCAAAACGAGTGGGGTGGGGTGTGGGGGGTTAACACAAGGAGCGATAATACTCAATCATAATTTAAAAACATTTAGACGAAGTTAAGTTTAATTTCAACCCAATGTTGCTCTTTGTAATTTTGTTTTACACTTCAAAGTTTAATTTAAATATATTTAATTTGAAACAGCTAGCCGCGAATATCACAGCTTCGACATAAGAACAGTTCATTGCTTAATAATAATCGGCGTGTATCTAAAGCAGCAAATAGTGTTAAGCAGATATATTTTGTAGTGAAGAGTGTCGTTAATGAACAACGGTCGGCATGGAAAATAATAAGGAATATCAAAATGTCTATATCTAAAATAGCTTGATGTTTCGCTATCTAGTAGATAGTGTAAGGATTGTGTAATTGTACTAACAAGTTATCAATACAGACGTTGAAGAGGGATCGGCGTGGTAAGCCGGTAAAGTACCGAGTTCGAAACGCATGGGAACATTAACCTCGATAGCTGCAGATAGTAACCCATCTAGAGCAGAAAGAAGAGCAGTCATTTGTTTCCTTCCTGACGCTATCCCTATCCCCGTACCCGTACCCTTACCCTTACCCATACCATTCCCATTCCCTTTCCAATTCCCATCTCCATCCTTATCATATTCGTATCATCCTTATACATATCACCATCCCTATGCCTCGCAAAATTTTATACCTGTGCATTTTCCGATCTAATTCCCTACCCCATTTCATTTTAAGTCTCCTTCTTCCTATCCAGTATCAAAACTCTAACTATTCATATCCGTATTCCATATCCTAATAATTATACCAATTGCTATCCTAATCAATATTTCTATCACTCCCTTATCTCGTTTATTATTCTAATCATCCTTAACATCATTATCATTCTGATTATCATTATTATCCTTAATATTGTGATCCTCATTTTCCTTATCTCTATTCCAATCTCTATCCCTATCTTAAGCCAATCTGATTATGAGATTAGCATCATAACCATTGAAATTAACATTAACTCTACCATAGCTATAAAGAATCTAATTCTAGCTTATCTTACACTAACCTCAACGTATCCTATCGTTTTAAATTGTTTTCTGAAATTCCATTCATGATTTAATTATATTTTTTTTAAATAGAGTTGCATGACTAAAATTAATGTGCACATAATGAACATGATAAAGTGCTTATAATAGTGCGGAATAGTTGGATAAGACAGCCTACTAATTTGGACACAATGTGTTAATTAATTCATAAAAATTCTTAGGCATCCAATCAAGTCAAATTTAATGTCAGATTGCATGGTCTTCATGACTTGACCCACGTGCTAACTTTGAATAATATAATAAAATTTATTTAACACAAATATGGAGCCAAAACTTATATAAAACTAGACTAAACAATTTTAAACAAAACAATCAAGACATACAAAACAAAAACAGACTTAATGGAACAAAACACCCAATTAATTTCGGACCACCGTCCATACACCACATAAATGTGACACAGAAACACTTCAACACACAGGCCTCAACATTCCCGCAGAATGTCCCATCCCGCAGAATGTCCCTCCCTGTCCACATACCACATTCACGAACTAAAAACCAATACTACGCACAAGAAAATAGTCCCTAATACAACAATAACTTACATTCAGGATAAAAAGCAAAGTGGAGCCACACTCCAAAATAAAGTTTGCATAAATAATAACATCAAAATATAAACAAGACACAATGACCAGGCTATGAATCATTTTAAAATCAAAATCATATCAGCGCCATAATAGCGGACTACTAAAAACCACAACAATCCTCAAAGGAACACAAAAAGTGACATTCACCGTTTTGTAATAAAATAATAATTAAATAACTCCCCAGCCCCTTACATTTGTACACAATTTTAAATTAATTCATAAAAATTAAGTAGGCACCTAATTAAGTCAAATTTAATGTCAGATTGCACTGTCTTTATGTCTTGACCCACTTGCCAACGTTGAAACGAATCTGTCAGTGAGAAGTGCCCGAAATTTTGCTCAGTCGTTTCGATCTGGACAGATAGACTGACGACGGACTGACGACAGACAGAGAAAGCAAGTTAAATAAAAGCTTGTAAAAACGTTTTAATAACAAGTTTTTATGTAATTATGCACTAAAAAGTAGAAAATAAATGATTTTAACCATATTTAATAATACACTATCATTTAAATAACTATAAAGAAAAGCGTGGGTCACTTTATGATCTATTAAATATCTTTACTAATATTTAGGAAGAGACCCACACTTTTCTTTATATTATTTAAACGGTAATGTAATATTAAATATTTAAATAAAATAATTTATTTTATACTTTTTAGTGTTTATTACATAAAAGCTTGATATTACAATATTTTTAATGAATCTTTTTTTCAGTACTTTAAATTTTTTAAATTTAAAATAGAGTTGCATGACTAAAACCAATGCGCACCCAATGAACATGATAACGCGTGTATAATTGTGCGGAATAGTTGGATAAGACAGCTAACTAATTTGGACACAATTTTAATTAATTCATAAAAAATTAATTAGGCACCCAATTAAGTCAAATTTAATTCCTGATGACAATGTATTCATGTGCTGACCCACTTGCCAATTTTGAAACGAATCAGTCAGTTAGAAGTGCCCGAAATTTCGATCGAGCCTTTCGATCTATGACGACAGATAGACAGACTGACGCCAGACAGACAGAGGAAGCAAGTTAAATAAAAGCTTTTAAAAACCGACTAATATGAAAAATGCCGTTGTTTCGTTTATTAAATAAATAAATGAATAAATGAGTTTGCTATTCGCATTTTGTAGCCTATATGTTGTCATTCATCACTCATTTCTGCATGCTCATAGAATATTCTCGACACCTGATAAACACCAATCATTGATTTTCTGCATAGTCAGCATTTTTTATAAATCCTGCGATACTACCAAGCTACCAAAAAACCAATAATTTCGTGACTTGTGAAGTTAATCCACACCTAAAGCGTTTTGGTACCACCCTGCTAACCCTTCAAGTCAATATCCAGCCCCCGTCCCCCCAATGCTATAGTATCTCACCTCGCCCTTTGCGACCCAGCCCACTTCACACCTTACTTAGACGTCACGAATGGCCTCCACCCTCCCACAATCCCCTGGGGTGCTGGGTTATTTAAAGAGCTGAGTGCGGCGACGAGCGGCAGCTGACGGGCTGGTGGCGAGTGAAGGCTCAGGTCTGCTCCCAGGATATGTCATTTTGGTGACGGCATTAAGCCAACGTTTGTTTTCGGTAATTGGACTTTCTACCTAATTTCGTTATTCCAATTTTATTTCGGCATATGGATAATGTTTAATTTAATAATTACATTTTCAAAGTGGTGTAATTTTGTCTGAATTAAGGCTTATTAAAGAAATTTATTAATTTAAAGAAATGCGCTACTTTCGCAAATCACCTTTATTGGTATTGAAAAACTCTAGCTATATGTTTTCTAGTTTAAAATATTTGTTTCGTGTGAAGCCAGGACTAATAATTATTAAAGCCATAAAGGTTTAATTTTTGGATTACGTCATGGATCAAACAACAAAAGAACTGTCAGGGATTCAACACATCTATGCAAAAAGCGTAGAGCAGAGAAAGGTGTCTCACGATTATAGTGTGCCTAAACTGATTATAGATTTTAATTTGAGCCCTGGATATACGGGGCGACTAAACTAATATTCATGGATAAAGGGTTAAAAGTATTTGGCTTGGAAGGATCCTGATAAAGCATTATGAGAAAAACTGCACACTCATCAAAACAAACATTACACACCAACGTAATATATTTCAAATGTGCATTATTACTTGTAGTTCTTTTGCTGATGTGAAGACATCATCACATAGTTGACTGAAGTGTCAACAAAGTCGTCATACTAGTTCTAGAAACAGACCAATACCAAAGTCGAATCGTAGAATCTAGATAAAAAAATATTTTTGCTTTGTTTTTGTACACATATTTCTAGTTGATTATAGTTTTTAATGGTAGCTGAACGTTTTCCCGAATGTCATTTTCACGAAGGCCGTTTTACCAAATGGACAATTGCCGGAATGCGACAAATCCCCAAATTGACACGTATCTGAATGCGAAAATCGCCCGAATGGACATTTGCCCGAATACGCCAAATGCCGGAATGGATATTAACCTTTAGGTTTGCCCAAAGGACGTTTTGTCCGAAAAACAGTTTAATAGTATTATTACCTAGCTGACATGCTTAATACATTTGAATGTGACATTCTGATGAATAGCACAATTTTTAAGCATAAGAAAATAGAAAAAAAATTAATAATTTTTATCGTAAAGTCTTAATAAATTTGCAAATTAATAAAGGGTAAAAACATATTTACCTTTTCGATTGATGAATTAAAAAAAATACCACTTTGTCTAATATAAAAAAAAAACGAGTCTCATTTTTTAAAAGTATGAAATCGCTAAATAATGTCCGTTGAATCAAGATCAAATATATTAAGCGACTACGCTTCATTTTTAAAAACCTCACCTCAATCTGCCGTGACCTGATGAACACACAAAATAGGCTTAGGAAGCTAAATCACAAACGCGCCTCTGTCCAATGTCATAACATTGATATAATCACCGCAACACGTCGACTCAACAAAGTGCACAAAATCGATCATGACGCCACAAGAATAGCATGTTGCAACAAACATACATCCTCTCTACCTGCACTATGTAAAACATTAGTTATGTTCAACTTTCAGTCTACTGTCATTAAACAATAAAAATTGTTTTTAAAGCAATTTGTCAATTAAAAACAAACAAACAAACAAAAAATAAATAAATACAAAGAAGTGTTTGTTTATTAGGTTTAGAATTGTGTTGATTATAACTAATTGACATTCAATTGAATGTCAACTTGGTAATATATACTGATAATATATTTTCGGACAAACAACCTTCGTGCAAGTGGCTTTCGGGCGTTTGTCACATCCGGGCAAGTATCCGTTTCCGGCGTTTATCGCATTCGGGCAAGTGTCCATTCGGGAAAACGGCATTCGGGCAAACGGCATTCCGGTAAGTGTCTTTCAGGAATTTGTCATAGACCCTTTTCAATGTACCATAATATTCAGTGTACAAATACAAAAGTCACCAAGGCTTAGACTTACTGTTAACAAAAATTCATCGTGTAAATAAAAAAATCAATAAAAAGCTTTAAAGCTTAGAGGAATTTATTTTAGGGTTTCATCCTCCTGTAAAAAAATCCAACTCACGACGTCCATTAGATGTGATGAGCCCGCAGCACTCAATCGCTCCCACGTAGGCTACTCATTTTTGTGTGTACCCATAAAAGCGCTCATAAAAGTTGTGTTCCATCTTACGTGGAATAAAAAACTACCTAAAAACTATCAATAAATTATATAGCATACATAAGCTGTAAGCAGCTTGGTATCTTTTACATCTGTTAAAGGGCTAATTAAAAAAATGTCATTGTGCTCGTGCTTGTCTGTGTGGTATGTGTGTGTGTGTATGTGTGTGTGTGTGTGTGAGAGAGAGAGAGAGAGAGAGAGAGAGAGAGAGAGAGAGAGAGAGAGAGAGAGAGAGATTCAAATGTTTGTCTTTGATACAAGATAGGGAATTATTGCAAAAAAATAAAAAATAACAACAATAAATCCCGTGTTGAGAAGTGTTGTATCTTCACACCCCGTGGCGTTGTAAGGTTAGGTGTGGTAACTAATTGTGTCACCCCATCCACAAGCAACAATTTAGCATTTCCGGTTTGGTGTCACCCCCTCTCCTATACTATTCTATTATTGTTTTGACAGTAAATGTAGGCCCCTATACGTTTTTTTAAAATTTGGTTTCACATCCAAAATGGTGTCACATGGTGCGGACCGCATCCCACCTGCTCCCCCTTAATAAGACGACACAGTTAAGATCGTATTACGTTTCCCTCTAATTAGGAATGATATTATTAGAACATAAAGTCCACACTAACTCTATTAAAAAATACCTTTTAAAAAAATCTACCAAAAATCTATATAAAAATAATTACCCAATTAACACGACATTAACCTATAATGATGCCTGCCTATCCCTGTACATCTTACTCTGACGCCAGGCTTGTGATAAAGCTGATTTAGTTCAGTGTATCGATGTTCCATCTTAACCGCTCTCCTCTGGACTTAAATGTGAACTTTTCTCTACTTTTAGACCCCGAAACATATTCTGCCCCTACAACATGACGTCAGCAGCAGCAGAGATGACCGCCCGCACGGACTACCCGATGACGTCACCGTCGTTCGTAAACAACATGACGACACACGTGTACGACACGTACGACCTCTTCATCCACCCCCACTGGTACCAGTACGACCTGATTGCCCCGGCCTGGCACTACGCCATGGGCATCTTCATCACCTTCGTCAGCATCTTCGGCTCTCTGGGCAACCTCTTGGTCATGTACATCTTTGGAACGTAAGTTTTTCTAACAAACTATTTTTTTTATCTTTGGAACGTAAGTGTATCTAAGTTTTTTTCTATTTATATTTGAAACCTAACTCTCTTTAAAAAACAATGGTTTTTACAAGCTTTTATTGAACTTGCTTCTTCTTTCTGTCTGTATTTATGTCGGTCAGTCTTTCTGTCTGTCGTCAAAGATCGAAACTTCCGAGCGAAATTTCGAGCACTTCTAACTGACTGATTCGTTTCAAACTTGGTACTTAGGTTAAGACACGATGGCAATGCAATCCGACATCAAATTTGACTTAATTGAATACTTTTTTAATGAATTTTATGTTCATATAATTTTTAGTCATGAAACTACATTGTATTAAAATTTTTAAAGTAGGCTACGGAAAAAATACATTAAAAATGTTTTAATAACAAAATTTTGTGTGATTTTGCGTTAAATATGAGAAAATAATTGATTTTCTTTAAATACAAATAATACACTATTATTTATATCTTTAAATTTATAAAGAAAAGCGTGGGTCTCTTCCTAAATATTAGTAAAGGTATCGATAATATATTGACCCGAGTGATTTCGAGAGAACTGGAGTATTACTTTTTTTTATATTTTCGATTTCTGAAAAAAAGATCACTTCTACCTGACCGATTTCTTCAAAACTTTTTGCGTAGGTCTAAACTTGATAACACAGCCAACAGAGAAAGATATTAAGGCCCGAAAATGGGGATGGATCGGACACACGTTAAGAAAAGAAAAAAAAACCATCGCAAAACATGCATTGGACTGGAATCCCCAGGGGAAAAGGAGGGTGGGCCGGCCAAAGAAAACATGGAAGAGAACGGTTGAGGAAGAGGGCTGGGCTCTCATGGGCACAGATTAGTTAAGCAGCCCAAAACCGAGTCCGCTGGAGATGTGTGGTTGCAGCCCTTTGCTCCCCAGGGGCCATAAAGGAGTGATGATGATGATGATGAAACTTGATAACAGCATTTCGACATAAAGTTTAGTTGAATTAGATGATTAATTAGCTTAAAAATATAAATCAATGTTTCCTTTAATAAGGACCAAAACTTCACTCTTACGTACACACATTGTTTGTGTTCATTTGGTGCGTAACCTCCTTTTCTACACGGTTCTATTCATTTACAATCGTGGCGTGGGTCGCTATAGTATGTATTTGATACTTTTACGAATATTTAGGAAGCGACCCACGATTTTATTAATAGTTATTTAAATATAAGTAGTATTATAATATATTTAAAGAAAATCATTTATGTTATAACTTTTTAGTGCATCATTATATTAAATCCTGTTAATAAAACATTGTTAATGCATTAAAAATTATACGAAAAAATTTAAGGGAGACCACTCCCGCTTTATTTTTTTCTACAGCTTTGGAGTTACGTTTATTTTTACAAATTTGGGACGTAAATTAGCAAATTTCATTTTTACATATTTGGATAGTAAACACTTATTAAAATTAAGTGGAAAGAGTATGAATTTTTTGACCTGGTTTAAAGACAACGAGCTGACCCGCGACGTAGCACACGCCGCGATCTAGTTGTTTTATTTTCTGCTTATCAACAATTCATAACTTGTGACTTCGACACTACCCTACCACCTTGCCTCTCCCCACCCCCACCTCGCCCAGTGAAAGCAGACGTTTACAGACGACAATGAAAATATCAAGCAGCACTTATTATCTCCTCATAGTTTCAAGTCGTTTAAAACTAAATTATCTGCCCCTAATAACCGTCACTTATTCGAACCGGCTCTACTATTGTAAACATTCGGGGAAACCAAAGCTCACCTGATAGGTGGGGATGAGGGTGGTGGCTAAGCTGCGTGGTGTCTCGTATGGTCCCCATGAAGAGAATTATATATATATATATATATATATATATATATATATATATATATATATATATATATATATATATAAGATGGTGTAGTATTTGTGATGAAGTACGACAATAAAGGATATTAAAGCATGACATATCTGGGACAAGGGTAAAGGGGATGAAGGGGTAAGGACCGCACAAAATCTAGCTAATTGTAATGAAAATTTCAAGTTAGTTTATTATCCTGTTAAGGTTATATACATCATTACGACAGGGTGATGTACCGGGTAATGAACAATAATAAATTGAGCCCATTTAAATGGTGACCTATAGGCCAAGTTAAAATTGAATTCACGAAAGAACACACCATTTGCGGATCTTTATTTAATTATCTTTATTTAATTTTTCGATTACATTAACGTTTTGTCATCCAGACTCATGTAGATTCTTATATGGTGGGTTTCTCAATTTTTTTCACAGTACGAAATCTTTGCGAACTCCATCGAACATGTTCGTCGTGAACCTCAGCATGAGCGACTTCATCTTCTCCATCATCATGGGCTTCCCTCTCATGACCATCTCCTGCTTCAACAAACGTTGGATCTTCGGGAAAGTTGGTGAGTTTATGTAATAGGTGTTGGTCACTAAATGTATTTTCGTTTGTTAGTTCATTTTTTACAAGATTTTACTTACTTCACAACGTCCAATTGTGTGTTTGTAATTCTGTTTTGACCCACTTTTATTGCAGCGACTTCGTTCAAACTTTAAGATACATTAGACTTCGATGACAATACAAGGGCATCTATTTAGAAATAAAGTAATTAATACATGTTAAATGAGCTATTAGAAGTTAATTAAACTGTGGTCTGGTCGGTGGTATCTGTGGCGTCATGTCCACCAACTCTCCATTTCTCGGCCCCAGGCGTTGTATGGTCTGTTTCCCAAAAAAATTGGGCAACGGAAAAAAAAAACGCATCGGAAAAATGTCTACAAACAATGCGAAACAAAAAAAATGTGCAATCAGAAAAAACCCCCAGCAAATTGGTTTATTACCTATGGTTGAAGCGCCTGGTGTATATACATCTATGTATACATTTGTTATAGGAAAATCTTAGCAAATAGTATTTCTATGGATTTCAAAATATGAGAAGGTGTTTATTTTTCTATTTTTAGCAATTCATCTGTTTGTGTAAACGTGCGTTTCTATTTAATTTGTGTATAGCCTACATAGATATATTTTATTCTCATTTTTTAATATAAAAATAGAAAAATAAATACCTTCTCATAATAGAAACGCACGCATAAACAAACAGATGAATTGCTATAATTCTCATTGTCTGTTTTTATTTTTTTATGTGCGCATTTTTTTCTTTCCGAATTTTTCGTTTTGCGCATTTTTTCATGTGCGAAAGATTTCTCATTGCGAATTTTTCTGTGAGCACCAATTTCTGTTGCTTATTTTTCCCGGTCACCGGATCGTCCATTTGGTGGTATTTTTGACCTCATGTTGCATGCCCCTCAACTCTGTATTTCTCTCCCTAGCCTGTGAGTTGTATGGTCTAGTCGGTGGTATCTTTGGCCTTATATCCATCACATCTCTGTTTCTCTCCACCAGCCTGTGAGTTGTATGGTCTGGTCGGTGGTATCTTTGGTCTCATGTCCATCAACACCCTTGCCGTCATCGCCATTGACCGTTACAACGTCATCGCCCGGCCAATGAAAGCGTCTCACTCCCTGAGCTACAAGCGAGCGTTCTTCTGGTTGCTCTTCGTCTGGTGCTGGTCAACTACCTGGACAATCCCTCCTCTGTTTGGCTGGGGTGCTTATATACCCGAGGTAAGTACAACTGGTCAACTGCAAGAGCAATTTTGCTCAAATAAACCTTCACCACCTTACCACATAAATCACCATACTTTACATTTCACTACATATCATCTGCAATCCTACAGAATAAACACATCACGCGAGTACATCACAGTTTATGAAGGAATACCCACACGAGTTCACTACACAACTTCACGCCTCCACCTAGCTAACTACTTTACAAATGTCTCACCAAACCAACTCACATCGCCACTTCAATACCTACGTGATCTACTGTTTCCCACGTTACCTAACCATACCGCAATACCTCGACACACTTACCATACATCACCTGACTGTGCCACATCTCCTCACACCACTAACTGCTCCCCTCACCACCTAACCTACATTACCTCATCAACACACACACACACTTCACACTTACAGCTCTCTAACCTTACCATACATCCACAACCACTAACAGCCCTCGTATTCACCTAACCGTACAACACCGTCACATCACCACACAAACTGCTCCCCACACCACCTATCCACATCACCATCCTTCCACCCCTCCACCTCACCTGCTCGATGTCCTCCCCAGGGTTTCCAGACCTCCTGTACGTTCGACTACCTGACGAGAAATGACTACTTCCGGTCCTACATCCTGTGCCTGTACATCTTCGGGTTCGCCTTCCCCGTCGCCGCCATCTTCTACTCGTATTACCACATCTACAGGGCCGTGGCTAGACACGAGAAGGTACGTGGAAGAGGTGTTGGTACGCGGTTGTATGTTTTGGGTAGGAGGATTGTTTGAGTGCAAAATTGGTGTGCCTATTGTCTAAATACTTGCCATATATATATATATATATATATATATATATATATATATATATATATATATATATATATATATATATATATATATATATATATATATATATGGCATCAGTGAGAAACCTAGCTGTAAAGAATCATGACGTGTGTTAAGTAATCCTCATATACCCAGCATTGTCCACCCTAACCACAACCAACCAAAACCAAAGCACAAAATAAAACCGCAAACATAACACAAACACGAATGCAAAAAAAAAAAAAACCACAAAATCAAACGCAAACACCAACCCGACCACAAATACAAACACAAAGAAAACACAAACACAAACGCAAACAAAAAGGCAAACGAAAACAAACCCAAATTCCAACGCAAACACAAACCCAGCCACAAACGCAAACCTAAACTCAAACACGAAGAAAACACAAACGCACACATAAATGCAAAGTGCTCACAGTCTCGCCCGGGGCGCCAAATCGCACCATGCTGAGGAGTCGGCGGAACCGCCTGTTTCAACTTAGTAAACGACTATAAAAACCATCAAAGGCATAGAGAATGACGTCACATGGGACAATTAGGGAAATATTTATCATGAAAAAAGTTATAAAAATGTTTGAACTATGGCAAAGTACACTAAACGAATGTCGTCATTGGTTGTAGAATAAAAAATAGAATACAAAATTCAAGTTCCGGTTCAATTTCCTGATCCAGATACGATGAAATTTCCGGTTTGAGTAAAATTGAAAATTCCAGTCAAGTTGCTGGTCCGGTAAAATTTTCAATTTTGAGAGGTTTAGATTTAGATTTAGGTTCAGATGTCGTTTTAAGTTTTGGATCAAGTTTCTGATTAAAAATTAAGTTCCAGTTAAAATACCGGCTCCGTTTCAAGTTAATTTTCCGGTTTCAGCTATAGTTCAGATTCCGGTTAAGTTTCGTTTCCGATCAAATTTCAATTTTTAGTTTAAGTTCCAATTCAGATTAAATTGCCAGGCCAGTTTTTTGGTGAAATTTATGGTTAAGTCTGAAGTTCCATTGTAATTTCCGACCCCGAATAAATTATAGTCTCCCGTTAAATTTTGGTTGCAGGTAGATTCTCCGGTTCCGGTTAGTGGTTTAGCAGCCTAGCGCCCGTTATATATATATATATATATATATATATATATATATATATATATATATATATATATATATATATATATATATATATATATATATATATATATATATATATATATATATATATATATATATATATTCTTTGTAGTTCGATCTAAAAGTGTGCATTAAATATAGAGTACAGCACTTTTCCATAGCTTAACGTTAGGCAGCTTTTATCTTGCCACGTAACATTAACAAGCAGCATAACACCGTGATAATATCGCGTGATATACACATCTACACAGGAAATGGGTCAGATGGCAAAAAAACTAAATGCAGAAATCCGCCAAGGTCAGAGCGCCCAGAAAGCGGAGCTGAAGACTGCTCGGATCGCCATGACCATCATCACATCCTTCCTGCTGTCCTGGACGCCCTACGCCACCATCGCCCTGATCGCCCAGTTCGGGCCCGCCGAGCTGGTCACACCCTACGTGTCAGAGCTGCCCGTCATGTTCGCCAAGGCCTCGGCCATGCACAACCCGCTGATCTACTCGCTGTCTCACCCCAAGTTTAGGGAGGTAAGTTTGTGTCACCACAAGTTTAGGGAGGTAAATTTGTGTCAACACCAAGTTGAGGGAGGTAAGTTTGTGTCACCCCAAGTTGAGGGAGGTAAGTTTGTGTCACCCAAGTTTAGGGAGGTAAGTTTGTGTCACCACAAGTTTAGTGAGGTAAGTTTGTGTCACCACAAGTTTAGGGAGGTAAGTTTGTGTCACCACAAGTTTAGGGAAGTACGTTTGTTTCACCTTAACTACAGAGAGTTAGGTTTGTGTTACCCTTAGTTTGGTGAGGTAATGTTGTGTCCACATAAGTTTAGGGATCTAAGTTTTTGGTCACCAAAAGTTTTGGTGGTAGGTTTATCTGACTCCAATTTTAGGGAGGTAGATGGGTCATCTCATAAGTTTAAATCAGCCCACTTTCAGATATATAAAGTTTGTGCGTTGGGGAGGGGGGATGTTGTACTTTCGTGGGGATTTTTGTCAAGGTGAAGAGGAAAGGAATTTTGGATCATGTTTCGGTTTAAAAATAATTTTACACAGACTTTTGGACCGAATTTTCTAAAATTATGTTTTAATATAAATCGTAATTTGCATTGTTTTGTCATAATTAGTCGTCAATTATGCTACATTGAATTTAATGATATTTTCCCCCTCACTCCTCTATTTCGTCACAAAACAATCTCGCCCCCTTAAAACGACGTCACAGTTTAGCTGACCTTACCAAGATTTCTTTTTCAGTTTCTTAAGGGGATATAACCGGAGTGGTTATGTCGAAAATATTATTGAGTAGTTTCCCTTTCTAAGAATTTTAGTACCGAAAGCATTAGCAAATCAAGGTCAATGAGAGATTCAGTGGGCGGCGTTGTCGAGTCGGAAAAGCTCATGGTTGCTAAACCGAAAAGTCTCGAGTTCTAACCCTCAGGCAGATGAGGCTCGTTAGTTAGGGTACAGCACTCTTCTAGGAGAGACAACTCCAAAATCATACAACTACTGCAAATCCAAAAGGAAAAGCAGGCTGAAATCGGCGTCAATGGCCTAATGGCGCATAACCAGTTGGCACGTATACTTAATTGTTTTGGCGGTTATCCGTTCCAACACTAAAAATTAAGAACGAAGAAGAAGAAAATGACATTCATAAATAAAATTTCCCTAACGTCCACTTTCTTTTTTTTTAGCGAAATGGTCATTAGATAATTTATTGTAGGCATTAGACAAACGGTTGCCATGGATACTTTGTTGTTGTTGTAGGCACTAGACAAACGGTTCCCATGGTTACTCTGCTGCTGCGGTTTCTCGGAGAAAGAGAAGGAGGCCGCGTCTGCGGCGGTGACCGAGACCAAGTCGAAGATGAACCGGATGGACAGCGTCAACAGCGCCGCTGCCGGCGGCAACCAGAGCCAGATGAGCGAGGTCAGTATGACGTCAGCACCACCCGTAATGTCCGTAGGTTTTTTCAAATATATTTTTTTTCAAATGAGAATTTAAATCTTATTTTAAATTTACGCAACGAGCTACTTTTTTTTAATTAATGAAATAGTAACATGTGAGGTTCATTTAAGAGAGTAAAACGAACACTAACATTTACGATATTTGTAGGTCTATGTCTATTGAATCTATCAACATTATTATAAAAAAAATTAAAATAGTTAAATCATTTAGGGCTTACTTTTCTGGATAGTATAGGCCTATATAAGGGTGGACTTAGCTATGTAAAATAAAATTATGTAATTTCAAGTCCAAAATAATGTTTTTTATTAGTATTTATTAGTATTTAAATGCAGTGGAAAAAAAAAAGGAATTCAATTTCAAAAATTAAAAAGAAAAAGTTTCAATTTGTTCGGCATTTTTTGTTACATTTTTAAACTTTATTAAAAATTGCAAATTTTTAAATTAGTTATTATTTCATTTAAATCACTATCAAAAAATATTCTAAAAAAAAAATGAATAATTTATTTAAAAAAATAATCAATTTAAAAAATAAGAATTTGATTATTTTAAAAACTAACAAACAAATGAAGATTAACAATAAACAAAAAAAAAAAAATAACCTCAGATCAGCAACTTAGACAGTGACGTGGCTGACGAGCCGGAGCCAGCCGCCAGAGCCGGCATGAAGATGAAGAACATCCCAGCCAGGAGTAGCGCACCGGCCCAGCAAGACAACTCGGCTCTGGTCAAGGATATCATGCAGGCGTTAGCTGGCGCCATGTCTGCTGCCCAGAGCGGCGGTCAGCAGGTTGGTGTACTGTCGTCTGTTAGTTATGTGGTCATAAGTGTTATGGACGAGGGACGAATGTTGGTTTTCGTGAGTGGAGAGGTTAAGAAGCAGGATTTCATTGGTTGATATGAAAAATACAAGTTAATTGTTAAAAAAATAATTTAAAAAAAAAAAGATCATAAAAAGAGAAGAAATTAGGTGGAAATAGGTGTGTCAATCTTTAGGGCAGTATGAGTTTTTTTTTTTGACAGAGTAAGTTTTTTTTTTTTACAGGTTCTAATTAAATTTTCTGAAACGTGTGTCTAATTTCTTTAACTTAAGGGAATGTATGGGATATTCCCTCACCACATTAAATTTCTACTATGAGAAGGTGCGGCGATGGGGTCGGCGTGGTCGAGTCGGTAAAGCTCATGGTTGCTAAACCGAAAAGACTCGAGTTCGAACCCTCGGGCAGATGAGGCTCGTTAGCTGGGGACAGCCACTCTTCTAGGAGAGACAACTCCAAAATTAAACAACTGCTGCCTTGTAGTTAGTTCTTGGTTGGACAAAGGCTATGGAAGCAAATCCAAAAAGAAAAGCAGGCTGAAATCGGAGTCAATGGCCTCAATGGCACATAACCAGTTGACACGAAACGCTTAATTGTGTTGGAGGCGTGGTCGAGTCTGCAAAAAGCTCATGGTTGATAATTCGAACAAAGTCTCGAGTTCAAACCCACTGGCAGATAAATCTCGATCCACTTCAACCATAATAATTAAGAACGAAGAAGAAGAAGAAGAAGAAGGTGCGGCGGGTAGGAACGTGCATCATTGCTAAATCGAAAAGTCCCATGTTTGAACCCTGGCCAGATGACAAAAGTTATGGAAGCAAATACAGAAAGAAAAGCAGTCGTAGTCATTATGGCAGCAAAACTTAAAGTACTCACACGTTGGAGGAGATCCTGTCCAAAATTATAATTAAGAACGAAGAAGAAATTAGTTTATCTTTAAAGTGGTTAACCTGTAGTTTTACCCGTGTCATCCAGATGCCGATGTACCCCGCCCCCCAGATGATGGCAGGACAAGACCCCCAACAGATGCAACAAATGATCTACGCCATCTCACAAGGCATGATGAACAACGCTAACTGCCAGGTAACTCGCTCAATACATCAGCGATTACTGCCCTTTATATATATATATATATATATATATATATATATATATATATATATATATATGTAAGCGTATTTTATTACAATAATGACCCTACTGATGATAAAGTGCTTCACTTAGTGGCCAACACACCCTATCCAAGCTCTTGTGAAGTCCTTTAAACAGGATAAAAAAAAATCTTGTCCTCACTTAGCAGTCGTTCATGTCAAGTTTATTAACTTTTTGTTTTGATTTACGGGAATGTTCGGCAACTTGAGCTGATAAGATCAAGGAAGTTTGCACAGAGCTGAGATTCCTAGGTCAACATGTGAATTCTTTTATCTCTTGCGTATATTGCGCGTCGATGGCAGCACTTTCTATTTGCTGATGGAAAACTTCCGTGTTGCCTCATGTAGCCTCTTGCTATATACTACATGTAGCCTCCTGTAGCCTCTTGCTATATACTACATGTAGTCTCATGTAGCTAGAGGCTACATGTAGCCTCTTGATACATGTAGCCTCCTGTAGCCTCTTGCAACATGTAGTCTTATGTAGCCCCTTGCGACATGTGGCCTCTTGCTACATGAAGCCTCATGAAGCCTCTGTAGCCTCCTGTAGCCTCTTGCTACATGTAGCCCAGAGGCGTAGCGACCCTTCCCGGCGCCCGGGGACAAACTTTTCGATTTGCACCCCCCCTTAAGATTTCGATTTTCAACCCCCCCCCCCCCTCAAGATTTCGATTTGCACCCCCCTCAACCTTACAATTTATTTTTCCAACCTATTTTGGCGCCCCCTAAGGTCGGCGCCCGGGGACATATGTCCCTCTCGCCCCCCCCCCCCCTCGCTACGTTACTGATGTAGCCTCCTGTAGCTTCATGTTTTATGTCTTGTATCTTCCAGTTGCAGCTTTCTATATTTATGAGGAGTGCCTTTAACAATTCATTTCTCTAAAGGGCAAACGAGTCATTTCTTTAAAAGGTGTACCGCAAAAGAGTCATTTCTCTAAAGGTGTGTCGCGAACAAGCCCTTGACAGAACGCTTCGTCAAATCCCAGATCCTAGATTTAAAAAAAAGTAATTAGAGATTTAAATAATGTAAACCAAAATAAGATACCACTCCCAGTTTATTTTACATTCTTTCATGTGAAGTGCATGCAATTTTTTTTTATTACTGAATCAAACGCAAAGCAACCTTTGGTTCACCAAAGTCTACACACTATTTTATATTTTTTTTTACAAACTTTTATTTAATTCGCAACGTCTGTTTGTTTGTTTGTCTGTTTTTTTCGTTTGTTTATAATTTGTTTGTGGATTTGTGGCAAATCTTGTAACTCAATTTTGACACTTTCCTAATGTAGTGATTTCGTTCAAACTTTCCAGATACGTTTCACTTCTATTAACATACAAGTCTATGTGTTTAAAAAAAATAATTATATGTTCAATTAGTAATAAAAAATTAATTAAACGGTTTCTGAACTAAGGGGAGATAACAAAATTAAATCACTCGATAGATTACTGTATTCAATAACAAAAGGGGAGATAAATAGCTGGAAGTCTGGTGAGCCGTGGTTCACGCCGAATGTTTACAAACATAGACACGGTCGATCTAGTGAAGACTATTAGGGGCAGATAATAACGTTTTTAAACGATTTGAAACTAAGGGGAGGTAAAAAGATTTAGAACTTGCTATCGATTGTAAAATATGATCAGGGACGGCTACTTTCACGAGGCAGATAATCGTCTTTCAGAGATCGCCAGCTACTGATGGTGTTTTACAGCAAATATTTTTAGTCTTGACGACTTTATTAATTATTAATTACTTAGGAATCACTAAAACGAAGAAAATAAAACAAATATTTTAAAAGTTTTATAGCAACAAGCTTTTAAATTCACTGAAAATAAGTTTGCTTTGATATCTTTTACACATGTTGCGACAAAAGCTTTTATGAAAGAAAGCAAAGTTTTATTTTCTTATTTTCAGTGAATTTAAAAGCTTGTTGCTATAAAGTTTTTTTTTTTAATTTGTTTTATTGTTTCTTTATACTATAGCCTGATTTAATGATTGAATTTTTTTTTACCTCTAAATGATTTTATAACAATTAAATCACACAGTGACACACACACATACCCTCTCTCTCAAAACACACATACACACGCAACCACACACATAATATTATTATTTCATCCTTTCATAGAATAACGCTAACCCCTTCTACATCAATTCTCTACATCAATTCTCTACATCAATTCTCTACATCAATTCTATACATCAATTCTCTACATCAATTCTCTACATCAATTCTCTGCATCAATTCTCTACATCGATTCTCTACATCAATTCTCTACATCAATTCTCTACATCAATCCTCTACATCAATTCTCTACATCAATCCTCTACATAAATCCTCTACATCAATTCTCTACATCAATTCTCTACATCAATTCTCTACATCAATTCTCTACATCAATTCTCTACATCAATTCTCTACATCAATTCTCTACATCAATTCTCTACATCAATTCTCTACATCGATTCTCTACATCGATTCTCTACATCAATTCTCTACATCAATTCTCTACATCAATCCTCAGATTCCTCGACCAATGGGCGTGGCCGGACCTGCAGCGTCCCCTACGTCCCAGGCGTCACCCGCAAACGTCATCACCACCCAAGCTGACGTCACTGGCTGCCACACGAACAAGGCCTTCCAAGCCGACTAGAATAAACCCATTCAATAGGAAACATCTTTAAAAAATTTACAACAACCCGGATCTACCACGTCTGCAGATAATTTCATAATTCAAACTAATTTTGGTGATGAATTAAAATTTAAAATTAAAATGGTGTTAAAAACCTGGCAAAAAATATTGTGAAGTTTGAATCGAATTGTACATGCAAAAATTGGATTCAATCGCGAAAAAAACAAACAAGGCGTGCATGTATACATGTATTATTATTAGTTTGGTTGTACAGTTGTACGTGTGTTTGTGTGATTTTTTAGTTATTTAATGACTGTTAACCCCTTCATTTCCTGTTATACACATCACGTGTCTCTGTAAGACAACAATCCAACGGGAACCTGCTATATAAAAATATCTTCTGTACACAAAATATTTTTCATTGTTTTATGTGTGAAGCCTGCACCCTATTAAAGTGTGTTGACTTTTTAATGCCGTTTTTTTTTTTTTAAAAGTCCTGTCTTCATTGATTTTCTTGATTTCTCAGCGCATGAAACCTTAATTTAAGTAAACCTGGCAAGGGAAAGGGGAGATAAATTATGGAAGTGTGTTTTATGCAACGTGAATAGCCCCCCCCCCCCAACTTGCGTTTATTGTTCTTTTGATTTATTTCAAAGACGCACAGCTCCGCTTTGTAAAAACAAACACTTGCCCCCTATCAATGCTTCAAGGTGGCGACATACACGTTTATGTATGTAATATAGACAGATTTCCCCATCAAATTGTTACAATGTAGCTGACCAGTGTGGCTTAGTCCCCCACCCTTTCCTTAGAGCCACCAAATATCTAATTACAAAAAATTAACCACGTTTTCCCATCACTGTTATTATCATTGTAGCATACTTACCTAAACGTCTCTACTTTCAATTCTTGTAGTGCAAGATTTAGAAAAGACTAATGACAAATACTAAGTTTTCAAAAAAGGCTGCAAGATTTAGAAAAGACTAAAGACAAATACAAAGTTTTGAAAAAGGCTAAAGCAAATAAAATTAAAGAAACTTACGAAGGGAACTAACTACCGTTAGGACAGTATGAACATCATTACTTTATAATGTCAATATATTATGAGAAATACTATTTTTTTCGCCACCTGTTTTGTAAAAGACAATGTAATTTTGTATAAGTAGTTGAATTTGACAAACGTAAGGCGAAGTTAGATCAATGTGGATAAAAGAAATGTTTAGAGAGATTAAAATCTGAAATATGTCTGTGATTGTAACAATGTTTAAATATTGAATTAAAAAATAAAAATAATCAAAATTTGCTTTTCTTATATATATTGCTGTACGTTCTTACAAATATTGCTTACATTTTCTTACGTGTATTGCTGTATTCTTTTGGGTTTTTACATCTAGACTGAGTCGGAATGTGCAATTTTGTCTGTACGTCTATTAATGTGTGTACCTGCGTGTCTGTGAACTCGATAACCTAAGTATCGTTTCAGTTATGTGAAAGAAATTGTAAATATACATATTATATAATTATATCAATGTATTATGTAGTTCTACATTATATGAACGTTTGAGCGATTTCCGGGAAGTGTTACGTACTCTACTTTTGGTTTCTAAAACGCCAATAATTCGAGTACCGTTTAAGTTAAGTGGACCATATTTCACGCATAATCATTATACCTTATTGCACAGGTTTTTCAAGTTTTGAACGATTTCACGTAAACTGAAGTGGTATTTTACTATATTTTCTTGGGAACACGCTAAGTTATGTACGAAATTTCAAATATAAGGTCTTATACTTAGATCACTTTCAATTGTTTAGTGAATCTGCGATAACCGGAAGTGGTACTTAACTCTATTTCTGGTTTCTAGAATACCGTTAATTTGAGTACCGTTTCAGTTAGGTAGAAAAAATTTGACACGTAGGGATAAGCAGTGGCGGAACACTAGATAAAAATGCCAGCAAATATATATATATATATATATATATATATATATATATATATATATATATATATATATATATATATATATATATATATATATATATGAGGGACTTTTTTACTAGTAAGTTTTAGACTGCCTCACTAAATTATAAATTAACTAATGAAACAATTCATAATTAAACCTTTTTCATTGCAATATATATCCATTGTGAGATAACAAAATGTACATTTCAGGCAATATTTAATCGTGTTTTTAAATTTATTTAAATAATTTTTTTTTCTTTCTTTTTTTTTTAAAATAAATTTATACACATCGAGTAAAAGATTAAATTAATTTGCCAAGCCGGTCAAAAGTATTTTAATCAATGAGGTTTTATAATTTCTATGGTTTCCCGTGTTTGTTTAATTCTTATGTAATTTTCGCATTTATATTAATAGTATTGAAAACATTTCTTCTATAGCTGTTTCATTCTTTAATACACCTTATATTGATAATAATTAAGAGAACAACTTGCTTTTTAATTAGCTTAGTACAGAATTTAGTACATAATTTATAATGATCTGTTTGGGCACTTTTATTAGACTATTTAAAAAGGGGCGATAAGTCATGGAAGTGGTTTGAAGGTTTGCTCATGTAGTTTCTTTTTCCACGCTACAGTGTGTGCAACAGTATGTGCTAGTTACTGCTGTAGTAGATTTTTTTTACAAGACTACTAATATAGTAATGTGCAAAAAAATAAAATATTATGGTGTTATTAGTCGGATTTTGGACCGCTAAACGGCTTAACCCCCCCCCCCCTCCCGCGATATAGTAGTTACACCACCCGGGGTCAAAGGAGGTAATACATTACACGCTATTTCCGATTTCTTAACAAATGTAATCAATGTTTCCTTTATAAAGTACTAATTTTCCGCTCGATTATACACACACAGTTTGCCAGTGTTTCTTTCAGACTTTTTTCCGGGGGGGGGGGGACTTAATATTTTCGGGGGTCGAACTCTAAATTTTTCGGATGGGGGGGGGGGGGCTGAGGGGGGGGGGCGGACACTGGTAGAAGAATGTATTTTCTGTGTAAATTCTATTTCGTTCGGGGGGGTGGGGGGGGGGGGGAGTGGGGGAGGGAGAAAGCCCCCCCCCCTCCGAAGAAATGCATGAAAGTAACTGCAGTTTGCGTTTAATTGATGCGGAATTCTTTGTTTTTCTACTTCGCTCTTCTCAATCTAAAAAATATAATTAAAGAAAAAACAACAACTTTCTATTGCCCCATAGATCGTGAAGTGCTATCTCCCTTACTGTTAAAATATACGAGACCGTTTAGGGGAGATCACTCGCTTTATTTTAAAACAACAATCAATTTTATGAACCCCACCCCCCCACTTCAATTTTGATCCATAAAACGTCACATATTTTATTGAGTATGCAAAGAGGAAAGAAATGTAAGACATTTAATTGAATTAACGCATTCTTCTAACCATTCAAAATAGCAGTTATTTAGCAAAAAACAAAAAAAAAATCGCATTATATGGAGATCAAATGCAATTTCAAACCACACACCCACACCCACCCCTACGCCTATAACACAACATTAATAACAAACCACCCTAACCACCCTAACCACTTCCCTTCCTGTTACACTTACACAATAGGGGCACCATCTCTGATAGGTACAGCCCTCTTACCCGGCCCTATTGTGTGGAAACGTATTACACCAGTAAATAGGGAAGAAACGTGTTTCAATATCTTTCATACTTACCTTGTCATTGACAGTATACTGATAACATAACTACACCTCCCATAAAAGGGCGTAACACTACGTGGCCAGATTTCCCCGTCGAGTCAAGCCTTTTAAACAAGGACAATAAATTTGCCACTTGTTCACACGTACAATTTTGCCAGGTCAGAGTTGCCACCTCAAACTAAAAAAAATATGTGATTCAGTGGAGTGCAGTTTGGCTTATCTGCCTCATCGAGAATTTTTTTTTTCTTTACCTAATTGTAGTTTTAGTACTTCATTACATATGGTGTATATATATATATATATATATATATATATATATATATATATATATATATATATATATATATATATATATATATATATATATATATATATACCATACGATCCATATTGCAGATGAATTATAGTTTATACGTTTCTTGACCTCGGCATAGGAAGGGATGGTGTGGTCACTCAGGGACGGCCTGAAGTCTCGAGTCCGGACCGAGATCCGAACTACTGCAGGATAGCAGTCGATAGCTCTACCACCGGACCACCCCGTCCCGTATTGAATATACTATAGGCCTATATAATTGAATAGCTAGGCTTACTGATACATTAGGCGTTATTTAAACATAACCAAAACATAGAATTAGCCCACCAACTTCATTACGTGCCGACAACCGACCACAAGCGACGGTCAGCTAGTGATGTCAACCCTAGGCAGTACACCGTAGCCTCTCATAACACCATAGCTACTTATAACCTCAGAACTGGGTGCATTGGATGACCTCCCATGATGGAGTAGCATGACCTCTCATGACGTCACCGCGCGATTAAAAAACGATTTAAAAAACGCTAATGAAGTCATACACAATGATGTTATGGTTAGATGAGTCCAATGCCCTCTCATAGAATCACGACCAAAAGAGCACATTGACCAGCCGTGACGTCATCACACGAAGGAATACCGCAACCCCTGATGACCAGAGTTTCTTCCAGGCATTTCTTCGGGGGGGGGGGGGTGTTTCGCCCCCCCCTCCCGAAAAAATTCTACCGCCCCCCGAACGAAATGAAATGTATATAATTTATATAGAGAATATATACTTTTAACAGTGTCCCCCCCCCCCCCCCCCCGAAGAAAGTCTACCGCCCCCCCCCCCCCCCGAAAATTTCAAGTGTCCCCCGGAGAAAAAAGTCTGGAAGAAACACTGCTGATGACAACCGTGACCTCCCCCCCCCCCGGCTTCTCATTGGTGGTGTACTTCCACTACGCCCGTACTTGCCGGGATCTAGAATGTTTTATTGCAAACACAACGTCAAGTGTTACTTTAATAGTGTGAGTCTCCATACCCCCACCCCCTTCCCTTGTTGTCTTTTCACAGTCTTGACCCGGCAAATTGATCACGTTGTGTTTTAGTGTAAGTTATAATTCTTTACTGCTGCAATAACAGTAGGTTGACTGATAAGCCCCGAAGAAGCGAGGCTAGGACTTGTAGTGTGTAGTGTCAGACTGGGAGATAAGAATTAGGAAACCGTTTGATGGTCTAGTAGTTTACAGCCCTCTTGTACGTCCGCATACACTATTTTTTTATGAGCTAATGCTACCATATAACACAGTATATAACTTTAGCACACTAACTTGCCGAAGGACGAAGGTGTGTTTTAAAATAATAGTACAAAAAAAAAAACAACTTAAACATATACAAGTAGGCCTATGTTTTATAAAATTTTATTACTGTACAGGAGGATAGTAAGTCAGTAATTTACAGGCCAAGACTGTTTTATGATGTGATACTGCTGACTTATATGACGTTAGCACACAACATAATGATATAGGACATTAGGGATTCTGTGGGAAACTAATGGTCTGTGTGTGCACACACATGTTTGTGTGGGGTACTACAGGTTTGTGTGGGGTACCTCTGGTTTGTGTGGGGTACTACAGGTTTGTGTGGGGTACTGCTGGTTTGTGTGGGATATACTGGTTTGTGTGGGGTACGACAGGTTTGTGTGGGGTACTACAGGTTTGTGAGGGGTTACTACAGGTTTGTGTGGGGTACTACAGGTTTGTGTGGGGTACTACAGGTTTGTGTGGGGTAATGTGGTTTGTGTGGGGTACTACAGGTTTGTGTGGGGTAATGCTGGTTTATGCGGGGTACTACAGGTTTGTGTGGGGTACTGCTGGTTTGTGTGGGGGTACTACAGGTTTGTGTGGGGTACTACAGGTTTGTGAGGGGTTACTACAGGTTTGTGTGGGGTAATGCTGGTTTGTGTGGGGGTACTACAGGTTTGTGTGGGGTACTACAGGTTTGTGTGGGGTACTACAGGTTTGTGAGGGGTTACTACAGGTTTGTGTGGGGTAATGCTGGTTTGTGTGGGGTACTACAGGTTTGTGTTGGGTACTACAGGTTTGTGTGGGGTACTACAGGTTTGTGTGGGGTAATGCTGGTTTGTGTGGGGTACTGCAGGTTTGTGTGGGTACTACAGGTTTGTGTGGGGTACTGTTGGTTTGTGTGGGATATACTGGTTTGTGTGGGGTACGACAGGTTCGTGTGGGGTACTGTTGGTTTGTGTGGGGTACAACTGGTTTGTGTGGGGTACTGCTGGTTTGTGTGGGGTACTACAGGTTTGTGTGGGGTACTACAGGTTTGTGTGGGGTAATGCTGGTTTGTGTGGGGTACTACAGGTTTGTGTGGGGTAATGCTGGTTTGTGTGGGGTACTACACGTTAGTGTAGGCAACTCTCAGCTGTTTCGTACAACCACACGTGTGTAGACCACGACTATTTTTGCCATGAGACCACACTCTTGCACAGACGCCCAAAGTGTATCATCAAAAATACACAAAACAACAAACAATCCTGCTAAAATATACTTGTTTTTTTTTAAACAGACAACAGGTACATATACATTAAAAAGACACAATGAATCTTGCACCGCCCTCAATCTTTATTGCCAGTCCGCTTCTCAACGAAGTTTAGGTACGATCTTCCTATATATACTGGTTTATTTTAGGCAACAATCACTTTATTATCAGTCACACTGTTTCGATACCACCCCCCTAACACACACACAATTCTGATTTAACAAAAGGAGGCGGGTGTGGGGGGGGGGGGGGGGGGGAATTTAGGATATGCAGGACGGGTTTACTTTCCTTGTTACGACACAAGAGCTAAAGATTTATGGTCTCCAACACAGAAGAATTGAAGGGAGATAAACTGCTGCACGATTCTAACAAAAGAGTTTCGTTTTCACTGACACTTTGGTTTGTTAGCTCGGAGTTTGGATACGCAGCTAAACTCAGAGCTCGTTGAGTTAAATTTTCATTTTGGGATTAGGATATTGTGGAGCTCGTGATCAGTTAGCTCTTTAACAGCTCAACGTTTTTTTTCCTGTTCGGAGTTTAAGTTTTTAAAGAAGTTTTGTGTGATCAACGCACATTTTTGGAGACCTAATGGGGATTAAAGCTTGCAGATAGTTGTGTTATGTGAGTTCTGCTGACACGCCGCTAAAGATGTGGGCCCGCGTTTTTTTCTTGTCTGTTTGTTTACTGGTGAGTTGATCTTTATCTGAGAACTTGTTTTTTTTTTCAAACCAGTAGAACGTCCCTGAGTCCACTCAGCTCTAATGGGTACCTAGAGCACGTTAGGGAAAGTAAAGTCGGCTGGGCATAGTGCTGACCACACTATCCCTTCATATGCTGAGGTCACAGAAACAGGTGAACTTTACTTCACTTTCCCCATGGGCCTACAGGTTCGAAAAGGGAACTTTTCTTCAATGTATCGAAACACAGTCTTGGCCTATAGATGTTAGCACGAGTTTATTTCTTGTTTATTTTTTCCCTGGTGAGTTAATTTATATCTGAGAACATACGTAAACAAATTCAAATTGTGGTTAAGTTTGGATAAAATTAGTAATTTATGTTCAATATCGGTTCCTTTCATGAATCAGCGGCTGTAAAGTACTAGCGGGTTGGGGTGGTGTGCTAAGTTACGCTAATCAGCGATAGTGCGTTCGTGTCAGTTACAATGCTTTTAATTTTCAATTCATATAAGTTAACCGTGTACAACAATAAATTTGAAACCACCGGCCATATAGTACAATCCTGCCTTCTTACAAAGAGACAGGACGTTTTATACCACATTGAAGTGATCGTTCATATATTGCATAACACAAAGATAAACATTTTTTTAACCATGACCAATGTCATACTAGGTCATATAACTACTTCGGGACACCATCCCATACACACACTCAGACACACACACACACACACACATATATATATATATATATATATATATATATATATATATATATATATATATATATATATATATATATGTATATATAGTTGCATATATTGCATGTCAGTGACGCCACTTAACTTTAAAAGACTTCTTGAAGTGCCACTCCCCCTCACAGGAGAAAAATGTCTGAAAGAAACACTGATTTCCATAGAAAACCACCTCTCCCATTTCTAGGAACAAAGACATTGTTTGGTCTTCAAAACCAGTTTGTGACACCCGATGACAATAGAAATAAAAAAATCTGAGTTGCCGAATTGCAAACATAGTCCAAAAAAAAAAAAAGCAGGAAAAATTCACAACGCACAAATCTGAATACAATACACGGATTTTTTCTTTCTTTTTAAAACTGGTTGTAAAGACTGGAATTTAAGAAAAACTTTTGTTTAGGAAGTGATAAAGATTAATGCTTTTATAAGCTTGAAACAATGTCTCATACGCTCATGCTGATTAAAATACCAAATTCTTTATAACATTCTTAGTGTGTGTTTTCTGTTTAAAAAGAATAATAGAGGTGCGGTTATTCTTGTTAAAAAAAATAAACCCTTTTCTAAATTAGCGATTAAACCACTATTTTATTTAGATATTAGAGAATTTGTGAATATTCTCTACTAGAGAATTTATGAATATTAGGTCTCTACTAGAGAATTTGTGAATACTAGGTCTCTACTAGAGAATTTGTGAATATTAGGTCTCTTATAGAGAATTTGTGAATATTAGGTCTCTACTAGAGAAATTGTGAATATTAGGTCTCTTATAGAGAATTTGTGAATATTAGATCTCTACTAGAGAAATTGTGAATATTAGGTCTCTTATAGAGAATTTGTGAATATTAGGTCTCTTATAGAGAATTTGTGAATATTAGGTCTCTTATAGAGAATTTGTGAATATTAACCTCTACTCGAGAATTAGTGAATATTAGGTCTCTACTATACTGCAGTAAAATATTACTTTACAATTTAACTATCAGTGATGCGTTTTTACTCAACTCTCACGAAAATTAGTATTAGAACCCGCTAGATTCAATAACTTTAATTTTTATCATTATAAACAAGATAAAAATAATTTTTCCCCCAGGAATTAACGGCCCTCGTCAGCTGCAATTTTACACTGGAGTTCAGTTGTCCTGAAGGTAAGAATAATTTTGTTAAGACTAGTAGTCTCCCTTACAATAGTCGGACTTGTCTGACGATTTCTGACAGAGAGAAGTTGGGGGAGCGCGTTGAAACAATGTGTAGGCCCTAAATGTGAGACAAATACTTTTTATATTAAAAAAAGTAAGTTTTTAAAACTATTTTTTAAAATGTTATTTCATACTTTAAAATAAGTGTTGTTGTAAATGGAAAGTGGTCAACGACTGTTATATTTATTAGGCTTTGCTGAAATTTAAAAAGATAGTGATACCTTGTAAAGGGAAACAACTGCATTAATAAAACAGTCGAAATCAACCTAGCTTGGCTGGATATGGAAGGGAAACAACCCAATAATTATTTAAACAAAGCAATAGAGCGATAGAGGGCGTTGGTGGTGACTTTAGTAACGATGTGTGACAATGTGGAAAGTTGTGTGTGTTTGTTGGGGGAGGGAGGTAAAAATATTCTAGTCGTTTCTCTGTTTTCGTTCTGTATTTACTCCACCCACCCCCCTCTCCACCCGCACAGCGAAGAGTTAGACCTCCAATCGAGATATAAGTTAGCCTTACGGTAAATCTAGTTCTACATGGTGACAGCAAGTCTTTACTGGTCGTTACTGGGTATGACGAAGAAGGGCGGGGTATATGTCTGTATGTTGGTGTACGTGTGTGTATGTGGGGGTGGGAATGTTAGGGTGGGCTGGTATCCATTTACTACTCAGAATGACCTTTAGATGACCCGTGTGTCGAATGTTTGTTAGTGTTCAAGACTCCACACACGATTTGAAATGTTGTGTGACTTAGAGACGAATGGCGGATGGGGGGGAGGGGCGAGAGTTAAAAAGTCGGCATTAAAAACCATGACTTCATTAATGGTCGACTCAGATCTAAATCCGTCAATTAGTGTTACACATCCATAATATCTATTTGGACATTGTGTTGATTTTACATAAAGAGAAATATGTAGCAGAATAACCAATTTTAGAGAAGGAATGAAGAGAATGAGTGAATATACGATCAAAGAAAGTGTTAGAAAAAAAAAACGTTGTGTAAATATGAGAAAATAGGTGAATGTTGATGTGAAGTTTGTGATGTGAATATTCTGTTCGCCTTGTGATGTGAATGTTGATCTTAAAGTTCGCCATGTGATGTGAATGTTAATTTTAAAGTTCGCCATGTGATGTGAATGTTAATTTTAAAGTTCGCCATGTGATGTGAATGTTAATTTTAAAGTTCGCCATGTGATGTCAATGTTAATTTTAAAGTTCGCCATGTGATGTGAATGTTAATTTTAAAGTTCGCCATGTGATGTGAATGTTAATTTTAAAGTTCGCCATGTGATGTGAATGTTAATTTTAAAGTTCGCCATGTGATGTGAATGTTAATTTTAAAGTTCGCCATGTGATGTGAATGTTAATTTTAAAGTTCGCCATGTGATGTGAATGTTAATTTTAAAGTTCGCCATGTGATGTCAATGTTAATTTTAAAGTTCGCCATGTGATGTGAATGTTAATTTTAAAGTTCGCCATGTGATGTGAATGTTAATTTTAAAGTTCGCCATGTGATGTGAATGTTGATTTTAAAGTTTGCCATGTGATGTGAATGTTAATTTTAAAGTTCGCCATGTGATGTGAATGTTAATTTTAAAGTTCGCCATGTGATGTGAATGTTAATTTTAAAGTTCGCCATGTGATGTGAATGTTGATCTTAAAATTCGCCATGTGATGTGAATGTTGATCTTAAAATTCACCATGTGATGTGAATGTTGATCTTAAAATCCACCATGTGATGTGAATGTTGATCTTAAAATTCACCATGTGATGTGAATGTTAATTTTAAAGTTCGCCATGTGATGTGAATGTTGATCTTAAAATTCACCATGTGATTTGAATGTTAATTTTAAAGTTCGCCATGTGATGTGAATGTTAATTTTAAAGTTCGCCATGTGATGTGAATGTTAATTTTAAAGTTCGCCATGTGATGTGAATGTTAATTTTAAAGTTCGCCATGTGATGTGAATGTTAATTTTAAAGTTCGCCATGTGATGTCAATGTTAATTTTAAAGTTCGCCATGTGATGTGAATGTTAATTTTAAAGTTCGCCATGTGATGTGAATGTTAATTTTAAAGTTCGCCATGTGATGTGAATGTTAATTTTAAAGTTCGCCATGTGATGTGAATGTTAATTTTAAAGTTCGCCATGTGATGTGAATGTTAATTTTAAAGTTCGCCATGTGATGTGAATGTTAATTTTAAAGTTCGCCATGTGATGTGAATGTTAATTTTAAAGTTCGCCATGTGATGTGAATGTTGATCTTAAAATTCGCCATGTGATGTGAATGTTGATCTTAAAATTCACCATGTGATGTGAATGTTGATCTTAAAATCCACCATGTGATGTGAATGTTGATCTTAAAATTCACCATGTGATGTGAATGTTAATTTTAAAGTTCGCCATGTGATGTGAATGTTGATCTTAAAATTCACCATGTGATGTGAATGTTAATTTTAAAGTTCGCCATGTGATGTGAATGTTGATCTTAAAATTCACCATGTGATGTGAATGTTGATCTTAAAATTCACCATGTGATGTGAATGTTGATCTTAAAGTTCACCATGTGATGTGAATGTTGATCTTAAAGTTCGTCATGTGATGTGAATGTTGATCTTAATGTGAATGTTGATCTTAAAGTTCGCCATGTGATATGAATGCTGATCTTAAAGTTCGACATGTGAGGCGAATGTTGTTCTTAAAATTCATCATGTGATGTGAATGTTGATCTTAAAGTTCACCATGTGATGTGAATGTTGATCTTAAAGTTCGTCATGTGATGTGAATGTTGATCTTAAAGTTCACCATGTGATGTGAATGTTGATCTTAAAGTTCACCATGTGATGTGAATGTTGATCTTAAAGTTCGTCATGTGATGTGAATGTTGATCTTAAAGTTCGCCATGTGATGTGAATGTTGTTCTTAAAGTTCACCATGTGATGTGAATGTTGATCTTAAAATTCACCATGTGATGTGAATGTTGATCATAAACTTTTGCTCACCATGTGATGTGAATGTTGAACTTAAACTTTTGCTCACCATGTGTTAACCTTTGACCTCCTCCCCCCCCCCCCCCCCCCCCAGGATGGACCCTGTTCCCCAACGGCACCTACTGCTACTACTACAGCAGGGTCGAGCTGGACTACGGTGCTGCCGTGGATGTCTGTGACAAGTAAAACATTTTTTTTCTCTCTCTGGCCAATGCCGAACTCACCACATAGGCTACACGAAGCTTTACGGATGATGTCGCAGAGGCGTAGCGAGGGGGGGGGGGTACATATGTCCCCGGCGGACATATGTACCCTTAGGGGGCGCCAAAATAGGTTGGAAAAACAAATTAAAATCTCATCTAAGCTGCATTTTTAGATTATACATATAAAAAATATATTGGGGGGGGGGGGGTTGCAAATCGAAAATTGAAAGTTTGTCCCCGGGCGCCAGGAAGGGTCGCTACGCCTCTATGTTGTCGTGCTAGTTACGATGCTTTAGTGGTATTGTCATGCTAGTTAGTGTATGGCATGTCTTAGTAAAACCCGCCTTATATTTCAAAGTGGTGTTGACAAATATAGAATACAACACATCAGTACATACAAAATAATACATCATATCAGTCCATACCAAATACAACTTTTCAGTCTATAGTTCACTCTTTACAATAGAATACATTAGATCACTCGATAAAATAGAATACAACATATCAGATGACACCACACCCCCACCCCTTTACACCCGGACCTACAGGATACCACCACATCCCCACCCGCTGTTCTCCAGGTCCTAAACTGAAGTCAGCACCTTCACACCCCTAAGGCCTAAGAGTTACCTCACCCTATCTCCAACATTGTTGATGTCAACAAAATTGTATGCTAACCATCTATTGGTACAGCACCCGCTATGCCCATAGTCCATTCTACAAGTGGTACTGTCAAAGCCACTGGCCCCCAGATAGTAAAATTCTTATTGTCACATCCCATTATAGTCCCTACCCTAAACACAATACCCCAACGCCAAACATCGGATGTTGATACTTCCGTTGCCTAGATACGGAGCCGCGCTGCTCGAGGTCAGGGACGAAAGGGAGGCCAAGGTCGTGGCCCAAAAAGCCAACGAGACGTTCGGACAAAGCCAGAAATACTTTTGGATCTCTGCGGGACAAGGTCAGTACTATAGAGGTTTTATGAGGGGTGGGCGGGGTAATTTTACAGAGGTCTATGGGAGGTTTGTGATGGGTGGGCGGGGTAATTTTACAGAGGACTTATGGGAGGTTCGTGAAGGTTGGGCGGGGTAATTTTACAGAGGACTATGGGAGGTTTGTGATGGGTGGGCGGGGTAATTTTACAGAGGACTATGGGAGGTTTGTGAAGGGTGGGCGGGGTAATTTTACAGAGGACTATGGGAGGTTTGTGATGGGTGGGCGGGGTAATTTTACAGAGGACTATGGGAGGTTTGTGAAGGGTGGGCGGGGTAATTTTACAGAGGACTATGGGAGGTTTGTGAAGGGTGGGCGGGGTAATTTTACAGAGGACTATGGGAGATTTGTGATGGGTGGGCGGGGTAATTTTACAGAGGACTATGGGAGGTTTGTGAAGGGTGGGCGGGGTAATTTTACAGAGGACTATGGGAGGTTTGTGAAGGGTGGGCAAGGTAATTTAACAGAGGACTATGTGAGGTTTGTGAATGGTGGGTGGGGTAATTTTACAGAGGACTTTTGGGAGGTTTGTGAAGGGTGGACGGGGTAATTTTACAGAGGACTTTTGGGAGGTTTGTGAGGGTGGGCGGGGTAATTTTACAGAGGACATATGGGAGGTTTGGGGGCGGGGTAATTTTACAGAGGACTATGGGAGGTTTGTGGGCGGGGTAATTTTACAGAGGACAATGGGAGGTTTGTGGGCGGGGTAATTTAACAGAGGACTTTTGGGAGGTTTTGTTAAGGGTGGGCGGGGTAATTTTACAGAGGACTATGGGAGGTTTGTGAAGGGTGGGCGGGGTAATTTTACAGAGGACTATGGGAAGTTTGTGAAGGGTGGGCGGGGAAGTTTTACAGAGGACTATAGGAGGTTTGTTAAGGGTGGGCGGGGTAATTTAACAGAGGACTATGGGAGGTTTGTGAAGGGTGGGCGGGGTAATTTAACAGAGGACTATGGGAGGTTTGTGAAGGGTGGGCGGGGAAGTTTTACAGAGGACTATGGGAGGTTTGTGAAGGGTGGGCGGGGTAATTTAACAGAGGACAATGGGAGGTTTGTAAAGAGGTGGGCTAGGTAATTTTACAGAGGACTATGGGAGGTTTGAGGACCATTCGGAAGGTTGAGGGAGAGAGAGTGACGATTCATGCAGACAGATCTATGGGAGGTGTGGCGAAGGTTCATGTACATTGTTAGCTATGAGGAGATTGGTAAGATAGTTCTTATCACACACAATTATAGAAAGGTTGTTGAGAAGAGATAATTCTTACAATCAAATTATGGAAGGTGGAGAGGGGGACAATTTTTGTAACAACAATTATTTATTCTACTCAAATTCTATTACACCAATTATCTAATACTTACAATCAAAATTATGAAAGGCGGAAAGGGGAGATAATTTAAAAAACAAAATATACAGTTAGCCAAAGGGAGATAATTCGTTAAGTAAAGTGTATTTAATGTTAATTCTGGAATCTTGCTGGACATAATCTACAAAACATTAAATTTTTTTTTCCAGAATACAATACCGCAGAAGATTTCGTCATTGCCAATGCCACCAAGTGCAAGGGATTCTGGGAAGTGGGGCAACCAGCCAGCGATGACGTCAACATGGCCATAGCCAGTAACATGGCCGGCAGGTGGACGCTAAAACCTTTAGGAGATCGTCTGCGGTTCGTCTGCAGGGCTCCTGCCTGTCCACAAGGTAGATAACTCTAGAATATTGTAACAACTCAAACTCGTCCTGCTTATCGAACTTAGGTTTTCGGGAGAAAAAAGTGTAACGGAAAAATGCGCATGGAAATTTTAAATTAATTTTTCTAATGAGAAATAAAAAAAAATTAAGTTAGCAAATAATTACACTATGTAAAATATAGCATAATAAAACATATTTCCACGAAATTTACGAAAATTAAACAGTAATACGTTTGTATTTGAGCATTCAAATTTATTCAAATTTCAAATTCAAATTTATTCAAAAATATACGTTTGCTTAGTTTTCAGCTGCACATTTTTCGTTGCATTTTTCTGGTCAGCATAAAGGTATTTTTTAAAAAAAAAAATTTTCTGAAGAAATATATATCTTACAATTTACTTACGTAGCTATAACTCTTTTTAAGCTGCATGAGCTCATACTCAACCGTGTAAACATTCATAACCATGTCCATAAGGACAGGCAGTAAATGATGTATAGGCTGTAAATGATGTGATTTATCTTGCATGGATAGGCTTTAAATGATGTGATTTATCCAGCAATAATTGGCTTTAAATTGTGTGATTTATCCAGCATGGATAGGCTATAAATGATGTGATTTATCCTGCTATGATAGACTGTACATGATGTGATTTATCCAGCAATGATAGACTGTAAATGATGTGATTTATCCTGCTATGATAGACTGTAAATGATGTGATTTATCCTGCAATGATAGACTGTAAATGATGTGATTTATTTAGCAATGATAGACTGTACATGATGTGATTTATCCAGCAACAATAGACTGTAAATGATGTGATTTATCCTGCTATGATAGACTGTAAATGATGTGATTTATCCTGCAATGATAAACTGTAAATGATGTAATTTATCCTGCAATGATAGACTGTAAATGATGTGATTTATCCTGCAATGATAAACTGTAAACGATGTGATTTATCCTGCAATAAAAGGCTGTAAATGATGTGATTTATCCTACAATAAAAGGTTGTAAATGATGAGATTTATCCAGCAAGGATATACTGTAAATGATGTGATTTATCCTGCAATAAAAGGCTGTAAATGATGTGATTTATTTAGCAGTGATAGACTGTAAATGATGTGATTTATCCTGCAGATTCCTTTCGCTGTAGAGACGGAACGTGCCTCAACGTCAAGTGGAAATGTGACCAAGCGATGGACTGCAGTGACGGGACAGATGAGGCGGATTGTCGAGGTAACCATGGTGGCGCGTGACCACTACCCTCTGACCACTGACCCATGACCACTACCCTCTGATAACTGACCCATGACCACTACCCTCTGATAACTGACCCATGACCACTACCCTCTGATAACTGACCCATGACCACTACCCTCTGATAACTGACCACCGACCACTACCCTCTGATAACTGACCCATGACCACTGCTTATAACAATGAACCATGACCACTACCCTCTGATAACTGACCCATGACCACTACCCTCTGATAACTGACCCATGACCACTACCCTCTGATAACTGACCCATGACCACTACCCTCTGATAACTGACCACCGACCACTACCCTCTGATAACTGACCCATGACCACTGCTTCTAACAATGACCCATGACCACTACCCTCTGATAACTGACCCATGACCACTGCTTCTAACAATGACCCATGACCACTACCCTCTGATAACTGACCCATGACCACTACCCTCTGATAACTGACCCATGACCACTGCTTCTAACAATGACCCATGACCTCTACCCTCTGATAACTGACCCATGACCACTACCCTCTGATAACTGACCCATGACCACTACCCTCTGATAACTGACCCATGACCACTGCTTCTAACAATGACCCATGACCACTACCCTCTGATAACTGACCCATGACCACTACCCTCTGATAACTGACCCATGACCACTGCTTCTAACAATGACCCATGACCTCTACCCTCTGATAACTGACCCATGACCACTACCCTCTGATAACTGACCCATGACCACTACCCTCTGATAACTGACCCATGACCTCTACCCTCTGATAACTGACCCATGACCTCTACCCTCTGATAACTGACCCATGACCTCTACCCTCTGATAACTGACCCATGACCACTGCTTCTAACAACTGACCCATGACAACTGCCTCTGTTGTATAACGATCAGCTAACAGTGAGTACACAGTTAAGATTTAGTTTTGGTTTACCGTTATTGTCTCCCCTCATGTGAAACAGACTGTGTGAAACACATCAATGCAAGCAGTGACCAAATTGTTGACTTTACACGGAAGGACAACTGTCAGTGGACGATTGAAGGTCAGCCTGGCGAAGTCCTGAAAATCGAGGTCAGTTGATAACAAGGTCTCCAATTGTGTGGCGTTAGGTTAGTTGCGATGTGTGGATGTGTGTGAGACGTGATGTGTGTGTGTGGTGTTGGTTAGTTACTAATGTTGATTTGTGTCATATAGATTGGAATGGGTGGGGGGGGGGGGGGAGGGAGAGGGCAAGATTTTATTATATGTGTGTGGTGTTTTGTAAGTTGTTAGCTGTAGGTTATTTGTGGTGTTGTGTTAGTTATAGATTATGTGCGTTGTTGTGTTAGCTGTAGGTTATGTGTGGTGATGTTTTAGTTGTAGGTTATGTGTGGTGTTGTGTTAGTTGTAGGTTATGTGTGGTGTTGTGTTCGCTCTAGGCTTTAGTTGTCAGAAGCGATAACCATGTCAACGTCAAGTCAATGAAAAAAAAACAATTCACTGTCTCTTTAGTTTACGGCAATACACATACAAGCAGGCGTCGACACGCTACTGATCTACTCGGGCGGACCTTCCATCAAAACAAGCCAATTGGTAGGACAAATACGCAGCAACGACATGCCCAAGACGGTGTTTGGCGTCAACCATTTTTTGATTGTCGTCTTTCGATCAACCGATGTGGCCAGTGGATTCGCAGCTAAATGGGAACCAGGTATTTGTCAGCTTCAGCAAACCAAAGATTATTGCTATCTATAAGTGGTCATCCATAAATGACCTTATGCTTTTTTTGACGATTTTTACCTCCCCTCCGTCACACATCGTCACATAAAGCCCGACCTCCCCCCCCCCCCCCTAAAATGACGTCACACCTCAGCCTACAACCCACCCCACCTCAAAATTGCAGTTGAATTTTTCTTAAAATACGATATTTTCTAACATCTTGTCTGAAATCTGTCAACATGGAATATTTTTTAAATCAACTCCTATTACAATTTTTTAAAACAGTTTTCTAAAACGCGAAATAACGGCTAAAACTAGTTTTCAAACATTGCCTTTTTAGGGGGGGGGGGGGGTGTGTCTGGCTTTTTGTGACGATGTGTGGCGCAGGGGAGGGTTGAGGTAAAAATCGTCAAAAAATAAGCGTGACGTCATTTATGAATGACCCCAAAACAATTTTAATGAACTGTTTGGAAAATGGAGCAGTGAATCTATGTGACCCAGACTATTAAGTTTTTTTTTGCGTTCTAAGGGAAATAACTCAATTAATATTTTTTAAAATAATTAGTCAATCTTCGTTACGTCCCCGTATGAAGAAAAAAGAGATTTGGATAATGGTCGTCATTTTAAGAGAGTGGGTCGGTAAAAAGCCGGCAAAGAAAAAAAAATGTAAAAAAAAAACAACAAAAAAAAAAACAAAAAAACGTGACGTTGTTTAAGGACGTCACCTAAAGGTCTAGTTAGTTTCAGAAAGAAACATGATTTTATTTAATGGAGTATTTTTTTTATACTGCTAACAATTACCTTATATTAATTTTTTCATATTAAACTTTTAAAAAGTTGTGTCGTATGGTTAGCTTTAGTTTAAAGCTAACCATACTACACAACTTTTTTTCGTATTTAGATGATGAACTTTCTAAGACGGTTCAAACAATTCGTGTTACAAGCACCCCATGGGAATTTAACTCCCCTCACCACAACTCATCAAATTTGCCACTGAGTTACAGAAAAACCTGGTCACTCGAAGCTAAAGAAGGGGAGACCATTCTACTGGAGGTTGGTGATTTTTAAAAAATTAATTTCTTAAATCATACTTAAAAATGAAATAATTGTTTTTTAAACCACAGGGAAAAGTCCGCTTCTCGAGTGTTTTTTTTATACTCAACATTTGGTATTGCTGTATCTCAATCAGTATGGTGTTATGTTATTGTTTATCAAGTAGTAAGTTAGAGAAAAGGGCCTAACCTAACTAATAACTCCCTGTTGCCGCAGTTGGTTTTTTAAAATTTAGTTTCAAGTTTAGGCTTCAGACTGTAGTCGAGTTGAGAGTTGAGAGTACTCTAGACTCTAGACAGAGTAGGAAAAAACTCTACTCTCGCATTTAATGGATGAGTAAGCTGTTGACTTTTAGATGCGCTATATAATTTAATGCCACAGTCATCTTTACATAGTAAGTTAGGTTACATGTATAGAGTGGTGCTAACTAAACTAAACTACATGTCAATACTCAATCAATGCTAAACCAGCACCAGCATAACAAATGTTGTATTTTTCTTATTCTTTTAGATACGCAACAGCTCCTTTGATCTAGCAAACAAGTCCAGCATCAGCATAACAAATGTTGGATTTTTCTTATTCTTTTAGATACGCAACAGCTCCTTTGATCTAGATCTAGAAAACAAGTCTAGCACCAGCAAACCAAATGTTGTATTTTTCTTATTCTTTTAGATACACAACAGCTCCTTCAATCTTAGTCTAGCAAACAAGTCCAGCATCAGCATAACAAATGTTGGATTTTTCTTTTTTTTAGATACGCAACAGCTCCTTTGATCTAGATCTAGCAAACAAGTCCAGCATCAGCATAACAAATGTTGGATTTTTCTTATTCTTTTAGATACACAACAGCTCCTTCAATCTTAGTCTAGCAAACAAGTCCAGCATCAGCATAACAAATGTTGGATTTTTCTTATTTTTTTAGATACACAACAGCTCCTTCAATCTTAGTCTAGCAAACAAGTCCAGCATCAGCATAACAAATGTTGGATTTTTCTTATTCTTTTAGATACACAACAGCTCCTTTGATCTAGCAAACAAGTCCAGCATCAGCATAACAAATGTTGGATTTTCCCTCTGTGACCCCAGTACAGGGAGGGCCTTTTTCATATCCAGCTCACCTTCTATGGTCATCTCTGTCCAGACCAACACTGCACAGTACCTTCATGCAGTGGTCAACACAGGTAGGTATCCATAATCCAACAGTACATTGATGCTGTGGTCAACACAATCCAACAGTACATTGATGCTGTGGTCAACACAATCCAACATTACATTGATACTGTGGTCAAAATAATCCAACAGTACATTGATGCTGTGGTCAACACAGGTAGGTATCCATAATCCAACAGTACATTGATGCTGTGGTCAACACAATCCAACAGTACATTGATGCTGTGGTCAACACAATCCAACAGTACCTTGATGCTGTGGTCAACACAATCCAACAGTACCTTGATGCTTTGGTCAACACAGGTAGGTATCCATAATCCAACAGTACATTGATGCTGTGGTCAACACAGGTAGGTATCCATAATCCAACAGTACATTGATGCTGTGGTCAACACAGGTAGGTATCCATAATCCAACAGTACATTGATGCTGTGGTCAACACAGGTAGGTATCCATAATCCAACAGTACATTGATGCTGTAGTCAACACAATCCAACAGTTCATTTATGCTGTGGTCAACACAGGTAGGTATCCATAATCCAACAGTACATTGATGCTTTGGTCAACACAATCCAACATTACATTGATGCTGTGGTCAACACAATCCAACATTACATTGATGCTTTGGTCAACACAATCCAACAGTACCTTGATGCTTTGGTCAACACAATCCAACATTACATTGATGCTGTGGTCAACACAATCCGTGCACTCGACCTTGGGATAACAATACTTAAACTCCCTGGAGTTAACTCAACTCACACACGCCTCTTCTCTCATTCTAGACTTTTCTAGCCTATTCTAATCTAACCTACAACTGACCCGTAACAACATTGATGCTGTGGTCAACACATGTAAGTCTCCACAATCCAACACTACACATTAATGAACTTGTCAAAAACTGTGAGGCAATCATTACCTCCTTACACAAAATGATTTGGTCAATACCTGAAGTAAGTCTTTGACTCAATAAATTCCACAAAAGTTACTTGGCTATTTTAAAAATTTCCAGTTAGTATCATACATCAACAACAAAAGTTATTCTGTGCATACAACACAATATTGGAAAAAATTTTACCCACCAAAAGAATTTTGTATTGAATTTCTGAAATATTTTTTTAGGAATCACACCAATTTAGCATTTACTGAATACAAGTGAGACCTTTGTTAGTAAAAATGTAAAAATATAAGAAATGAAAACCAAGGCCTTCTGTATTGCATGATTGTTAGACTAACTGAATGATAAACCAGTCCTTACCCCATGAAAGATAACTAAATAAAAAATATATCCTTACTGCAATTGTAACACAGTTGAATTGAGTTTTAAACTATGACTACCCATTGCATATAATAAGTAGCCTACATAAAACCCAGCAGAGAACATAATCCTTGTGTTAACCAACTCTCAAAATGACTTTACTGATTGGTAAAACATCCAATGAAGACGAATGTAGGGTTTCTTTCAGGCAAACCTCAAGCAGTAATGGGGGGGGGGAGGCCCAAATCATATCCACCTTCCTATTGTCTCCAGACAATATAGATAGAATATTAAATTCAACCATTCTTAAATTTGATCTCCCAAGAATTTAAAAAGATCCCCCACTTCACCCCCCCACTCTCCAAGCCAGAGGCGTAGCGACCCTTCCCGGCGCCCGGGGACAAACTTTTCGATTTGCACCCCCCCCTCAAACTTTCGATTTTCACCCCCCCCCCTCAAGATTTTGATTTGCACCCGCCCTCCCTCAAACTTTCAATTTGCACCCCCCTCAACCTTTCAATTTATTTTTCCAACCCATTTTGGGCCCCCTAAGCTCGGCGCCCGGGGACATATGTCCCCCCCCGCCCCCCTCCCATCGCTATGCTACTGCTCCAAGCTAATGGTCTGAAAAAACCCTGAGCAAATCTCAAAAGAAAATTTAATTGTTCCCCAGGTTGCAACTTCAGCATGGAGCTGACGCAGGCGAGGTTTGAGCTCCTCAACTTGAGTAAAAACATTGTGTGTGAGTGGACCATCAAGAACAGACAACCCACCAATTTCAGCCTCAATATGCAGGATATACAGTTTTTAGGACAAGATTCTTTACAAGTAGGTTTTTGATTTTTTTTAGGTTGATGGTCACTTTTGGAGAGGGCCAGGTCAAGCTGACATCAGCTGCACAAGATGTTAAATTATACAGTTGTTCTTAATCGCGCTCGTGCCCAAGACACATGGGGCAGATAAAGCAGAGTTCATCTGATTCATTGACTTCGGGATAGTGTGGTCAGCACTATGCCCAGCCGCCTTTGTTTCCCTAAAGTAAGTTAGTACCTGTCAGAGCTGGGTGGACTCAGGGACGTTACTCTGATCTGAACCCGTATTCGAACTTGAGACTTGGGTTAGCAGTCTAGCTCTCTGCAGCTACGCCACGCTGTCCCTAAATTTTGTTCTAAATAAATGTTCCAAAATTATTCTAAATAAATTATACAGTTGGTTAAGGTTTAAAAATATTTAGAACATGTAAGTCTACTAGTTTTTATTTGAATGAATGATTTTTTACCTCACCAAGTTGCTAGGCCAAAATTAAAAGTTCTATTAACCTTGTGAGTATCCAAGTTAATATATGTGAACCAAACATAGTTTCAACATTTGGTATTTGTGTCAATAATATTGGAATTTATGCAGCTGTACTCATTTGTAATGATTCCTTGGATTGTTCAAATTTATATTTACATTGTTAAAATGTATGCTGAGCATGTCAAAATTTGAACAGCCTGCTTAAATTTAATTGTTGCAAGAATAAAATTTCATTGCTTTTCTTAAATTGAGACACCTATTTTTAACCATTTAACAAAAGGTTAACATTGTGTTGAGAGGGTGTGATCAAGCGATAGAAAGCTAGACTGCTGATCCATTCGTTTGAATTCAGGTTGAAGTCAGTAGACAGTCCCTCATTCCACCCAGCTCTGATGGGTAAATAACTCATGTTAGGGAAAATACTGGCAGCTGGGCATAGTGTTGACCACACTATCCCTGCATATGCCAAAGGTCACAGAAACAGGTGGACTCACTTGCCCCATAGACGGTCATGTTTAGAGGGAACTTTACCTTTACTTTTTAACATTAAGCTGACAAAATTCTAACATTTGATTCTAATTTAAAAAAAAAATTCATATCCTGCAGCTGTATGATGGGAAGGTTGGTGGGGCGCCTGTTGTCACAGTGAATGGAAGCACTGGAAACAAAGTCAGTCATCTGGGGCTGTCCAGCACAGTTGTGATGGTCTATAGGTCATATGGTCTCACATCTGGCAGCAAGCTGCTGGGAGCCGTATCGGCAGGTCAGTCTGACATGGCACATGGTATGATATGCAGGTGTGTACATGTAACACAATATGTACATACATGCATGATCATGTAGTGTGTACATCTTTGTGTAACTATGTTAAATAATGCATGTACATTTAACACGATGCATACATACTTGTGTACAAATAACTGTGTACAGTTCATCATGTGTGTACATGTAACACAATGTGTACATACATGTATGTACAAGCATGGAATACAGTTTATGCATCCGTGTGCAACAATGTATGTTAAATCATGCATGTGTGTAAATATATGTGTACAAATGACTGTATATTCCATCTTGTGTGTAGCCTACATAAAACAGTGTGTGCAAACACATGTAGGTCTACATATTAATGTGTACATTCACATGTACCTATGCTTGTACATATATATAATTTGCACATGTAACACAATATATCCATACATATGATTATGTGTACATGTGACACTGTGTACATACATGTAGCTTGTACATACCCCCATATGAGCAGTAGAATTAATCACATTTGTGACAGTTAGAGGTATAAATAAATACTCCATGTTAGCAGTAGAATAATTAATTTACAGAGGTATAAATACTTCTTGGGGAGAATCAGCCTTTATGAGCTTATTATTTTATGCCCTTGCCTGCCCATGACCTGTCAGGTACCCAGGGATGTATCACACTACTTTTATCCCCCACCCCCCCCCCCCTCTGGCTTGTCCCCTGATTACCTATTTATGCAGACTCTGCAAGTACTTAATCAGTACCTAAGTGTGTACTGAGTACTTAAGTGTGTACTGAGTACCTGAATGTGTACTGAGTATCTAAGTGTACTGAGTACCTGCATGTGTACCGAGTACTGAAGTGTGTACTGAGTACCTGAATGTGTACTGAGTACCTAAGTGTGTACTGAGTACCTAAGTGTACTGTACTGAGTACTTAAGTGTGTACTGAGTACCTAAGTGTGTACTGAGTACCTAAGTGTTTACTGAGTAGCTCCTGACATCTACCAATGTCCTCTATCTCCTGATAAGGATGTCATCAATAGTTTCAATAGCACTTCATACTGGTAATTATTTTATGTTTATTGAATCTTATGCTATGGTTAAACCATTGTTAAATCAAGTGCTTATGTTATGCTAATGTTAAACCAATGTAAGGCTTATGTTAAACCAATATTAAACCAGTGTTACACTAATGTTAAACCAGTGTTGAGCAAATGTTAAATTATTGTTAAACCAATGTACTGCTTATGTTAAGCCAATATTAAACCAGAGTTACACTAATGTTAAACCATTATCAAGCTAATATTAAACTAATGTTAAGCTAATCTTTTGACAAAAATTGTTGAAGATGTATAATGACATATCAACCCCTAAAATAAAGTTGGTCCCATCTACTTATAGATTGCAGTGATCTGAACTCACCTAACTTGGAGGTCAGTCCCCAGGGTAGGGAGGGGGGTGAGAGCTACAAGGTAAGCATCACCTGCGCCACGGGGTACACGTTTGTTCAAGAGGAGTACAACAGCAACAGCACACTAGAGGCGGAGTGTAAGCTGGGGGGTAACTGGTACTGGGGCTCCAACAGCCTGACACGACTGCCCACATGTCAAGGTAATGTGTCTTGTTGTGTGTCTTTGTCATGGTCTATGTCATGGTATGTGTGTCTTTGTCATGGTCTATGTCATGGTATGTTTGTCTTTGTCATAGTATGTTTGTCTTTGTCATGGTATGTTTGTCTTTGTCATGGTATGTTTGTCTTTGTCATGGTATGTTTGTCTTTGTCATAGTATGTTTGTCTTTGTCATGGTATGTGTGTCTTTGTCATGGTATGTTTCTCTTTGCTATGGTATGTTTGTCTTTGTCATGGTATGTTTGTCTTTATCATGGTATGTTTGTCTTGCTATGTCTTTGTCATAGTCTTTATGTGCTGTGGTCTGTCTTGATCTTTTTGTCTTTGTATGTCAGTTCATCATGGTCTGTCTCTTAATTTTTGTCTTGGTCTACCTCTGTTTTGGCCTGTCTGTGTCATGCCACGTCATATTCTCCCCTGCTACACTCCATCCTAATACACAACCCACATGTCCTATTTATCTCCCTTTAGTTGTGTACTGTGGAGTGCCCTCCCCTATAGACAATGGCAAGTTGACCTATATCAGTGCCAACGTATCCCTGGGTGCTAAAGCCACATACGAATGCTATGGTGGATTCAACCTAAGTGGATCGGACACAGTGGAGTGTTTGTCTAATGGCAGCTGGTCCACTCCACCCACCTGTGAAGGTACTTAATTTTTTTTTAATTAATAAAAGGAACAATCTTGCAAATGGTAGGCCTATATAATTTGTATAAAAACCAGATTTTTGTTTAGTCAAAGAAAAGGTTGATTTCAAATACAACTAGAGTTTGTAATGACATGACATTCAAGTTAAAAATCACTGGCAAAAAACAAACAAAAACAAAACAAAATAATGGTCAAATGTTTTTAATGGTAAAGGCTTTCAATTTTTTTTTTTTTGCTTGTTTAAGGGCATGGGCATGGGTGATCATTATCAAAGCAGCCAAAATACTAATTTCTAAACCAAATACTATCATATTTAGAATATAGTTAAAACTCAAAGAGTTACGCCTTAAAAAAAAAAAAAAGCTTAAAAATAACTTTAAAAATGCCCAAACAACTCCCGCGATTGCCATGGTGAAGATGGCCAACTTGAATTATTTTTACCTTTTAAACATTGAAATAACATTTTTTAATGATAAATAAAATTGATCACAATTTGGTACTGATCACCCCCCCCCCTGCCCATGCTTATAACATGTTTTTATTTTAAAAATAATTTTCTTCAATCAAATAACAAGGATTCTTCTTAATACTCAACAGCAAAACTTTGCCCAGAGTTAACTGATGTTGAAAACATTGGGAACACTGAAGAAATAAGGAATGCCAACAGAAGTTTTGGCACTGTTATAAAATTTGAATGTTCTCCTGGGTTTGACCTGCTGGGATCTCAACAGATTGTCTGCCTGGCTAACGGCAGCTGGAATCATGTGGTGCCTTCATGTCGCAGTACGTGGAATTTTGTTTTGTTAGATTGGTTATTTTACACCTGGGCTGAGGGGTGAGGTGTGTAGATACAAGCAAGTGAGGTGATCTACAAGTACGTAGATGATTGACATCAGAGGATCCAGAGGTAAGTGTATGACAGCAGGTGATCTACAGGTAAGTTCATTGCAGAAAGTAATTTACAGGTAAGTTCATCACAGAAAGTAATTTACAGGTAAGTTCATCACAGAGAGTAATTTACAGGTAAGTGAATGACAGCAAGTAATTTACAGGTAAGTTCATCACAGAAAGTAATTTACAGGTAAGTTCATCAGAGAAAGTAATTTACAGGTAAGCTCATCACAGAAAGTAATTTAAGATAAGCTCATCACAGAGAGCAATTTACAGGTAAGTTCGTCACAGAAAGTAATTTACAGATATGGTCATCAGAGAAAGTAATTCCCACATTGTAGAAGTGGGTATTCGCACAGTGCACTAGAGGGTATTTCCACAGTGTACCTGTTGGCATTTCCAGTGCACTAGTGGGTATTCCCACAGCTATAAGTAGGTATTCCCACAGTGCAGCTTCAACAATACAATGTTTTTTGTTTTGTTTTCACAGAGTTGACTTGTCCCCTCCTACCGGTTGAAAATGGTGCCTACAATACCTCGTTGCCTGTGGAGTTTCTTGCCGGCGCCTCACTTCAGTGTCACCCTGGCTATTGGGTGGAGAGGACAAACACGCCAGAGGTCATTCATTCTTGCACAGCCAACAGGACACTCAGTCAGAATGACACATGTGTTGGTAGGTTGAATGTCATGGGGGTGGGTTTTAGGACATGTTGAGCAAATCAAATGTCGTGTAGATGTCCTGAAATGTCATGACATGTGTTGGTAGGTTGGATGTCATGGGGGTGGGTTTTAGGACATGTTGAGCAAATCAGATGTCATGTAGATGTCCTGAAATGTCATGACATGTGTGGTTAGGTTAATGGTGTATGTAGGTAATATTACTTGAATTTTTAAAAATTACATGCAGGTGAAAAAGAAGTCATGTCTGTGTATTAAATGAGATTTAGGTTTCACTATGTTTTCATACATTGTTGAATGTATTAGAGAAACACGTATCTTTATATATTGATAAATGTGAAAATGAGAAATACACATTTTGAAATATGATTGTATAAATGAGAAACACATATTTTCATTATTGATGAATGTATAAGAGAAACATATTATCATATATTGATAAATGTTAAAATGAGAAATACATGTTTTCAAATATTGTTGAATGAAAAAATTAGAAAGATATGTTTACAGATATTAATGAATGTTTAAAGGAGAAACACATATTATCTGATATTGATGCATGTTTAAATGAGAAACACATATTTTCAGATATTGATGAGTGTGTAAATGAGAAACACATATGTTCAGATATTAATGAATGTTTAAATGAGAAACACATATTTTCAGATATTGATGAATGTTTAAATGAGAAACACATATTTTCAGATATTATTTAATGTTTAAATGAGAAACACATATGTTCAGATATTGATGAATGCTTAAATGAGAAACACATATTTTCAGATATTGATGAATGTTTAAATGAGAAACACATATTTTCAGATGTTGATGAATGTTTAAATGAGAAACATATATTTTCAGATATTGATGAATGTTTAAATGAGAAACATATATTTTCAGATATTGATGAATGTTTAAATGAGAAACACATATTTTCAGATATTGATGAATGTTTAAATGAGACACACAACTGTAACACCACCACTCAGACTTGTGAAAACACCATTGGCTTTTACACCTGCAACTGCAAAGATGGTTATCAATTAGAGCAAAGCTCCTACACCTGCACAGGTATCTAGAGAGATTGAGTCATTCATTTAACTTTTGTTTATTTCATGTGGATAATAGTCAGGGTCCTAAACACTTAATTACATTTTTTTAGCAGGAATTTTAAAAATAACATCAGACTGACGACAAAGGAAGTGAGTTAAATAAAAGCTTGTAAAAAAGATATCTTGGCAGTTGAATGAATATTATCTATATCTAAGATCAGATAATAATGAATGAAATTTCATCAATACAATTTAGTCAATACCTTTGATCAGATATTGACCAATGTAATCAGGACTTTTGATTAGATATTGACTAAAAAAATCAATACCTTTGATCAGATAATGACCAATGTTATCTAACACTTTGATCAGATATTGATCAATGTACTCAATACCTTTGATCATATATTGATCAGTATAATCAATATATTGACCTATGTAATCAATACCTTTGATCAGATATTGACCAATGTAATAAAAAAATTTGATTAGATATTGATCAATATAATCAATACCTTTGACCAGATATTGACCTATGTAGTCAATACCTTTGATCAGATATTGACCTATGTAATCAATACCTTTGATCAGATATTGACCTATGTAATCAATACTCTTTGACCAGATATTGACCTATGTAATCAATACTCTTTGACCAGATATTGACCTATGTAATCAATACCTTTGACCAGATATTGACCTATGTAATCAATAATGTTGACCAGATATTGATGAATGTGAAGAGAACACCAGCTACTGTGGTCAGCACTGCCACAACCTGGTTGGGTCATACAAGTGTTCCTGTGACCCAGATGGTTTTGAACTCTACACCCAGAATGGGACAAATGGATACTTTCTCCCTCAGGCTGAGGATGGCTCGGAGCCTGATCACAAGTACCACATCAACCACACCTGTGTCTGTAAGTTTATCATACCTGATTGTATCACACCTGTCTGTATCACACCTGTCTGTAATTTATAACACCTGTGTCTGTATCACACCTGTCTGTATCACACCTGTCTGTATCACACCTGTCTGTATCACGCCTGTCTGTATCACACATGTCTGTATCACACCTGTCTGTAGCACACCTGTCTGTATCACACCTGTCTGTAGCACACCTGTCTGTATCACACCTGTCTGTATCACACCTGTCTGTAATTTATAACACCTGTGTCTGTATCACACCTGTCTGTAGCACACCTGTCTGTAGCACACCTGTCTGTATCACACCTGTCTGTATCACACCTGTCTGTAGCACACCTGTCTGTAATTTATAACACCTGTGTCTGTATCACACCTGTCTGTATCACATCTGTCTGTATCACACCTGTCTGTATCACACCTGTCTGTATCACACTGTCTGTATCACACCTGTCTGTATCACACCTGTATGTATCACATCTGTCTGTATCACATCTGTCTGTATCACACCTGTCTGTATCACACCTGTCTATATCACACCTGTCTGTATCACATCTGTCTGTATCACACCTGTCTGTATCACACCTGTCTATATCACACCTGTCTGTATCACACCTGTCTGTATCACACCTGTCTGTAGCACACCTGTCTGTATCACACCTGTCTGTAGCACACCTGTCTGCATCACATCTGTCTGTATCACACCTGTCTGTATCACACCTGTCTGTATCACGCCTGTCTGTAGCACACCTGTCTGTATCACACCTGTCTGTAGCACACCTGTCTGTATCACACCTGTCTGTAGCACACCTGTCTGTATCACACCTGTCTGTATCACACCTGTCTGTATCACACCTGTCTGTATCACACCTGTCTGTATCACCCCTGTCTGTAGCACACCTGTCTGTAGCACACCTGTCTGTAGCACTCCTGTCTGTAGCACACCTGTCTGTAGCACATGTCTGTATCACACCTGTCTGTATCACACCTGTCTGTATCACACCTGTCTGTAGCACATGTCTGTATCACACCTGTCTGTATCACACCTGTCTGTATCACACCTGTCTGTATCACACCTGTCTGTATCACACCTGTCTATATCACACCTGTCTGTATCACACCTGTCTGTATCACACCTGTCTGTATCACACATGTCTGTATCACACCTGTCTGTATCACACCTGTCTGTATCACACCTGTCTGTATCACACCTGTCTGTATCACACCTGTCTGTAGCACACCTGTCTGTATCACACCTGTCTGTAATTTATAACACCTGTGTCTGTATCACACCTCTCTGTATCACACCTGTCTGTATCACACCTGTCTGTATCACACCTGTCTGTATCACACATGTCTGTATCACACCTGTCTGTATCACACCTGTCTGTATCACACCTGTCTGTAGCACACCTGTCTGTATCACACCTGTCTGTAATTTATAACACCTGTGTCTGTATCACACCTCTCTGTATCACACCTGTCTGTATCACACCTGTCTGTATCACACCTGTCTGTATCACACATGTCTGTATCACATGTCTGTATCACACCTGTCTGTAGCACACCTGTCTGTATCACACCTGTCTGTAGCACACCTGTCTGTATCACACCTGTCTGTATCACACCTGTCTGTAGCACACCTGTCTGTAGCACACCTGTCTGTATCACACCTGTCTGTATCACACATGTCTGTAGCAACCTGTCTGTATCACACCTGTCTGTATCACACCTGTCTGTATCACACCTGTCTGCATCACACCTGTCTGCATCACACCTGTCTGCATCACATCTGTCTGTATCACACCTGTCTGTATCACACCTGTCTGTAGCACACCTGTCTGTAGCACACCTGTCTGTATCACACCTGTCTGTATCACACCTGTCTGTAGCACACCTGTCTGTAGCACACCTGTCTGTATCACATCTGTCTGTATCACACCTGTCTGTATCACACCTGTCTGTAGCACACCTGTCTGTATCACACCTGTCTGTAGCACACCTGTCTGCATCACATCTGTCTGTATCACACCTGTCTGTATCACACCTGTCTGTATCACACCTGTCTGTAGCACACCTGTCTGTATCACACCTGTCTGTAGCAACCTGTCTGTATCACACCTGTCTGTATCACACCTGTCTGTATCACACCTGTCTGTATCACACCTGTCTGTATCACACCTGTCTGTATCACACCTGTCTGTATCACCCCTGTCTGTAGCACACCTGTCTGTAGCACACCTGTCTGTAGCACTCCTGTCTGTAGCACACCTGTCTGTAGCACATGTCTGTATCACACCTGTCTGTATCACACCTGTCTGTATCACACCTGTCTGTAGCACATGTCTGTATCACACCTGTCTGTATCACACCTGTCTGTATCACACCTGTCTGTATCACACCTGTCTGTATCACACCTGTCTATATCACACCTGTCTGTATCACACCTGTCTGTATCACACCTGTCTGTATCACACATGTCTGTATCACACCTGTCTGTATCACACCTGTCTGTATCACACCTGTCTGTATCACACCTGTCTGTATCACACCTGTCTGTATCACACCTGTCTGTAGCACACCTGTCTGTATCACACCTGTCTGTAATTTATAACACCTGTGTCTGTATCACACCTCTCTGTATCACACCTGTCTGTATCACACCTGTCTGTATCACACCTGTCTGTATCACACATGTCTGTATCACACCTGTCTGTATCACACCTGTCTGTATCACACCTGTCTGTAGCACACCTGTCTGTATCACACCTGTCTGTAATTTATAACACCTGTGTCTGTATCACACCTCTCTGTATCACACCTGTCTGTATCACACCTGTCTGTATCACACCTGTCTGTATCACGCCTGTCTGTAGCACACATGTCTGTATCACACCTGTCTGTAGCACACCTGTCTGTATCACACCTGTCTGTAGCACACCTGTCTGTATCACACCTGTCTGTATCACACCTGTCTGTAATTTATAACACCTGTGTCTGTATCACACCTGTCTGTAGCACACCTGTCTGTAGCACACCTGTCTGTATCACACCTGTCTGTAGCACACCTGTCTGTAGCACACCTGTCTGTAATTTATAACACCTGTGTCTGTATCACACCTGTCTGTATCACATCTGTCTGTATCACACCTGTCTGTATCACACCTGTCTGTATCACACCTGTCTGTATCACACCTGTCTGTATCACACCTGTCTGTATCACATCTGTCTGTATCACATCTGTCTGTATCACACCTGTCTGTATCACACCTGTCTATATCACACCTGTCTGTATCACATCTGTCTGTATCACACCTGTCTGTATCACACCTGTCTATATCACACCTGTCTGTATCACACCTGTCTGTATCACACCTGTCTGTATCACACATGTCTGTATCACATGTCTGTATCACACCTGTCTGTATCACACCTGTCTGTATCACACCTGTCTGTATCACACCTGTCTGTATCACATCTGTCTGTATCACACCTGTCTGTAGCACACCTGTCTGTAGCACACCTGTCTGTATCACACCTGTCTGTATCACACATGTCTGTAGCACACATGTCTGTATCACACCTGTCTGTATCACACCTGTCTGTAATTTATAACACCTGTGTCTGTATCACACCTGTCTGTATCACACCTGTCTGTATCACACATGTCTGTATCACACCTGTGTCTGTATCACACCTGTCTGTATCACACCTGTCTGTATCACACCTGTCTGTATCACACCTGTCTGCATCACACCTGTCTGCATCACACCTGTCTGCATCACATCTGTCTGTATCACACCTGTCTGTATCACACCTGTCTGTAGCACACCTGTCTGTAGCACACCTGTCTGTATCACACCTGTCTGTATCACACCTGTCTGTAGCACACCTGTCTGTAGCACACCTGTCTGTATCACATCTGTCTGTATCACACCTGTCTGTATCACACCTGTCTGTAGCACACCTGTCTGTATCACACCTGTCTGTTGCACACCTGTCTGCATCACATCTGTCTGTATCACACCTGTCTGTATCACACCTGTCTGTATCACACCTGTCTGTAGCACACCTGTCTGTATCACACCTGTCTGTAGCAACCTGTCTGTATCACACCTGTCTGTATCACACCTGTCTGTATCACACCTGTCTGTATCACTCCTGTCTGTATCACACCTGTCTGTATCACACCTGGCTGTATCACCCCTGTCTGTAGCACACCTGTCTGTAGCACACCTGTCTGTAGCACTCCTGTCTGTAGCACACCTGTCTGTAGCACATGTCTGTATCACACCTGTCTGTATCACACCTGTCTGTATCACACCTGTCTATATCACACCTGTCTGTATCACACCTGTCTGTATCACACCTGTCTGTATCACACATGTCTGTATCACACCTGTCTGTATCACACCTGTCTGTATCACACCTGTCTGTATCACACCTGTCTGTATCACACCTGTCTGTAGCACACCTGTCTGTATCACACCTGTCTGTAATTTATAACACCTGTGTCTGTATCACACCTCTCTGTATCACACCTGTCTGTATCACACCTGTCTGTATCACACCTGTCTGTATCACACATGTCTGTATCACACCTGTCTGTATCACACCTGTCTGTATCACACCTGTCTGTAGCACACCTGTCTGTATCACACCTGTCTGTAATTTATAACACCTGTGTCTGTATCACACCTCTCTGTATCACACTTGTCTGTATCACACCTGTCTGTATCACACCTGTCTGTATCACACATGTCTGTATCACACCTGTGTCTGTATCACACCTGTCTGTATCACACCTGTCTGTATCACACATGTCTGTATCACACCTGTGTGTGTATCACACCTGTCTGTATCACACCTGTCTGTAGCACACCTGTCTGTATCACACCTGTCTGTATCACACCTGTGTCTGTATCACACATGTCTGTATCACACCTGTCTGTAGCACACCTGTCTGTATCACACCTGTCTGTATCACACCTGTCTGTATCACACCTGTCTGTATCACACCTGTCTGTAGCACACCTGTCTGTATCACACCTGTCTGTATCACACCTGTCTGTAGCACACCCGTCTGTATCACATCTGTCTGTATCACACATGTCTGTATCACACATGTCTGTATCACACATGTCTGTATCACACCTGTCTGTATCACACCTGTCTGTATCACACCTGTCTGTTTCCCACCTGTGTCTATGAATTTTTCATGCCCGTGCTTATCATATATGTCTATCTGGTATTCACATGTGTGTCCGGTTATCACACCTGGTAATTACATCTGTTTTCACACCTGTGTCTTTAGACTTTGCCTAATAAAAAAAGAATTAAATCCTCCATGTGCTGTTGTTAAAACAATTCTATTAACTGTTCACTCCACCTGTCTGCAGACACTGTGTGTGACAACACACCTGACCAGCCATTAAATGGGACCTTCCTGACCAAAAGGTCTCGCTTTGTCTACAATGAAACTGTTGCCGTAGCTTGTGAATTTGGCTTTAAGATTGAAGGTCCATCTAGTGTCAGATGTTTGGGCAACAACAGCTGGACACAAGTTCCAACCTGTAAAGGTAAGATTTTGTTCCATGTCTTTTTTACTTTGGTGATTGTTTTTTTAAAAATCTGAATAAGATGTTGCAATTTTATCAATATTTGTACTTATGTTAATTTATTCTAATGTTCCGATATGGAAATTGTTGGTTAAACCCTCATAATCCTCCACTCTCTCTTAAAATATATATATATATATAAAATTTTTATCAATATTTTGTACAACTGTATTTAACATTAAAAGTTGTCCATACTTTTGACAAGTTTTACCATTATCTGTACTTTAACACATTAAACTACTAGTTTAATGTGTTAATTATCAAATCAGATAATTTTGTTTCCTAAATTTTTCTGTATAGTATAAATAATTTCAGTTATAACTTAATAACTATAAATATTTTGTTGTTGTTAGTTTATCATGATTTATGATATTAGTTCATTTAGCTAAGCTGGGTGTATTTTTGATTTGTTATATTTCTCTGGTGACAGTCATTGCAAAAATATAAAATTTAATTCGGTTTATACCAGAAATGTATTGCGACGACATTCCTCCCAAGAGTGACCTTGAGGCTGGCAGAATCCCAGATGGAAAAACAAGGCTGGAACCAGGAGAAGAACTGGTCATCATCTGCCGCACAAAGCACAGCAGTGAAACTGTTAACAAGACACTCTTCTGTGCACCAAACAGGACAGGGGCTTTTGAGTTGCAGGGAGATAACCCTACCTGTCCAGGTAAAGTATTCAGTTTTGAAGTTATAAACAACCCTGAATGCTACTAAAACAATTTTAACAATGAAAATTCTGCAGGGATTTTAGAATAATTAACAATGATATTGATTCTGAGAAATGTTATTAAATAATTGCCTGCTCATATTAAATTAAGTAGTGATGCAGTAAAGGAACAGTAAGTTCAGTTTACCTCTAACCATTTTTTAGCATATGATTTATTAAATAATTATTTGCTCAATTAATGACTCTAGTAATTTAGCTCAAAACAATCAGAAGCCATCAGTAATATATTATATGGGATGATGTGGCTTAGCGGTAGAGCACTAGACTGCTAACGTTAAAGTCTGGAGTTTGAATCCAGGTTCAAGTCAGTAGAATGTCCCTGAGTTCTCCCAGCTCTGATGGGTACCTAACTCATGTTAGAGAAAATTAAGGCGGCTTGGCATAATGCTGACCACACTGTCCCTTTATATGCCCAGGTCACTGAAACAGATAAACTCTACTCCACCTGCCTCTTGGGCACGAATGGGAAAAGCTTATAATTACTAATATTATTACTCAAAAAAACTGTCCTGTTCTTTATTGGACAGGATGATCTATAGTACAAATGATTAGCATTTCTTTTTAGAATATAAAGTGGTTTATGTGGTCAGATTTATGCCTGGGCTTTCTTTATTTTCCCCAAACAAGTCAAGCTAGTATCAGAGTTAAGTGGACTCAGGGTCATCCCATGGAATTGATACAAACCAGAGATTTTGGGGCTATTGCTCATCCATACTACCATTTGACTAGATAGTTACACAATTAAAAGTAACAACACAACAATTTTTTAAAGACTAGATAGTTACTCAATATAAAAAGTAACAACAAAACAATTTTTAAAAGACTAGATAGTTATACAATTAAAAGTAACAACACACCATTTTTTCAAGGCTAGATAGTTACACAATTAACAAAGGTAACGACACTACAATTTTTTTTCAAAACTTGATAGTTACACAATTAAAAGTGACAACACAACAATTTTTTAAAAACTAGATCTTTGCACAATAAAAAGAAACAACACTATAATTTTTTTTAAGACTAGATAGTTACACAATTTAAAGTAACCACACAACAATTTTTTTACAGACTAGATAGTTACGCAATTAATAAAAGTAGCAACACTACAATTTTTTAAAAACTAGATATTTACACAATAAAAAGTAACAGCACAGCAGTTTTTTTTACAGACTAGATAGTTACGCAATTAATAAAAGTAGCAACACTACAATTTTTTAAAAACTAGATATTTACACAATAAAAAGTAACAGCACAGCAGTTTTTTTTACAGACTAGATAGGTACACAATTAATAAATGTAACAACACTACAATTATTTTACAGACCCAACCTGAAAATTATTCTCAGACAAATAAGGCTCTGTGCAGTCAGGGCAAGTGTTAAAGTAAACATTTGTTTTTCTATTTGTTGATATCAGAGAAATGTTTATTTGTTCTAGAGGTGGACTGTGGCGAGGTCTGGAACATTCCTGGCGCTGTTGTTGACAGGCCCGCTAACACAACGTATGGAAGCCAGTTTGAGTTTAAGTGTAACAGTGAGAAAGGATTTAAACTCAGGGGGAATTCCTCACTGGGCAACACTACAGTTGAGTGTCAGAGCAACGGCATCTGGGGCTACAACAGTCTTACCTGCATAGGTGGGTTCTGCTTGTACTATACTAGTTATCCTTACCTGTAATGGTGCGATGTGCTTACATTCTTATCTAGGTAGGTGGGTTGTGTTTGTATGATACTAGTTATCCTTACATGCATAGTTGGGTTGTGTTTGTACTATACCTAGTTATGTTTACCCAGATAGGTGGGTTTTATTTGAATGACACCTGGTTATTTTACATTTTTATCTGCAAAGGTGGGTTGAATTTGAACAAGATCTTTGCCATTTACTGTAATCTTAAAAGTAAAGTTTCTATAGAGCAGAAGAATATGACCCTGGCATAGAAATAAGAGATGGTCCCACATTGTTGTCAGCTTTATACAAGTTGAATTAGAAAATAAATACAATGTAATATGTGTAACTTCTGACATAAAATAATTTCAGTTTATTTTCATTATTTTTATACCTGGTTGTGTTTAAACTTGACTAGGGCACTTTCTCAAAAATATCTTTAGTCCCTACAGTTATTTAATCACAAGGATATATACCTGTCTATAAAACACAAAATGAAAGTTATTGTTGAGGCGCTATGCTTCACAAGGAGTAAAGAGGACTAAGTCAATATCATAAAAAAACCTAATATATTTTCCAGCCCATTTAAAATTCTATTGGCCCCCGCCTGCAGCCTAGTCACCCTTTCCCTCTATCCCCCACCACTAACAAATCATAAATGTACTTATAAAGGTCATAGCTGTGGAGACCCAGGCACCAAGGCAGGGACAAGGCAGATTGTAAATACAAGCTATGAGGTTGACCAGGTGGTGACCTACGAGTGCGAACAGACAAACTACACGGCTGAACGGACACACCTGATCTGTGAGTTCCACAATGGAACAGCTAAGTGGAGTGGGGAGGCACCACTATGTGTTGGTATGTCTCTAGTTTATATTTTTCATTAAATATTTCCTTACAAAATTAAATGGTTGTGAATAAATTTCACCCATAGTATTAAAACTGCAGCACATGAAGAATTTAAATAAACCACAGGATAATTCCTTAAGAAGTCAACAACTAGTTGCTGAAATTTTATTTGTATAATTATACTTTTTTAAAATTGATTCTTTATGATTTAAACTTTGCTTTCAGTTCTGAAATTGTATTTTCACATACTTTTTTATGTTGCGCTTGAGTTTATCAAAGTCTGCTTTCAATGATAAGATGATATCACATTTTTGAAAATTTTTGAAAATTTGAAATCGGGTGGTTACTTTTGTGTGTGCTTTCTTCATGATTAAATTTGAGCAGTGTATAAGTGAAACTCCCACAATAATTCCAGACACACAGAAACCAACCATCACCTGCCCAAAGGATAAGTCACTCAGCTTGTATGAAACCATAACCTATGACCCCCCAAAAGTAACAGACAACTCTGTACATTCTTGCTATATGCTGAAGTCAGGACCACCCTCTGGCGTGGCTGTCATATCAAATGACACAACAATCAAATTTCAGGCTTATGATCCACACAATTTTAGCCAATCAGTGGACTGCGAGTTTACGATTTATTTGAAAGGTGAGGAGTTTAGGTCTGTTTTGTTCAAATATTTACTCATTAAGTAATTCAATTTTATCCAAAGATTTATAAGAACAGTCTCTCCTTTTTTAACAACTGTTGACCGTTTCAGATTTCTTAAAAAAATATTACTTGCAATACCGTCCCTATCTTAAAACTTAGGTTTAATAGGGTACCATTTTGATTAAGAATTAGCAACAATTAACCCCACACCACAAGTTCCACCAATTTAAAAAATCCTCAGATTCCACTACCAAAGAAAAATACATAAATGTGTTTATCTTTTATTCCTCCAAATTAATTGTTTTCACCAAATTTTTCTTTCAGCCATCTCCAGGCCAGAAATAATTTGTCCTGTGTCACATGATGTTGTTCTAACAGAGAATTTACCTAAGACCATCACATTCAATGAATCCTTTATAGTCTCCTCCACCCCCAACACTACCCTCACCTTTACACCCCCGAGCCTAGAGGTAACAGCAGGGAATGTTTATGCCATCAGAGCCAGGGTACAGGGAGACAATCCATTTTACAAAGAATGTGCTTTTCTGCTCAATGTTACAAGTAAGAACATTTGGATCAGAGTCAATCATTTAAGTTTTTTTTCTTAATTAAATGTGCTATTTGTGTTCACTCTCTGCTGAGCAAATTGCAAGTCATTGATATAAGTTGAATGGTATACTTAAGCTATAACTAAACAAGTTTTGACCTGTGAACTAAGTGGTGTAAAATTAAGAAGTATTGTGCCATTTTACAAGTGAATACAAGAGAACTGCATATTTGAAGGCAAAGTAAATAAACATATATTTATGTATATCAATGTGAAGCAAAGTAGGGCAAAACTAAACAGCAACATTTGACCTAACAGCCTTCATATTTTAATTTTTTTAAAACTGTTTTAAATCTGAATGTATTAATTGTGATTTGATGATATTAATTTAGTTTTAATTAGATTATTGAGTGTTGTTATTTTAACAACCGTTTCAGCTGTATCTTGCTATAAAGATGTAATCAAAGCTCCAGGAAATGGAAGCATCAACTGCACGGGAAACAACAGTACTATGACATGTACAGCTGCCTGCAATGCTGATTTTCTGTTCCAAGACAAGACTCAAGCGCAAAACTTCACATGCACTAATGGGATGTGGTCACAAGCTAGTTCAATGGACTGTCTTGGTGAGACTTATTTTGAACAACACAATAAACACTTTCATCCATTTAATTTAGGAAGCATACACTTTAGTTAAATATGGAAAATGTAAAAAAATAGAGGTTTTTTGTTGTTGGCCAGGGTCAAGATAGCCTTGCTTTTGTCAGTCCTTTTTCTGCTGTGCACCACCATATCCTGCTTGGCTTTCCCATTTTCTTTTTCCAGTGAAACACCATTCCTGTGATATCAACTAAACATTCTTAAACCTTGGCCATAATGACACCATAATCTTTTGCAAACATCAAGGCAGAGTACTTTTGAACATGCTTTATAAGTTGTTCATATGCTTTTGACAAAGCCGTCAAAAATGTTTTTTTTCATCATCATGTAGCTTGTATTACATTTTTCTGTTCTGTAATTATTTAAACTTTGGAAAGCTGATTAACCATAGTCTAACATTAAGTAGTGGCTGATCAGTGCAATGTATCACAGCCAGTCTGATAATAAAGGAATCACCAACTCTTTCCTTAAAATTAATTCTATTCTTAATCCCTAACCTTTATACTGGCAGAATAAAAAACTACATACAACACTTCATTAACCTACATTCTTTTTTTTCTTTTAGAACTTAAAAACACTTTGGTTGGTTATGACATATCTGTCACGTATAACACTACAACACAAATGCTGGCAGGGTTTGATAATCAATGCTTTTTTGAGCATCACACAATTCTATTGAACAACATAAAACTAAGTGAAATTTGTGGAGCATCAAGAACTTTGGCAACAAATCTAAAGTCAAGTCGTTCTACACTAATGAGTGTAAGTATGTTAAAATAAATGTAAAAAAAACTTGATCAAGGAATTGGTATGCCTAAACAATATCACCAATCACATGTCTATGGAGAGGGCTACATTAAAGAAAACTTCATATCAAAGTATTTTAAATAAAATTCCAATTGAAATATTTAACCACTGGCCATGTTGCAAAATAAAAATTGTAGCAATATTTTTCTCATTGATTAATTACAGCAAAGTTAAAATTAAAATGTCTACTTTACCAATCAGCTAATAAATAGGAAGTGTTGACAGGTCAAATTAACTGTTCTCTGCTAAGCAAAACAAGTTTAGGGTTAGGTTTGTCTTAACGTAATATCTAGTTTAAACTGATTGGGAGGGGGGGGGGGGGCAGTATTTAAAACAAAGTTGTTACATAATTTTTAAAACCACAATTTAAAATTAATTTTTCTAAAAACTGAATTTAAAATTATGGGCATTTTGTTTTATTTCACAGATCACAACAACTTTAACCTTGAAATTATTCACAAATGCCAATGCAACATGGTTGGAACAATGCATCAAAGACACTTTGAACTCTGAAGTATTTGGCCCCACATCTCCTATGGTAACTGGCAAAGATTGCTCTACTCCATGGACTGTTGGCAATTCTGAAGCCCCAAAAAACTTAGGCATTAGTTGTGATGATAAAAGTTATGAGATACGTTTTCAAAATGAAAGTTTTTGCTGTGAGTAATTAATAGATTTATGTTGACAAATCCCTCATGATCTAATTCTGCATTTCTTGAGACTGTTTCACTAGTCTACTTCATACTCATAAGTAAAACATCAAACATCCACAGAATTATATTTGAAAATTGCCTCAGCAATCATAGAATAAAAGCCTGGCATTCATGAACATCTGTTTTATTAAACACAAGGACATTAATTCATGAATACAGGTGACCAGTGATTGGCATACACATCAAATAGTCTTCTTTTGAAATTTAAATTTACAAACAAAAAATATTTTAAATATAATTAGTTTTTTTTTATTTTAAAGATTTAGTAATGTGTCTGCCTCATATACATTTAATCTTTGAAATTTTGAAATACTGACTTGAATCCTTCATTTTTTCTTGTTTCAAGGGTCTTTTAAAACTTTACTTTTCGGGGAAGTAGAGCTTAATGCTATCTTTTGCATATTTTTTAATCAATAGTACCATGTGGAGCAGGGATGAATTTTAGTTCCACATGCCAGACATGCCCTGATGGAACCTACCAGGATGAAGATGGTCAGACAGCATGCAAACCTTGTCCTGATGGCATTAAACATTCCTCCCTACCACGTACACATGTGGAGAACTGTATTGGTTAGTATAAGTCTTGTTCGTTCAGCATTTGTTTTTAAATTATAATAGATCTGCTGTATAATACTTAAGATTTCTGATCAATAAATAAATTGAAAGTTTAGTGCCTGTAGGTTTACTAAACTTGTTTGATTTTACAAAAATGAATACAAAGCCCTTTGACATGACTCCTTTTAGCTGTGAGTTATGGATTGATTTTGGAAAGCATTGAATCAAATATTTAATGATACAATGCAAATCTTACATTTTAAGTTTTCTCAATAATTTGCCTTATCATACATTTCCTCACCATTACAGCCCTATGCCCTAGTGGTTTCAATAGCTCGACTGGTTATGTTAAAGATGGCTGCACAGCGTGTCCTACTGACACCTACAGTTCACCAGATCGCTTAAGCTGCACTCCATGTCCAAATGGTGGTTCAACCGTAGGTGTATCTGGTGCTGTTAACAAAAGTTTTTGTTTTGGTGAGATTTGTTGCCTTTAAGAATCTCCTAAATTAAATAATGCTGTTGGTTCATGTTTTTATTATGAATAGATTAATATTTCTATATATTTCTAGATGTTTCTGCCATAAAAAGGTTTTAAATATTGGAGAGGCTGCGGAGTTTGGAGTTGGGTGCCACAAGCTCCCCAGTAGCTATCTTAGCAAATGGGGTCAAGGGTATTAGTTGAATCAACTGTTAAACTGCACCATGTTGTGGACAAACTCATGCCCCAACATTAAGAATAAACACATGTAGTGCCAACCTTCTTTTATTTAAATATTTAAATAACTGAGTTCTAATCAACAAAAAATTATAAATTTTTATCTAAGAATAGCTAATAGCTCAAACTGATATGCCATGCCATTTTATTGGCACCTTAAACAGAAGTGGGACTTATTGTTAGTCTTAATACATTACTTGACAACACACTGTAGATGCATTATTTTGTAGTTTAACTCACATATTGAATAAAATTCCTTTTCTTAGATAGCAGCGACACCCTACCCCAAAGGGTCAGAGAGTGTGTGTATATATATATATATATATATATATATATATATATATATATATATATATATATATATATATATATATATATATATATACACACATATTTCCACACATATATCCACACATATATCCACACATTTGTGTATGTGTATAACATATATGTATATAGTTCAAGCCATAAGGTATTTTTGTGTAAATTAGACCCATGCCTACCCGGAGAGTATTCTGTAACTGGGTATCAACCATGTAACGAGTGCCCTCTACATTTCTACACCGATCATAACAAGTCACTACAGTGCGAGGAGTGCCCTGAAGATACCTACACAGACAAGCCAGGATCAACAAGCTTGACAGACTGCTCAAAGAAAGGTGTGTTGTTTTCAATATTATATTAAGTTCTTTTAAGTTTATGTAGTCTTTATTTACTGTTGGTACTTATATGTACCATCTTAATTTAACTTGTGTAGAACAGGTGTATATTTTTAAAGACAATGCTTAAATATATTAATTAAACAAATACTATTGTATCCCCTAAGTCACCGGTTAAGGTAGAATTTTTTCCAAAAATCAGAGATGCGGCGCTATTTTCAATCTCTTTCCGTAATGGTGGTTTTCAAGCAAAATATATTTTTATTAGAGTCTTCATAGTCAGGTGAGTGTGTTAATTCTTGTTTACTATTTTAATCAAATTGTTCTTGTATTAGATCAATATTTATGCTAATATTTGTAAGAATATGGTCATATTATTTGTTACAATTTCTTAGAAATGGTCTCATTTTGATGGGCAATGACATAAATGTTAAATAATATTTTGATTTTAAATGTTTAAATTATACTTAAAATGATATTTATATATTTAGAAGAAAGTTTATCTAACTATAATATTAATTGAATTAATATCTCTTTGGTATATATAAAGAAGTAAACAGTACATCTAAAATCCTAATTTATGAAGTCAGTTCCTTTCTACTTAGGATTTTTACTACTGAGATGTAGGCCTGGTATAAGCTCTATTACAGTCATACTGAAATTACTAGAGAAATTTGGTAGTAGTGTAAACATATTGGATGACTTGGCTTTCTTTTTCAATATATTTTGTAGTTTCCTATTTTTTGTATGGTTTAGGCAAATCTGTTTAAATGTCATGCCACAAAAATTGTTTGTTTTCAAATCATGACCACATATTAATACTTTATTATTCTATTTTATTTCTACATATGTCATCTGAGAAGTATTTCAATTGATAAGAGATCAAGTGTCTTCTTGAGGCATTAGCAGCAACTTGTGATCACTGATGAAAACATTGCTAATGAATTAGAATAAAAGAGCTGGTGTTCAACTTCTTGACACTGAATCAGAATATTTGAGTGATGTGAAGAGCTACACTCTTCTCCTCAAATGAAGTGATCTAAGCTTCCACTATCTACCAGTCTGCTTGAGTTTCTATAAGGGACATTGCTTGATAAAACTTTGAAACTGATATATTTTTGACTTTGATGCCTCATCACACTATAGAACATATTTAATTCCAAAATGAATGTGTACATTAATAAAATACAGCAACATGTCAAGGCATTTAAACTTTCATAGTTCTATTCATTTTTGGATCTGCACTGTTACTTAGGATACCATTGCTTGCCACAAATAAATCTCTATTGGTGTGCTGACATGGAGATTGTAGATCCAGTGAGCTCTTAAAAACTTTTGTAGAAACAGATACTTAAAAATTTAGTCGAAGTTACAATTCAGTAACATTAGATACAATTTTCAAGAGGCCTTTGATACCCAACCTGAATCAAATGTTTCAGCATCAGAGTACAGCAATACTTGTGTAAACTCAAGAGTATTGCTGCTTGAGTTTTTGCCACAATTTGTTTTATTGTTCTTGGAAATTGTGCAGCAAAAACAGTGTGGTCAAACAACTTTTGCCACTCCAGATGAACCACAAAGCAAAAATGAGAAAAGAAATTTTATCCATCATGGTCATAATAAACATGTACTTTATGTGTAGTAATTTTGTAAGAAAATAAACAATGATTGTCTTAAGCATTACCATGTTTGTTAGTTCATTTGCTAATTTGCATGTGTCTTGTAAATTTTGATTTTTATAAAAAGGAAAGTTCTGTAATGTCCTACATTCCTGATGGTAGTTATAAGTACCACCATATATTTTGTTAGTTAAAATTTTACTAGTTAATTTTCCTTCAATTAATATACAATACAGGAATACAATAATATGTTGGTGCAAGTATTTGCCCTTTAATGCTGAGAGAGTTTTTCTGTATTAGCTAGCTAATTAGTATTTAAAATTGATTCAGTTCAAACAAAATATCTCAAGTGTAATATAGACAATCACGCACTTAAAAAATACTGTCATTTCACAGGACATTTAAAAATGCAGGCATGGATTTCTATTTCTTTTTGGTACATAAATAAAAGAGATAGATATGTAATTTCTTATATATTAAAATAAACATTTAACATAATGATGTCTAATCCCAGATTTCCACAATGTAGTTTTACTAATATAACCCTTTGATTGCACTGCAGTATATATTGTTAATTTATTTTCTACATTTCAACTGTAGTGGATCAGCTGTGCACTGCCAACTACTGCCATGCTGCAGGCTCTAATGGAACTTGTCTTATAAAAGATCATCGACCTGTGTGCACCTGTAATGAAGGTAAAAAAAAAATTCAACCTTGGCTAACACTATATTGGAATTACTTTTCACTAGGCCATTTTCAGTAGTCTTAAATCTAGGGTACACTTTCAAACATGATGGTGCGTATGGCAGATTAAGTGGAGTAAATATTTCATGTTGGCATTAAAGGATTTTATGGTCAGCATTTCACCTAGCCACCATTCTGCCCTGAAACAAGATCATTAACTGTAGTTGAATATTTCTGGCAAGAAATAATTAGCTTAACCATTCAAATATGGTGTACCATTCCTGTATTGATAGAAGCTTAGAAATTCCATGAAGAACATATTTTTTTTAGTACAACCTATCCATAAAATGTAAAAAATATATTAACAATTCTAAATATATTTCAACTTATTAAAGTAAATTAAGTTTAGCTATATACATGAAATAAGATGAAGTGCACTCTAAATTTAATGCTTTACTGATGAAGGTTACCATGGGGACAGATGTAACGAGACCTGTGATATTTGCCATACAAAGCCCTGCTACAATAATGGGACTTGTGTGACCAAAGGATCTGATTACACATGCAGTTGTCCTTACAGTAAGTATAACCTGTTTTAGAGCTATGTGTTATGGCAATTTATAAAGTAAAACTATGTCTAAAATGACTTTTGATATTATTGCAGATGAAATTTGCAAATTTGAACTAGCTACAAACCTTGGGATTCAAACAGGAGATGAAGTGATTATCCAGACCGGTGTGATGACACAAAGGGACTGTGAAGCAAATTGTCTTGAGAACAAAGAATGCTTAGCTTATTATTTTCAGCGTCCTACTTGCCTCATATATTTAACCTTAGTTGTAGTTGTTGATGGTATAGCTAACGTTTACAAAAAGAACTGCACTCAAGTAAATTGTAAGTATATGATTGCATTTTAATTAATGTAGGCATATGCATTGGTATAGTTTAGATATTGTTTGAATATCTGAATATTTCAAAACTCTTACATTACAATAAAATATTGAGTAGAATAAAATAAAATACAATGTAAAAATCAAAATAAAACAAGGTAGCCAATATTTTAACTACTACATGATTAAATCCCTCATAGCAAAGCATTATAAATAAATATAAACACAAAGGAATAAGAAAATTATTTATTATTATTTCAGTATTTGGAGGGAAGCAGTGTGAGCATGACATAGACATCCAGTGTAAGGCTGACACATGCACACAACCTGAATACTGTCAGGAGATGGTTGATGGGTTCAAATGTATTTGCCCTGCTGGTCAAGACTATAATGAAACGTGAGGTTTACACTGCAAGAATTATATTTTAATATTTTGTTTTCTTGGAACTTAGTTCCCATTTTTCAATAAGTCATTGTGTCACATAATCTTCCACTTCTTTTCATTAGATTATGTCACAAGTTGTTCTTGGATAAATTAAAAAAAAATAAAAAATTCTAAGTTGATTATTTGTGCCTACTAGATCTGTTCTCTCTATCAATAATTTTGAGTATGAGATGGTTATCACTTTCTGTATACATACTAATAACAAATTTGAGTAGTCTTCTATTAATATAATTTACATAGCAGACCAGTATAGTGACATGTTCATGGACCACAAGAAACTCATTGGTTATGTTGCTGAATTCATGAGTGTGTGTATATATATATATATATATATATATATATATATATATATATATATATATATATATATATATATATATATATATATATATATATATATATATATATATATATATATATATATATATATATATATATTTTTTTTTTTTTTTTTAAATTATGGATGCTAATGTATTTTCTGAATTAACAAAGCTATTTTGGTAGTTTTCTGATGAACTTGTATCTTTTTTAGTTGTTGCTATTATTCAAATTTTTTTTGTGAAACATTTTTTTAATAATAATATTTTCGAGATTTCTTCCCTAGGTGTGCAATACCAACAGACTTTTGTAGCCCAAATCCCTGTTTGAATGGAAACTGTACGACATTTGACTCAGTACGTTATGAGTGTACGTGTCCACCTGGTTACACAGGCAAGAATTGTGAAAAAAACATTGGTGAGTTTGGGCCAACCATGACTTTTACATATTCAACCTCTTTGTTCTTAGTTGAAATATAGTGAAGGTGATTTCCTCCCATCACAATTAAGCATTCCCTGTCAACATGTGTTAGGTTGACTCAAGACTTCAGCCTGCTTTTCTTTCTGAATTCACTTCCTTAGTCTTCATCCAGCCAAGATCAATCTTCATGGCAGCATTTGTTTGATTTTCTATGTTTTCCCTCCCAAATGGTTTCTGTCCCCAGCTATCAAGCCTCATCTGCCAGGGTTTGAACTCTGGGAGTTAAGGTATTTTGAAGATTAAAATCCTCATACCTTTAATTTAAAACTACCCTCCCCCTGCTTCCACAGATACAAAGAGGTTTAAATTCTGCTTGATTCCATTGTTTTTCTTATGCATGTTAGAATGATGTACAATATATACTCATTTGCAATGTTCCTAATTATTCTAACAATAAATAAAAAGTTAAGCAAGTGGTAGACAATATTTATGCAAATAGCTAGAAGTTTTAAATTTCAAAAAGTAGTTCTAATTTTAAAAGATTGCAGTGTTCTTCTGTTTTCTCTGACCATGTAATATGGAGGGATAGTATGGTCAACACTATGCCCAAATGCCTTTAACCTAAATCAAGCTAAGTACCCATAAAAACAGAGTAGGCTTAGGGGTGTCAATACAGACTAGCCTATAAACACTTTCTAGACTTTCAGGTTAGTAGTTATGTACTATGTATAATTTAACATAAATTTAATATTTTTTTCTTCATCAGATGAATGTAAAGTCAATCCAAAGGGCTGCTTGTATAACGGTACCTGTGATGACAACATAGACGAGTACAGCTGCAGCTGTGCACCTGGTTTTAAGGGCAGCCATTGTGAGGTCAGACACGACATGTGTCAAGATATCACATGTGTAGAAGGAGATGGAGATAAGTGCACTAATGATTACCATTCACTGACAGCCAGCTGCACATGTAGGGAACACTACAGCCTCAGTAAGTTTAGATTTCAATATTACTCTCTAGCTAACTCAATCACTAAACATCACTTGTTGGGTTTGTTACAATAGAATTCTTAAATGCCACACTTTAAAAAAAAATAAATACAATTCTTAACTGCCACAAAATATTAGTTTTTCTAAAAAATAATAAAATTCTTTAAAAGAAAAAAATATTAATCTTTTTATAATAAAATTCTTAAATACCACAAAATATTTTTTTTTCCATCTAATAAATTTCTTTAATGATATAGACCTGCAACCTTATTGAGTTAGTTTTACAATAGCATACCTGAATCAAATACAACTTTCATAAGTTCAACTTAACAGAACTCTTCAGTTCCTCAACAATAGTAAAAGTTGTAATATAAAGTTTCATGCAAAAAAAAAAAAGCCCCTATTTGTCATTCAAACTTTTTGTCATTTTAAAAAAATAAATTAATGAGTTATAATCAATAATATTGACAGCATATCTTGTTTATGTATGTAAATGTATAATCTATAAAAAACTTAAATCCAGGTTCAACAGGCAAGTGTGAGCCAATCAACTACTGTTCCAGCTCGCCCTGCTCTAATGGAGGGACTTGCCAGAATTTTACTGGAGGTTTCAATTGTAGCTGTCCACCAGATTTTATTGGTGCTACATGTCAATTCCAGTGGAAGAATGAAACTGAAACAGACGTCTGTTCAGATTTGGTCAAATGTACAGACAGGATGAAGGAATTTTTTTGTGATTGTCAGAATGAAAGTAGGTCACAGTTAAAGTCAATTTTTGTGATTATAAGTTTTATTTACGGCAGTATTATTTTATGTGTGTAATTTAATATTCAGCATCGCTTATATTGAAAATAAAATTGTCTAATTTAACGTTACACACAAAAATTATCCTGTGTTATTTTTGTAGTCATCTTTCCTGAAGGCACATAAATATTTTCAGCCTTTGTCATGGTTTTACCACAACATTATATATATATTTGCTATGAAGAAATTAAAAAAAAAAGAATATAAAGAATAGATTAGTGATGAATAAAGCCGCATTATTTATTTTCAAATAAATGTATGCCTTAAGTCATATATAATTAAATCTGATTTTTTTTCTCCTTGATGAGAAGGCTAACATTTAAATTTTACATTAGGTGCTCCATGTACGTCAAATTATTCTGCTTGCATAGAAAAATGTCAAAGCTCAAATAACTTGCAAGACATACTCATCTGCAACTGTTTCTGTAGGAATGCAACACTACAAAAAGTGAGTGAGACTCTTCTCATAGCTTTACAGATAATTGTATACATTTATAAGTGTACTTTTTAACATCATGGAAAGAACTCTTTCATTGATGTAGTGTTTTATTATTATATTGTGTAGTGCATTAGACAAAATGTAACATTTATACAAGATTTTATCACGCAGTAGTTGTTTTGTGTTGATTTTTTTATTACAGGCACATTTTATATACATTCATGTGTATGTTTGTAAGTCATGCACCAGTTAATGAATATGTTCCTAAACCTAGATGGATTGATAACATTATAGGCTGCATTGATATTTAGGCTATCCAAATGTATAGTCCATGTGTGCCAGTAGTAAAGTTTTTTTGGACATTTTACTCAAATGACATCTAATAAATCAATTTGCATTGATAGTACCTTTTTAAAAAATTAGTAAAGTATTAAAAAAAATTGTTAACCATGGCTGTGAGAGATGGTTTTATAAAGTACCATCGTGAGTACTGAGATATTTTTATAAAGTGGTCTCTGTGTTGTCAGCTTGGATGAGCACATCTTACATGTGCAGGTGTGTAGCAGGGCGGACATCTTGAATACAGACTCAACAACTGTTCTGATGAGGGGAATAAACTCTCATTGAACAATCAGTGAGAAAATTTACCTGTTTCAGGGGCCTGTTGATATCTGCACAATGGAGAAACCATGTCTGCATGGGGGCAACTGTTCCCATGACAATGAGACGTACACATGTGCATGCCCACTAGGCTGGACAGGTCGTGACTGCGAAGTTGCTGTGGACTACTGTAACCAGAGCAACCCATGTCACAACAATGGCAGCTGCATCAACCTCTGGGACCAGTCTTTCTGTCGGTGAGTAGAACTTTCATAACCTAGTTGGTGAGGAGCGTTAATTGAATTAGTTATGACCTAGCCCCAAACTTAATCATGGAGAGTTTTAATTAAATTAGCCATCACCTAGCCCCAAACTTAATCATGGAGAGTTTTAATTAAATTAGCCATCACCTAGCCCCAAACTTAATTATGGAGAGCTTTAATTAAATTAGTTATTACCAAAGTCCAAAATACTGGTGCAGATATAAAACATGAGACCCACCAATACAAATAGTTTTAAAATTAAAGTATTATCTATCAATATGGTTAATATGAAATGAGATTAAACGACATATATAACAAATGTATTACTGCGTCTTATTATAAAAAAACTGACAGGAGTTTAAACATTATTTTTTAGCTGCTTACCAGGAACAGGAGGAGATACCTGTGAAAATGCTACAGATTTGTGTCACAAATTTAATGATAGCCTGTGTGTAGATGGAACTTGCCAGTCCACAAATGGTAGTGCCCAATGTGACTGTTCAGGTAACTTAATTATTCATTCAGTATCTAGAGCTAGGTGGATAAAGAATAAAGACAAATAAAAAGAATGAAGAATGTTGTTAGGATGTAAAAGAAAAAACTTAACAGAAAAGAAACAGCTTTCAATGCCAAAAAATAATGAAGTAGAATATAGTAAAAAAACCCAACCTTTTAGAATATTATACTTTTTCAGACTTTTTCTTTTAATCTAAAACAAATGCAGGCCTACTGAGGGCTCAAATACTTCCCTCTTCATGTTTCATTTTTAGTGTTTTCTATTGTGATTCCAAGCCTTAGCAATATGAAGCCAAGCTGAATACATCTAAACTAGCAAAACAATGTTTAATCCAAATGATTACACACTTTTTAATAATTTCATTAATCTATTATTATTTAAGTTTAAAAGTAAATAGTATATTAATGTTTTTTTTTTGTAAAGCCAAATATGCTTTAATAAAGTTTAAATATTCCTGTCATCAGAGGGCAGTGCTGGTCAGTCTTGTGAGCTAGAAAAGAACTGGTGTAACCTTGACCTTGGCCTTTGTACACATGGGACATGCGTCTTAAACAACACACAGTTCTATTGTGACTGTGCCAGTGGTCAGTCTGGTAGGTCATCATGTTTTTTTTTTAATAAATATGTTGGTGGTGGTGCATGTGTGTGTGTGGGGGAGGGTAATTTTGACTAAAAGATTATTTTGTTATTTTATTAATAACTAGCGTACCCGTCCCCCGCACGTTGCCGCGGGGATAGAAGAAAGTTTGACGAAATGTATTAGAAGGATTTCACCAACGCGTTACCAATCATATGTTCTTAGACGCGTGACCTTTTCTAAAAGTGAGTTATTTAAATGTAAACAATGCCTGCGCTTGGATCATAAATATCGGGACACGGGTTTACCTACACTACCGCATGAAAACCTTGAGTGTACATTAATCACTAACCGAAATAATATGGTAGAACACATTTCGGTGACTGCCCATGTGTCAGGGACGTAGAGGGGCGTTCTCAGGAGCCCCCCCCCCCCCACCCCCCGATTACACTACCGCATAGGTGCAGCATACGGCCCCTGGCTCCTTAAAACTAACAGGCTCCATTGTGCTCATAGGATAACCCAGCGTGCCAAATAGCACCCTGTAAACAATGATGCAGATTTTGTCATTCGCTAAAGTGACACAAATGAACACGATTTTTTTTCTTTAACACGTAAAAAAATTATTTGACGTGTTTTAAACATCAGTGTGACTGATGCAATATGCTAGCGTTACTAATGGTCTATTATTAGAAGCTCGATCTCAATTTCTGACTGGATTGTCTAATAATAGATGCATATTGCATCATTTGCAAAGTGACGAAACTCTACAGTAGACTCCTCATATTCAAAAAGTTTTATTTTCATCTTTCGCAAGGCGACGAAACTGTACAATAGGATTTCCTCGCGTTACAAATTTATTTTTAGAAGCCTGTTGTAGTTTTACCGCTAAATATAGTAGTACCCCTTACTCGCTATGCAGGACGCTCGATTAATAGATGCGAAGTGCCAACATAGTCGCTCTAAAATTCTGGGCGCCAAATCGTGTCGTGACGAAAGTTGTACCCTATATGGCGCCGCCCATAAGAAACTGTAGTTTCCTTTTTCGCAGAAATATTCTCGGGAGTATTCTCATCTACTCCCTAAAGTTTCATGGCACTCAAATAAACAGCATCTGAGTTTTATTTTTTTATATACCGTGTATAGAGAAAAAAAATTGTTCCCCCCCTTTGGGGGGGGGGGGGGAGGGTGGAGGCGCGCCCTTGCAGTATTAAAAAATATTTTTTTTTGCAGAACCCTACCATTGAGTGTTCTAATCATCTACCCAAAGTTTTATTGGAACACGGATGAACGGTGTGAAACCGAAATAGACTTTTATTTTTATATCCGTTTATAGAGAAAAATCGCAGCCTCCCGTAGCGCCGCCCTTGCAAAATTAAACTCCCCAAAGTTTGATGGCGATCAGATAAATGGTATCGAACCAGAATCGACTTTTATTTTTACGTACCGTATATTGAGAAAAATTCTACCATTCCGTGGCGCCGCCCTTGCGAAATTAAAAAAAAAAGATTTTTTTACAGAACCCTTCCCTGGAGTGTCCCAATCAACTCCCTCAAAATCTCATGCCTATCGGATGAACGGTGTCACTGCAATTCACTTTTATTATTTTTATATACCGTATATAGAGAAAAATCGGACCCTCCCTTGGCGCCGCTCTTGCGAAATTAAAAATTATTTTTTTTACAAAACCCTTCCCTAGAGTAGTATAATGAACTCCCCAAAGTCTCATGGCTATCGAATTAAGGGTGTCAAAATAAAAAATCGACTATTTTTATATACCGTATATAGAGAAAAACAAATCGCGCCACCCCTGCGAATTTGAAATATTTTTTTTCGCAGAAACCTCCCCAGGAATATTCTCAACAACTTCTCAAAGTTTCACGGCAATGTGATAAGAGGTGTAGTAATGCTTAAAGGACAGACAGACAGACACACACACATACATTGCTTTTTATATATATAGATGGGGAGTGGGCGTATAATTGTGATTTTAGCAATGGTCATTCTGATGTTTCATTTCAGCTAATAATCTGAAATTTTTAAAAATTGTAATGGACAATTTAAAGATACAAGATTTCAAAATTACACATAGCTTTTACTTACATTTGAAACACCTCAGCTAATGCAAATAAATTACCCTTTTGGACCTGGTGGTCTATAGGGCTGGTGAAGTAGAGTTCAGCTGTTTCTCTGTCCCTTTAGGTGTGGAAGGTGGTTGCGTGGCAGACTTGTGCTCCACGTGTCTGGACCCCAGCAACTGCCATGTGTATGTTGATGCCAGTGGAGTTCCCACACCTGGATGCATGTGTCCACCTGATCAAGTTGCTGTTGGCAAGGAATGTAAAGGTAAATTTTGTCTGAAGGTGTTGAAAGGGAATGTTTGTCATTTGGTAACTTTTTGGAAAATCTTAATCAACTGCTGATGTTTAATTAGAAAATATTTACACACATTAAGGCACGGGTTCCCAAACTGGGGGTCGCGACCCACCTGGGAGTCACAAAGGGCTTTCTAGGGATCGCCAACTGGTATGCTAAACCTTAGTAATGAAAAACAAAACAAATATTTAAAAGAATATCTGTAATTCGGCTTAACTAACATCACCTGAAATGGAATAGAGAAGAAGCAATGCATACTGTACAAAGCTGTTCTCAGTCACGAGTTTATGAAATATTCAAAACCAAAACTTCATTTGAGGCGTGTCATTCGGATCACACCAAAAAAGATATGCAGTTCTTGCGTCGGCATGAAGCTAGTTGCAAACATCAGAGACTTGATCGAACAGAACGTTTTCACCAAGGAAACACATCATTCGTGCAAGCATCAAATGAAGTCGCGATAGAAAATGTCAAGAAAAAAAAAACACAATAGGAGAAAATCTCATCAATACCTGCAGGTTGAAGATGGTGAAATTTATTCTTGGGTATTACAGTGCATTAAAGATGCAACAAATATCTCTGTCTAATAATACTATTCAGCTGCTTATAGCAGACATGTCCGTAGATGTTAAAGAAAATTTTTTTAATGAAATCAAATTTTCACCATTGTTTGCTTTTCAAGTTGATACATCAACAGACGAAAATTCCTGTTCGCATTTGCTCGTTTTTGTCTATATTCATTCAGGTGATAGCAAAAAAGAGTTGCTATTTTTTGAAATAGCATGGAGAAAATAAATACATTGCTAGTAAAAGTCGTACATTATACTAAATCTGGAGCCTTCAATGAACTGAGCAAAGACATTGATATAGATCACGAGGTTCTTCTTTTCTACTCTACAGTACGCTGGCTGTCAAACGAAATGTTGTGAATCGTGTTTTTGAATTGAAATCTGAAATCAAATTGTTCTTGGACGTACAAAGGAAACAAGATCTTTTGGTATACTTAAAACGACATACAGTGGTTGGAGAGAGTATCTTACCTAGCAGATATATTTGAACATCAACATAAGCTTAACCTGAAGCTTCAGGGAAAAATGAACAAAAATTATCTCTTTTCATAATAATCTCTTTGCATTTTTATCAAAGCTGCAAAATTAGCAAAGAAAATAAATCTTGGAAATATTGTAAAATTGAGAACTCTGATTGTGAGATAATTAAAATTTTGAAAGAAGCAATTCCTGGGCATCTTGAATCTCTTAAAAACGAACTGCGGCGCTATTTTTCTGAGCTGAAAGAAGAAGAATCTGCATTGACGCATTACCCATTCTCTTCTTCCATCGATGTTGCCAGCATTCACGATGAATTACAAAATGAATTCTTTGATTTGTGGAATGATTCCGCGTAAGATGAAAAACTGCTCACTCAATTTTGGTGTAGTATTCACCATTCATACCCAAACGTAAAATTGATTGACTTTTCGAGAATAGATTTTCAACACTATTTTCCGATTAGAAACAAAATTAAGAAATACATTGAATGTTGATAATGACATGGGTTGGCATTAACAATAACTTAACCTCTAATGTTTAGTAAATAGCATGCAATTTTACTCATGCTATTAAAACAGTTATCAGTAATAGTTCATATTGAAATTCTTCTAGAAAATCTTATTTTAGTGCTTATTACTTTCCATACTAATTTCGGCTTTTTAATTTTATGGGGGTCGCGGTCACTTACTTTTTATGAAAGGGGTCGCCACTCGAAAAAGTTTGGGAACCACTGCATTAAGGTGTTCAAGTCCATCTGATGTACCTGAGTCTTGTAAAGCAATGTTTAAGATTTTACTAACCCTTTGCTTCTATTGACATAGTTTACCTTAGTAGTGTAAAAATGTGCTTTGTTATGACTCGGCAGATTTTATAGCAAGGAAAATAGATCTCAAAGTTTTGAGACGTATTTTATTTTATGCATTAATGTTTAACTTCTTGTACTTAATGTTTCAGTGGTAAATGGTGATTTTGATTTGGGCTTCACGAAAGAATTAGCAGAAAAAAAAAAGTATGTGACCTCACAGAATGGATTTACTATTCCACCAAATTCAGATCTGACTGTCTCATTTTGGTTTTTGCAAATTAAAGATGTTCCAGTTGATGGATTTATGCTGGCTTTAATGAAGTATAACAAGTTAAGATAATTCAATTTTTGTATGTCTAATACAGGGGTCTCCAAACTTTTCAGCCTGAGGGCCGCATTAACTATCGAATATCAGTTTGGGGGCCAGAGTTTCTTCCATGCATCTCTTGGGGTGGCGGAGTTCCCCGCAACCCCCACCCCCCAACATCAAAATATAATTTATATAGAAATATATACATATTTAAAATACCACCCCTATTCCCCCCCCCCCCCCAGGAGAAAAAGTCTGAAAGAAACACTGTCAAGGGCCGACAACACACTCGGTGTCTAAAAGTTTGTTCTCCTTGGGCAAACGCTAAAACCCACCTACCATTTTTTTAACTTGTCTCTAAGGAAGTCATTTGCTTGCAATTTAATGACCTCCATCTGCAGTTCATCTGGGGCAACTGGTTACATTTGCTTCAATTGGGATTGAAACAGTCTCACTTCTTCTGCCTTTGAATCCTAGTCAGAAAACCGCTACTGAAAGTGCAGCTGGAGGTCTTTGATGATCTCGCATGCAAATGATTTGGGGAACTCAGCTGTTGCTTCAGCCTTTAAGACGTTGCACTGCTGAAAGTGTGTCAAGTTGTTGCCCTGTGCTCATCCATTGCAATTGAAAAATTGCGAAACTTGTTAGCAGTTTTCACTATCTGAGTCACAATGTTTTTATCAATGTCTGCAACACGGAAGGCAATGGTAATTGCACCCAAAGCTACATATTCAACTTGTTTTAAATTTTATGGGCGAAGTTCCTCAGCCACGTCTAACAAACATTTTTTCCCTGAAAAAAAAATTCGCGGGCCGCCACATCCGGCCCGAGGGCTGTAGTTTGGAGACCCCTGGTCTAGTATAAAAAAACACATCGATTAATCACAACTTTGTTTCTCTTTTGCATATTAAAGAGGTCCTTTTCTTGATTGCCACATGGTTAATTACAACAGTATATACAGTGACCATGTTCTTAAGGTTTAAATTAAAAATATGATTCATACTGCTTTTATTTATTGAAAAACTAGCCTATAAATAAAAACCAAAACCAAAGAAAAAAACATACTGCGAATGATATAACATTGTCTTATTAACAGGCAAGTTTTCTGTTTTTTGTTTTGTATGATCTTTAAGGCCTCCTCCCAAGTTACAATCACAATTTGATTTCCTGTAACTTTTTCTTATTATATACTTAAGGGTCCTGACTAACCTAGAATAAATCTTTACCTTAAATTTTGAGTACAAATGTTAAATAATGAGGCTTTGGTATCTATTATCATATCAAGACTTAACCTCCTCTTCCAAGATATCAATGGGAACTACTCTTGCCTATTTTAAATATTCAATTTATGTCCCTTAGATTAGCACAAATATAAACTTTCTTCATTTGTCTTGTCTTTCCACCAACAGCACTGATGCCATGACTGTTTTCAATTCAAGCTTTGTTGTCATTTCGCAACCTAAAGATAAAAAATGGCATATGTTTACTGGTGTGTGGTTTGAAAACGGTACTTGCTCAATAAATATAGATATTAACAGACGACCAGATGTGAAAAAATGTGTTTCCCTCAAAGGTTTACAACAGGAGTAAGTTATTTTTTTTTACGTCTTCTTTGGCATTGACTCCAATTTTTACTACTGAAAATTAATACAAATTTTAAAATAAACAGATACATTCTTTTATTATGGAAATTAAAAAAAAAATATAGATACTTTATTGGATTTTAACAGGACTGAAATTTTTGTTGTCAGGTATTTTTTAGTTCAACTTGGCAAGGCTTTCCATGGCTACCTATCAAAAGTTCGTGTTTGGAAAACTGCACTAAATCGAAGTGAAACCTTTTTTATGTGGGACAATGTAACATATCTGCCTCAACCTCAAAGTCTTCTACTGAACTGGACCTATTACTCTTATGACCAGCATGTTGTGATGACTGACCACTCTCAAGTCAATAAAGACTCCACTTACAACTGTAGTTCAGATGTTTTAAATGCTTGTGATGGAGGTCAGTGATGTACAGATCATATAGACACTTTTACCTTATATTTCTGGCTTATTCATCTTCAAATCTTTTATGATCCCATATGTACGCAATATTCTTGTTGTTTTTGTGTTCTTCATTGTCATGAGTTATGTTTTGTAAAAAAATATGGTTTAGCTGTGCTCTGTAAAAAATAGAGTCAATAGGCTGTGAGCCTTATAGTGTCTATTATAAAACATTTATACCATTGTGTTTTAACTTTACTTTGCTGCAGAAAAAACACTGGAACTTCCATGCAATGCTGCTGATAATGTTATCAAGACAAATTATAGCATCCATCAAGTCAGCTCCAGTCAATTTTATGACTACACAAGCATTTCAAACAAACTTAATATGATAACCAAAGGTAAAACTGCAGTTTCTGAAGTTAACATTTGTAATGTTTAAATATAAGCCCTGCTAGGGGGGGGGGGATACCTAATATCTATCTACCCTTCCCTAGGCTTATCTAACTAATCTGTCCGGTCAGTGCAACCGTGGTAGAACCCACAGTGGTTAAACCTTAACCTTAGTCTAAATAATAAGCTACTAAAATAAAACAAAAAAACTTAAACAATATAATAAAATTTATTTACCAAGAATGACTAGCATAAAATTTATTCAACAAAATATGGAACCAAAAGTTATAAAAAAAAGAATAGATAAAACTGACACAAAACAGAACCAAACGAAACAAACTTTTTACATCAAACAAAACACCCAATTTCGGACTACGTCCTAGAAAAAGGAAAACAAATAAATTAATTACTTTACAAAGAAAGTTATATACAAAGCATTAACCACAGGCTGGCTCTTATAAATGAAAGTAAAATCTACAATAATCCATGACTAAACCCAGGCCATCGTGCTACCACGTGGTCTGGATAAAACAAACATTGAAACTTCTCAATGTCGAAGTGACTAAATAGATCTAGTATATAGTCACTTTGTATACAAAATCAGCAAACTAAAATATGGAAAACATAATAAAACACTATAAAAATAACTCTACGTTACTCTACACCACATAAACGTGACACAGAAACTCTTCAACACACAGGCCTCGACATTCCAGCCGAACGTCCCTCCCTGTCGACACACCACATTCACGAACAAAGAAACCAATACTACGAACAAAGAAACCAATGCTACGCACAAGAAAATAGTCCTTAATACAATAATAAGTCACATTCAGGACATAAAGCAAAGTGGAGCAACAATCCAAAACAAAGTTTGCATAAATAATAACATTAAAATATAAACAAGACACAATAACCAGGCTACAAACCATTGTAAAATCAAAATCATATCAGCTCCATAATAGCGGACTACTTAACTAAAAACCACAACAATCCTCAAATGAACATAAAAAGCGACATTCGCCTTCTTAGTTACAAATAATTATAATAACAGATAAACACACTCCAGCCGCTCACATAAATGCCAAGGGCTTTATAATGAAATAATGTTCATTAATAAAAAAAAAATGAAGCTTTTTACCTATAAAATAAACAGTGATGAAGAGTTCTTAATTTTTTCGTTAATAGCAATTTTAGGTAATTAAAGTTGCAACTTTGTTAATTAATACTTCACGTGAAAAATGTATAAAATATATTGTTTTATATCTGGGTTTGATTTTGTATTTAGTGCAGTTATTTTCTCATGGTGCACATGATATGGCTGTGGCTGCTCAAGACAGCTTTAACAATATTGGTGTCTGCATAAGAAGAATCTATGTCACACGTGAGTAATGTTTCAATAGATAATAGTGCTTTTGTCTTTAACTCTTATTCTAATTTTTACTTATGTGATTACTAATTCACAAGTTTTAAAAAAAAATGTCAAAATTTGGTCAAAGTCAATGAAAAAAAAACTTAGGGTGATTCTCCAGGGTGACCGGAAAGATGTGCAATGGAAAACTATGCACAAAAAGTGCGCAAGGGCTTTTTTGTTTTCTTAAATCCAGCGTTTATAGATAATAACAAAATGTAACTATATATACATTGTAGTGTAATAAAATATAACAAAATTTAAATGTTTCAGTATAATTAGTTTGTATTGGCGCATTTTCAGTTTGGGCAATTTTCTTGCAAAGTTTACCAAGTGGTATTATAGTATTGTAATCAGTTCATTAAGTTTTTAAATACTGGATGAACTCAACTGTGTTCAAGTGACAAAAAGTACACTATTTTGCACTGTTTAATCCACATTTTAGGGTCAAACATAAAATCAATTTGTATTTAACAGTATTGTAAGTCAACTCTTGTGAAGAAGCTTCGAAGATACACAATTTGTTCACAGAAATATACAATATTTCTTAAGATTTTTTCATTAAAATGCTTACCATTTTTGTTTTACAAATTAGTGTATTATTCATTACTTGGTGATAATTCTTTACTATCTCAAAAATATAGATTAAGACACATTGTTAATTAACCTTGGCCTAACAGTATTCTATCCAAATCCCAAAGTAAATTTATTTCAATTGCAGGACAGCCAACAAATATATTATGTAATTTTAAAAGAAAAAATGTTGTCAACATATTAAAAAAATATTTTGTAATAAAAATACCAACCATATATTGTATGTTTCAGCAAATGACTGTAAAAACACATCACCTTCATTTGCATCAATAAATGCATGCCAGGACAATTCATATGAGATAAAAGCCATTTGTCCTAAAGATAAAGCATCAAGTGTGCTGACTCCAAACTATATCACATGTGGCAAGCTACAAAGCTATAATTTGGATGACATGTATGAGATGCCCAACAGAATTGTCTGTGGCAGTAAGTTGCAATTTTTAGATTTATTACCCTGATATTTCTGTTGAAAAAAATAGTACATATTAGCACTTCTAAAAAATGTTTTTTATCACTTTAAATTTATTTAAATTTTTCAGCAACTGAATCAAGATTTGTTACCCTGACAATTGATTTTAAATGTACATTACCTGAACCAATAAGCTGTACAAATTTAAAAGATGTATATGAAGAAGAAATAAAAACGGAAATGGCAAAACTGGTTTCAAACTGGACTGACCTTTGTTTAGACAGTAAATGTTCAAATGTGAAATATAACTCTGGAATATGCACACAGCAGCAACTTTTAGTATCTGTTGAAATTATCAACTCAAGGTATTGAGATTCATTTCTTAGATATTGACTTGACTTAATCTTGATATGCCCCTGAAGAGCAAAAGAGATGCAACCACACATTTCCAACACAATCAGTCATAGGTGGCTCTCTTCAGTTGGACCCATGTAAGTACTAGTGTGCATCATGGGCTCTGACAAAGTGGAACCACATTGACCCAGCTGATGTTGCATTGATGTGTTTGCAGTTTCTGTTGTTCAGAGTTCTTGTACCAAGTGGGTTTGTTAACCCCATGCTCAACCGAACTGCTCTACTGCTTATCAACATTACTACTATATTTGGTTAGAGAAAAAACTAAAATCTCTCTTCAAACATGTCATAAAATCTCTTAGAGTGCTTATTCACATGTCAAGAATTTGATGATTTACAAGGGTATACCTAAGGTTATAATGGTTTTTTTTTCTGCAGAGAAATGCTAAGTTCACCATCAGGCACAATGACTCCCAAAGATCTGTTGATTACTAATAAACAATTATTTGATTGTAATTATGTAAGTTGTTTTATTTTTTTCTAAAATTATTTTCCTAACAATATGATTCGTTTCATTTCATTATGAAAACATCATAATTCTAGTTGCTTAAATAAACAATTAAAAATAAATTATTTTTAAATTGAAGTTATTTGATTGAATATTAAAATAGCTGTAAAGCTTTTAATGCAATTAAATCACATGCTGTCTAGATGTTTGTGTGTTATTAGTTTCATTAGTAGAGTTTTCTCATATTGTTTAAGGATTTTAAAACCTAATCTAAATCAATTTTTAGGAATAAGTTATAAAGTTATATGTACTACTGAATTGGATTAGTTTAGGTTGATGTATAGCAAGTCTTAAAAGTTTAAATCAAACTGAATGAAAAAAATTATGCCACAATTAATAAACAAAACCAGCAAAACTGGAATCCACACCTTGCTATTTTATATTTCTCACAACAAATTTTCTCTCTTAGCCTTATTAAGGAATTTAGTCATGAAATATTATATCTTTGAGATTTTGCCCTGATTTATTTTGTCCTATTACACTAAATACTTGTATGCCTCTAATAATTTATAAATGTTACAACAGGTTTTTTCAATGGACTCATTTATTTATGGTATGAATGTCAGTGATATATTTTCCTGTCATCATGGATATGTTCTTCGAGAAAAATTGTGTGGTATGTTGTAGTTATTGTTTTCCATATTTTAAATAAGTAACCAAAAAGTAAAATAGGGTATAATTAGAAAAGCAGATTTAACTCTAGCTGAATTTAATAATTACATTAAATTACATTTCTTATTTCATTATTAATAATTATTTAAATTTTAATGTCTTAGAAAAGTACTATTTTTCTAAAAAGATATCAGTGACTTTTCAATTTTTTTATTTTTTTTTTAAATCTTGTAAAACACTTAACATCTATGTATAGCTACAATAAATCTTTTCTGAATTTCTACTTGAATTAGTGACCTTCTGTGAATATGCCATGTCACCATTTTTAAAATTTAAAAACTAATAATCTGTTATTTTAAGGAATAGAATACTGAGGTGTGGTTTTTTTTTAATTTTGAATATCTTTCTTTACTTTATCTTAAAATTAATATTATGATGCATTCCTTCCCCCTGAAAGTGGAGTGTGCAGCTGGCTCTTACTATGATGCAAGTGAAAAAAGTTGCAAGTTGTGTCCCCTGAATACCTACAGCCTCACAAGCAAACAGACTGCTTGCACTCCATGTAGTGGCTCTAACAACATTACACTACAGGAAGGCAGCAACAACATAAGTGATTGCAAAGGTTATTATTATTATCTCTAACTTAAAAATCTGCGCTTTATTCCTAATGTTTGTATTATTCAATCAGGTATGCCCTGTGTATTTAATTAGCAGTTGGTCAAATTTTAGCCTAAACTTATCTCTGGTACAAACCTAATCTTGGCTCTGACTCTAACCTGATCATGACCATAACAGCAATACAGGAACTCACAAATCTCATTGTGTATTGTCCACTTGTTTCAATAAGAACCTGCTACATTCCAACATTCTATTGTCAAGAATGATCATACCTTTGACTTAAAAACTCTGAACAGATTCTCTACAGTATAACTAGTCAAATACTTCACGGACAGAAACTAATATAAATGTATCAAAACTAAATTGAATTCAAAACTACCTCATTCCTTCATTTTAAAAATCTGTTTACTAAATATTCCAGTGCGATGTGAAAAAGGTCAGATGTTGGAAAATAACATATGTGTACCTTGTCCACCAAATTTCTACCAAGATCAAACAGGCAAACATTATTGCCTCCCTTGTCCTGTGCACACAGCTTCTACAAGTTATGGCTCCCAGAGTGTCTCAGACTGCAAGGGTAATATGACATTTTTGTTATGTGGGGGTAGTTAGAAACATGTATGTGGGGTAAAATTAGAAATGTTCGTTGTGTAATTGTGATTAGAATCAGCTGTAATTTTAATTGATTAAAAAAATATTTACAATTAAATGAACGGAAATGAAACACAAATCAATGGCTATTTTATACTGCTCTGCCTTAATGGTTTAATATTTTATATATTTATAATTACTATTTTTAAATTCTTATGAGCTTTTCTTTAAGCTAAAGATATGAAAATTGCTGTTTCATCAATTGAAACTATGATACCTTTGGCCCTTTCTTTTTTTTTCTCACCCTCTTAAATAAAGTTCATTTTTTTAATTCTAAACTATAAAATTATTTTTTTTATATTTCAGACATTTGCCCACCAGGGACACAACTAAACAGCAGCATTAACCAATGTGACCTTTGTCCAAGAGGGACATACAGGGATGGAACTCTACAAGACCAGTGCAAGAGTTGTCCAACCAATGCTACAACTCTTAAAGAAGGGAGCGAATCTAGTGACTCATGCAACATCCGTGAGTTGTGTCACATGTACAAATAAATGATTAATCCTTGAATAAATTTAATTACAACTTTTAAAAATTTCATTAATAAATTCAATTTAAAAAAAAAAATTTCTCAGCTCTGTGTCAACCTGGTCAATTTGCAAACGTGACGACCTTGGAGTGTGAAAATTGTTCTATAGGCAGCTACCAGCCAGAGGAAGCTGCATTGAGCTGTCACTCTTGTCCAGACAACCATACAACAGTCTATGAAGGGACTCAAAATAGTGACCAATGTAAATGTGAGTAGAAAAGCCCTTTTTGAAAAACATTTAACCAATGCTCACATTGTTTTGGTACAACTACCTCAACAAGATCTTATTTTTATTGTTGTTGACTTTACCTTTCTTAGTTGTGTGTCAAGCACCTGGCCAGGAAATAAACCCAGCCAACTCCTCTACATGTAGGCTATGTTTACGAGGCTATTACCGCACAGGTGGATTTGATGAGAGATTTGCTAACTGTACAAAGTGTAGCGGAGATAACACAACAGATGTTGAAGGAGCTACAAACTCTGCTTACTGTAACATACGTAAGTTGTCAATCAGCAGAGAGATGCTTTTTAACTTTAAAAATTATATTTAAGTTATGATGACACAAAGGTTTATTAAAAACTTAAAAATCTCTCATAAATTTTTACAAAAAAATTCTAATTTAATTTTTCTTGTTTTAGCCATCTGTAGTGCAGGCCAACACATCTCCAATAATAAATGTGAGGCTTGTACACATGACACATACCAGCCAATGGATGAACCTTATTCCACCACCAACTGTACTCGTTGTGGTGATGGGTTGGGGACTGTAAATATTGCAAGCACCCATAAAGATAACTGTACATGTAAGCACTATCTGTACTTTATTCTGGTATATTATAACTCTTTGGTCTAAAAAGTTTTAAAACTGCAATGTTTCTGTGTGAGATAGATTCAACCATATCTTTTAAACTGTACAGCTAAACAATACCTGGTGGTTATTCTAGCATTTTTTTCTAAAAAGTTATTTTTTTTAAACTGCAGAATCTTTGTGATTTTAATTTGAGTATATGCAACAGATTCAATTAAATCTTATAAAACTTGTAGCCTTCTGTCAGCCTGGGTATGGTAAAAATGGAAGCGACTGTCAGCTTTGTGATAGAGGAACATGGAACAATGGGAACACATCACTCAGGTTTGAGAAGTGTCAGCAATGCCGCACCAACTACACAACAGAAGTTACAGGAGCTACTGACTTGGCCAATTGCACACTACGTAATTTTATTGCAATTTATTGAATAGGAGTGAAAATTTATTGTAAAATTTAAATTAAAAATGTTCATAGAATTTTTAAGCATTTTATTAAGTTATGTTTAATGATGTAAGTACATTTTTTGAAGATCTTTGATTGTTAAAAACAATTATCTAAAAGAAAAAAAGAAAGCTTAATTCTTAGCTCTTAATTTCAAAATCAAAATGCTGAAATAACATGTTTTCCTTTAAATATTATGTGGTCATCTAGGCAAGTGTGAACCTGGTTATAAAATAGTGGGAGACGATTGTATCCAATGTCCAGTTGGTGAATATCAACCAGAGTCTAATAACGACACTTGTCTCAAATGTCGTAATGGGACAAGTACCAACAGTACAGGCAGCACCAATGAAACAGACTGTACAAGTAAGTCAAACTTTTTTTCCACAAATAAGTTGAGGTTATCTACCCCTTGTCTACAAATAAGTTGACATTTGGTTATCTACCCCTTGTCTACAAATAAGTTAAGTCTACCCCTGTCTTCAAAGTCTACCCTTGTCTACAAATAAGTAAAACTTTTGTTATCTACCCTTTGTCTACAAATAAGTTAAACTTTGGTTATCTACCTCTTGTCTACAACTACAGCCAGATGAAAGTTTGATAATTTGCTCTTGACCCAATCCCAGAAAAGCACATCATAACTTCTGCAATACAAGTTGTAGACTATAGTTTTTTGAGTGCTTCGTCCATAGCCCTTCTCTCTGGCTGGCTGCATGTGTGGCCCAACTTAGTGGTGTGTTACAACCTGTGGCCCAACTTAGTGGTGTGTTACCTCATGTGGCCCAACTTAGTTGTGTGTTACCATCTGTGGCCAAACTTAGTGCTGTCTTACCATGTGTGGCCCAACTTAGTGGTGTGGTACCATCTGTGGCCTAACTTAGTGATGTGTTACCATCTGTGGCCAAACTTAGTGCTGTGTTACCACATGTGGCCCAACTTAGTGGTGTGTTACCTCATGTGGCCCAACTTAGTTGTGTGTTACCATCTGTGGCCCAACTTAGTGGTGTGTTACCATGTTTGGCCCAACTTAGTAATGTACACGGCATCAACAATATCAACTGAATTTTTCCTGATTCCTTTGTTAGCTATAAGATGGTGGGTCATATCCCAGAGTTATATATTACTTGTGGCTGGTGGGTCCTATCCCAGAGTTATATATTACTTGTGGCTGGTGGGTCATATCCCAGAGTTATATATTACTTGTGGCTGGTGGGTCATATCCCAGAGTTATATATTACTTGTGGCTGGTGGGTCCTATCCCAGAGTTATATATTACTTGTGGTATCAGGCCAACATAGCTGTGACACACTTTTATGGCAGATTTTGTAATCCATCAAAAATAACTTTTTAAATCAGTGATTATAAACAGATCAGTTCTTTCTTTTAATTACTTAAAAATAGTAAATATTAGTGATTTTTCAAGCAAGTGAAACATATAAATAATAATCCTATGTGTGATTGCTAAGAATATTTTATAAAAATATGCAAACAATAAAAAAATTTTCTTGCAGTTTTCTGTGGGGCTGGGCAGGAAGGAACTGAAAATGACACATGTGTGAACTGCTCTGATGATGAATTTAAAACAACAGCTGGCTATGGCCCTTGTGAAATGTGTACTGGTGACTTCACATCTACACCAACTAACAGAACAGCTTGCACTCAAGGTAAGTCATGTCTGTTCTCTGTAACTGAACATTTAAAGGAAAGTATTTATTTATTGTAAAAGAATATATTTTACTCTGTATTTATGTGATTTAAAATAATTTTAACTGCACACAATTTTATTGCTAGAGTGGTAAATATTCCTTGTGTTTATTTAAGTATTTATACCATATGTATTGAATGTAAGAGATGTTAAAGCATACTGTTATTAATGTAAAAGAATTCAGTCAATCACAAAACCAATTTCAAAAGATTTCCTTAAGGTTAATTTGTTGTGTAGTTAAGAATCTTGTTCAATGCTTGTTTTACAGTTTAATTTTCCTTTTTTTCTGACAGTACATTGTGATAAAGGGAGAGAATTAAATAACACTACTTGTCAAAACTGTCAAATTGGATTTTACAAGGATTTTCGAGGAAATCAGAGTTGTGTCCCTTGTCCTGCAAACCACACAACTATTAGCGGTGGTTCAACACATAAAAACAATTGCTCTGTTGGTGAGTTTATCTTTTACAAGGCTAAAATCTAACACAAATATTTTAGTATTTAAAAAAGATAATACAATATAGTTTTATTCTAACAATTTGGATAGGTTGTCGCTTGACCTACTTCTTTTTATCAGTGCCTTGGTAACAATGTCTTCCTAAAAATTTAGGCCTCGTTTTTGTTTTTACACAAAGTTTCGCACCATTTAAAAATATTTGATTAAATAAGTTTTATTTTGCTAAATATGCTTTGATATTTATATAATTAAATCATTGAATGTTTAGTGTTTGTTGTGCACTTGTTATTTTTAAATTATTTGTTGGACCCGCTGGGTAAACTGGTGAAGAAGATAAGTTAAGAATCACATGTTAAATATTATATAAAATCATAGATAGTTTCCACCAAAACATTGCTGCTTTTAAAATTGGTATTAAATTAAAGGTAAATAAAAGTAGTTTTTAATTTAATTAAATTTTAAGTCATCTTAAACAATAATGAAGTTTAAAAATTTTAGGCATTACCCTATATTTGACACTATCAATCTTTTATTTTTAGCTTGAAATACGTTACGCTATACATTAATTGTGCAGATTTTCTTACTTGAAGTTTAAACAAAATGTTGTATATTTTTGTGAATCTAGTGTATTGTGCTCCTGGCTTCTATTCTTCTGACAACAAGTCTTGCCTGGCATGTGATGTTGGTTTTTACAAAAGTACACCAGGAAATGAGGCATGTACTCAATGCCCAGCTAACTGGACCACTCATGAGATAGCCAGCAACAGCATATCTCAGTGCTCACTAGGTAATTAAAGGGAAATAATTGTACAAGGGAAGGAAATAATCTGATAATGGGAATTATTTTCATTTTAAAAATGAAATTTTTAAATTTGCATTAATTAAATGATTTTAGCACAGCCAAAAAAAATACAGTGTTTGTATAATTTTAAATTTGGACGGTAAAACATTTCTTGACTTACATTCCAGTGCTGTGTCCCTTGGGTTATGTTCGTCTCAACAACAGCCAATGTAGACCTTGTGAGAAGGGAAGCTACCAGAATGGCAGTAGTCAAACCCAGTGTACACATTGTGGGCCAATTAATGGATACAACACATCAACCAACAACACAGCATCACAAAATGAGTCTTATTGCTTTCGTAAGTCTTGCTTAGGTTTTAGCCCTAACTTTTCTTTACCTTGACCATTAGATACTTTATTTATAATTTAAAATATTTCAGATTATTTTTTAGGTTTTCACCTTAATTTTTTTACTTTGGCCATTAGATATTTTTTTTTATAATTTAACATTTTTTGGATTGTTTTTTAGGTTTTCACCTTAATTTTTTACTTTGACCATTAGATACTTTGTAATTTTTAAAGTTTGATTAATTTTCTATTTGCCAGCTGTGTGTCCAGAGGGAAAAATTGTGAATATATCAACCAGGTCATGTGACCAATGTCCATACGGTTCTTACAAAAGCCACAGTGGCCTTGACACATTCTGTACCCGGTGCAAGGATGGCTGGACCACTGGAGTGTTGGGTGCAACAAGTGAAGACGCCTGTAAAATTGGTCAGTTCTTAGCTGATCATTCTTAAACAGGAATACATTGCAAACAATGAATTTTATGCTTAGATTCCAGAAACTAGTGAAGAGATATTTGACAAGCTTTTAATCACAATTAATAATTCAACAAGTTCATTGTTTGCTCTACCAGAGAATAAAGTATGAGGCATTTATTACAGTGGCTTTTTTAAAAAAACGTTTTCCTTAAAAGAATCTGCACTACTTTTCTCTTAATTCAATTTTCTGAGCATCAAATAAACATTGACTATATAACTGTGTTTATAGTATGTAAGTAAAGTACCTTTCCTTTGGGTTGTTGAGATAGACTTACCTGTTTCCTTCAACTATTTTGAAAATGTTAGGGCTTAGCCATCTGCTAGTTGCCTAGCCATGTTTACTTTCCTAAGCCAGATACCCATCATAGCTGGTTAGGTTTAGGCAAGTCTTTCAGACTTTATCCCAGGATTTGAATGTAAGACTTTTTGGGTTAACAGTAGCATGCACCACTCGTCCACCACGTCATCACATAAACATATTTTAAATTATTTTACTAACATAGAAATATAACAATTACAAACTGTGAAAAGAAAGTTCTTGTCATGGTATTGTTTGTCTTAGAAATCTGTGACAAGGGATTCTACAGACCAAACAGCACAGCTGCTTGCAAGAAGTGTCCATTTGGAACCTACCAAGATCAGCGTGATTTTAAAGAAGTAGGAGAGTGTAAAAAATGCCAAGACAACGAGACAACTCTTATGGAGGGGGCCACAAGTCTTGCTTCCTGTATTCGTTAGTACAACTTTTTAATTCATATTTTTAAAAAAATTAGTTTTATTGATTATTTTTCATGATCCTGTGTTATTTCGAAACATTTTTTTTTAAAAACATAATAACATAAATTAATGTTTTGTTACATTAAAAAATTATTTCTTACAGCCCTGTGTAAGGCAGGTCAGGAGTATAATTTAATCAGTAACAACTGTACAAGTTGCCCAGTTGGACAGTACAAAGGAGAAAATGATTTACCTAGTGTAGGTTTTTAATTTGTTAATTTTAAAAACATTTTTTTACTCACTTGTTTGAAAATGTGTTTATAAATATATATATATATATATAACACTGTATTATTTTCAAAATCTCTACAAACTTGGTTTAAAATCTGTTAATCGATATACTACTAAAATTCACAGAGGTGTCCTATTTGAATAAATATCCAAGGCCTTGACATAAGTCAGCCTACATATATAGGAATTATAAAATTTTTAAATAAATACCCCCCCCCCCCCCACACCTGTGTAGAGAAAAAAAAATTCTATTTAAAATCAATGTAGGCTTACTAAGCAAATTGTGTTTGGAGGAAGTAAAAAATTATGAAAGGATTTATCATAATGTAAAAACACATTTAATTTTGCAAAATGGAAAAGTATCACGCCATCCCATTTTTTTTTCTACTTGTTCCTCATCAATAAGTTTTATAAATACAAATTATATCTCAGAGCTCGTATTTTACTTCCACCAGGTGTGTAAATATTGTCTACAAAATGAAACTACAAGTTCACATGGTGCTGTTAGATGTATATCTTCAATAAGTAGGTTTTTAAATAGTTCTTTTAATTAGTTATATATTATTTATTAGATTCAGTTTTATTCTTTAACATTTTTTGAGTGAAGCTAAAATAATTAATTGTAGGCCTATACATTATTTCTAGTCTTTTAAATCAAATTAAAAAAAATAATAATGATAATAATAATTCTTATCATCACCCCCACCATCATCATTATTGATATTATTATTTTTATTATTGCTATAATAAAATATTACTTTTTCCCCAGCAACCCCCCCTCCATCCTATAAGATAAATGTGACAGTAGATGTATTTGCAACAGTAACCTGTGACAACCCTGAGCAGACCAGGGGAGCCTTAACTAAAGCACTAATTGACATGATCAGAAGCGCCAGAAAACTGTATTACTCAGACTTGTGCCCCACAGATAGTTGTGCCAATGTCGTTGTAGTCATGGTAAAGTTCTGCGACACACAAACTGTCAAACGTCAAGCTAACCGAAATGCACAGGCGTCAGTCACAGTACGAGAGCTGGAGTAAGTTTTTCTGAACTTCTTTTAAAAAAAAAATTTTTTTAATTATATTTGTTGATGAAAAATTCTGAACTTTTGTTTGCAAAGTTTTTTTTTTTGTAAGCTTCAGTAAAAGTTTGAACTTCAGTCACTAAATATAATTTTTTTAGTTCAACAATACAAATGTACCATAATAATACATATACAAAACATATTTACCATAATGATATTGTATCACAATAATTGTACAATAAAAATGAACCATAATAACACCCAATCCTAAACCATAGCTTTCAGCTCAACTTATTGTTTAGCAGGTTAATGCCTTGGGGTCTAGCTACATATAAAAGTAATGTACAATCTTACTCATTCTAAAACTAAAATATTGATCTAGCAACTTAAATTTCTTTCAGCTCCAGATTGAGGAACATACTGTATAATTTTCACAGAAGTGCAATCAGTGCTGTGCTAGAGGCACTCCGTGATCACTCGTCTGTGGAAAATATTTTGGTGATTTTTTTTAATTTTAATTTTTTTTTACTGCTAGTTGTTAATCCTTAAAGTAGAGCACATAGTAAATATAAACTTAAAGTCACGTTATACCCCCTGGCTCAAGCTCAAAGGGATAGGATGTCGACAGATCTACATTTTTTGTTGTTGCTTAGGTGAAGATTGTCAGCCAAAATTGGACAAGCAGAATTTTTATTTGAAAACCAAGGCTTAGTATATTTGATCATTTCAACCATGCATTAATGGATACTTCATTTTTGCAAAATATTACCTGGAAATTAAACTATTCTAGAATAGTGACACTTTGAAACTAAATGATTGTTTCTTAATTTAAATGATATAGTGCTAAAAACAATTTGCTACCTTATTACTTGAATGAATGTATGTTGACGCTGACTTAGCCTCTCACACCTCACCCACCATGCAGGCAACATATCTTGTAAGTTCAGGCCTAACCTGATGTAATATTATAACATTTCACTCTTCTATTATTCAAGTTACTGTGTACACAGACAGACACACACTTAAATATAAGATTTCAAAACTGGGGCTTTTTTCAGCTCAGGAAGGTGTAAAAACGTCTATATTTTCCTCAAGTCTTGATTTATATTTTTTGCACAATTTCATAACTTGCCCATATAATCTGTATATGAGAAAGTAAAAATCAAACACATAAGTTACCATTGTAACAAACACCTTTCTTTAAAAATAATAAGATTTTGGTAATTGATTTGAACTTTGTACCAAATTAAAAGTTTTTAATTATTTAGGTCTTTTGTACAATAACTAAAGTACCCTTTTAAACCTAAGATCTATGGGGCAGGTGAAGTAGTGTCAATCTGTTTCTGTAAAATATGATGAGTCAGCACTATGTCCAGCCATTGTGAGTCGGGTACCCATTAGAGCTGGGTGGACTCAAGGACATCCTTCAAACTCAAGCTCCTGGATGTAAACTTTTAGGACAAACATACCTTACTACTTTTGCTTGTATACATTATAACTCTTCTTAGGCATATTTGTTATATGGAAGTATACAACATGAGATATAAAATAGATTTTTATTCTATCAGGCAGTAAATCAGATTATCTTAGAATTAGCTCGCCTGGTAGGATGCCCTACAGGAAACATTATGGAGATCACTTTTACTTGCAGTAAGTAAATACTTGTTTATATTTCTCAAGTAATTTCACATGTTTTTTTTTAAAAATATTTCTTTTCATTCCTACGTGGGTTAAATGGATATGGTTTCATTTTATTGTTTACTGCTGATTTAACTTTAATTAAGTTTGATTTACTTAATACAAACGTTGCTGGGGTGTAGAAGATAAAATATTAAACATTTTAGTAGCTTAATTAGTTGGATAAAGTAGTAATTTATGAATTAGTTGATACAATTAAGCCCACACAATTTAAAAGAAACAACAAAACAAATTTAGCAATATATAAAGCACAACCATGTGTTAAATTTATTTATATAGGCCTAGGCCTTGTATTTTTTTACACCAAATTATTTACTTAGCAGTATACACACTTGAAAATTTATAACTGATTTTTTAATATTTTTTTTTATCTTCTATACAACGTTTGTATTAAAGCCACTAACCTGTATTTTTATCTTTATAAAAAAAGGACACTGTCCCATTGGCTACTTCTCTTCCAACAATGTCTGTGTGCCATGTAGTAATGGTAGCTACTCCACACTTCCTGTTTCTGACAAATGCTTGCAGTGCAATGCAGGAGAAACAACTGAAAAACCTGGATCAAGTAATAAATCTGAATGCATAGGTAACAATTTTAATTTTAAAATAGAAATGTCCTTTGGTTTAATCTTCTTTGTCCCGAAATAAATTATTATAAATATTGACTTGAATAACATTGTCAGAGAATTAATAGTGTGTGTTGACATTAAAAGATTTATTCAATTACAAACATAGGTAAAGTACAGTAATGGGATTTTGTGGTTGGGTGGTGGAACACATAAGAGCTGATACAAAAGTCTAATGTTTGGTTCACTGGCTCTGTGAGTCTGTAAGTCTGCCCAACACTTATGTGAAGGCCGATGTCAGCAAAAATAACGAAAGCCGGGTGATAACTTCATATGGTTAGGTCAAATAAACCGTTTTATTTCATTTGCCATATGGACCCTAATCAGGTCTGAAAGGGAACTTGACTTTTTATTTCTACTGTACTTCTTCTTTTTTTCTTCTGCATTCTTAATTTTAGTGTTGGAATACAATTAAGTATATATGTATCAGCCTGTTATACGCCATATAGGCCATTAACTCTAATTTCAGCCTGCTTTTCTTTTTGGATTTGCTTTCATAGCCTTTTTCCTACAACGCAGCAGTTGTTTGATTTTGGAGTTGTCTCTCCTAGAAGAGTTGTTGTCCTCAGCTGTCGAGCCTCATCTGCCCAAGGGTTCGACCTCAAGACTTTTGGGTTTATCAAACATGAGCTTTTACGGACTAAACCATGCCAACCTCTACAACAAAGATACATTTCACCTTCTCTTCTTCTTTTCTTCTTTGTTCTTAATTATTAGTGTTGAAGGGGATCAAGATTTATCTGCCAGTGGATTTGAACTCGACTTTTTTCGAATTTATCAACCATGAGCTTTTTGCCGGCCACGCCTCCAACACAATTAAGCGTTACGTGTCAACTGGTTATGCACCATTGAGGCCTTTGACTCCAATTTCAGCTTGCTTTTCTTTTTGGATTTGCTTCCATAGCCTTTGTCCAACCAAGAACAAGCTACAAGGCAGCAGTTGTTTGATTTTGGAGTTGTCTCTCCTAGAAGAGTGGCTGTCCCCAGCTAATGAGCCTCATCTGCCCGAGGGTTCGAACTCGAGACTTTCCGGTTTAGCAACCATGAGCTTTACCGACTCGACCACGCCGACATTTCACCCATTGCACTGTTAATTCCTAAAATTAAAAGCATTACCATATTTCTTATCTGTCTGACCAACTGTAATTCCTGCCACAATTCTACACCCTTAGGTATCTGTAAGGTAGACAACAAGTACTGTGGGAGTAATGGGGAATGTATCACACAAGATGGGAAATACCAGTGTTCCTGCAATGAATACTATGAAGGTCCACAGTGTGCAGTGAGGAAACCATCAGGTATAAAACTATTTGTTTTGTTTACAGTATTTGTTTATAATAAATTTAATATTCAGCATTAAAAAGGTAAAAAACAAAACAAAACATAAAAAAGCAACAAATAAGCCAACAATAAAAAACCACAACCAACAAATTAAGAACTATTTCAGAAGTACTAAAAATACAAACTTGTAAGAAAAAAACAAGGGTTAATTTCTTAATAATTAAAGCTGTCAATCAATTAAGAAAAAAAATAACAATTGTTGTGAAATTACTTATAAGAAACAATATTGTGAATGCAACAGAAATTTACTCCATTAGATTTTACAATGTTTAGTCTAGCATGTTATAATATCAATGTAAAAGAAAATAATCACTTTTATTTTCCAATGCTCCAAATTCTTCACTTTTATGCGCTGACCTTCACCTTTGTGTTTTTGTTCATCAGAAGACAGCAGCATTGGCGTCGTGGTTGGTGTGAGTGTTGGTGTTGGCGTTCTGCTTCTCCTGGCACTTCTCATAGTGGGGATCTGTTTACTTAGGTATGTTTTTCAGAGATGAAACTTTTCCTCTCCTTTACAGGAACCCACTTTTTCCTTTTGTGGAAAATGGTACAGCAGTAGTTTTCTACCATTCAAATTTTGCCAAAAATAAATCAGAAAGCTTTTCGACCAGTTCATTGTTTTTGCAATTTTTTTTTTCACAAAAGATAAAAAGGTAAAGGTGAATTTAATTCAGGACAATATAGAGTGTATTATCATGTTATAGAGAGTATTATCTTGTTATAGGTATCTGGTTATGTGTCCCATAACCTCTTGTACATGTAGTACCATTCTGTACACATACCTAAGTCTAGTACACCCATATTTAAACTACTCGATTTACTACACAGCAACATTCTATATCACTTGATTTCTTGCAACTAACTTATCTGTATCCAAAACCCAATTTTAATCTTATATTGTAATATACTTTGGAATTAGTTAGCCCTTTCACCTATATATATATATATATATATATATATATATATATATATATATATATATATATATATATATATATATATATATAAAACTTTTTAAAATGTTCATGATTCTTTTCGTTTTACAATGTAATGTATTCGTACATTTTTCTGCGCTAGAAAAAAAAGGCAAAGAAAGTCGCAGCCAAGTATTGCATCCACCCAGGATTTTGTCAACAACACCTATCCCTACATGGGGGGTCCGGTCATGATGATGGAGAACCCTGCCTCAGGTATGATGGACCCCACCATGTATGGCACAGAACTGGTGCCATTCTACGGGCAAGAATCTCACCTCTACAGATCTGAAAAAAGGTATTCATCTCACGATTCTGAGGATGATATGAGAAATTTCAGCTTGTACAGAAAAGACAGAAACTATTGAGACAATAATTGGGTGTTCACTGTTGACTATTAAAATAATTATTGTTATAATATTGAAATATTTTTTTTAAAATATCTGGATTATATAAACTATTATTATTGTTAACCTATTGAAAAAATATTGTTTGTATTTATTGGACTATTAAAACAGTTTATGTTTCTGAAGGAGACTAGCGATATCATGTTCTTTTGAGCAAATTTAAACAATTATAATTTTTATTAATGGACTACTGTAACAGAAATTAACATGTTAAAATAACACAAAGATGCACTGTGTAAATAAAACTTACATATACTTACGATATATATCATTTTTTATGATTGTGTTTCTGTTGTTGATGTTGATATTTTTCATGCTGACAACATTTTTTTAAGCCTGCCTTTATTTTCACATTTTAATTGCTGGCATTGATTTTATATATTGATTATATATATATATATCTATATCTATATATATATATATATATATATATATATATATATATATATATATACATATATATATATATAAAGTTCAATTCTGTATGTGGAAACCGAGGATTCCTAAGTCTAAAGTGCTTATCGTCTAAATTCATGATTTAAAAAATTAATATTGAAGGTGTTGTAAAACAATTTTCATTTTTCAAACTTATGGTAATAATTGTTAATCACATTGCGTTTATGTTTGCATTTTCTTTGCGTTTGGGTTGGGTTTGCGTCTATGGTTGGGTTTGCGTTTGGTTTGTTTTCGTTTGCTTTTTTGTTTGTGTTTTCTTTGTGTTTACGTTTGTGATTGGGTTTGTGTTTGCATGTGTGTTATGTTTGCGTTTTTTTTGTCTGTTTTGGTTTTGTTTGGTTTTAGTTACGGTGGGCAATGCCGGTTATATGCTGATTACTAAACACACATGTCATGGTCCTTTACAGATAAGTTTTTTCATAGGCCAATGCTGGGCCTGACGTTATGGCTAGTATATACACACACGTGCATATATATATATATATATATTGTTGAACTTAGCCAGCATTTGAAGGAACAGCTTGGTCTACAGTCTACACAACGACCAGCTTTGTGTTTATACCGTTTTGAAAGGACCAAGTGACAGAAATCGATACTTTACAGCAGGGGTCTCCAAACTGCGGCTCGCGAGGTCCTTTCATCCGGCCCGCGGAGATCTTTTTGTCTACGGAAAGAAATGTTTGTTAGAGGTTGCTGAGGAACTTTGCCCAGAAAATTCAAAACAATTTGAAAAAGTAGCTTTTGGTGCAACTACCATTGCCTGCCGTGTTGCAGACATTGGTAAAAACATCGTGACTCAAATAGCGAAAATTGCAAGCAAGCAATTTTTTTTCAAATTTTTTCAATTGCAATGGATGAGGCGCTGGACAGCTGTTCCACCTCTCAACTGCTTGTGTTCATTAGAGGTGTGGATGAAGACATGAACATAACTCAAGAGCTGGCTTCCCTACATAACATGTATGCACTGTTACCGGAGAGGATATATTCAATGAGTTGAAAAAAAAAAACATTTGCTGATTGTAATAGATTGAAATAATTGTGAGGTCAAGGGAACTCACTCTTCTGTATTAGTTATATTTATAATATTGTTATCTTGAGTGATGTCCCTTGTCTACTTCCTTCCGTCCTCTCTGTGTATTACCATCGTGGTAGTTAGACCCATTAAAATGTGTTATATACAACCACAGGCTTCTGTCGTCAATCTATTATAACTGGCGACGAAGGATAAACATCTACTAGAAAGAGCACCTACTTACGCAAAAAAGAGGTTTGCTAGAGCTTATTAGCTAATTATTTCTAGAATTATGGCGCTGTATGGCCAAATAAAAGAATTTGATGCGAATGATGAAATCATTCAAGATTACCTAGAGAGGTTAAGCTTTTACCTAGAAGCTAACGACGTGACGATGGAAGCCAAAAAGAGAGCTGTTTTGTTAACAGTCATAGGGCCTCAACAATTTAGGCTACTAAAAGACTTATGCACACCAGCTAGTCTAATTACCAAGAGCTTTAACGAGCTGAGCAAATTGCTAACAGACCACCATGCGCCTACCCCATCAAAGTTTCTATGTCGAGCTAGATTTGACAGTAGGACTCGTCAACCAAACGAGTCAATATCAGAATATGTTGCTGCTTTACGTCATTTAAGTAGATTCTGTGAATTCGGAGAAACGCTGTCTGACAGATTATGTGAAAAGTTTGTGACAGGTGTAAACAGCCCTGATATTCAAAGAAAGTTGCTGCTCGAGTCAGATCTAAAATTGGAAAAAGCAATACAACTTGCAATGTCATTCCAGCAGTCATCAGATGCGGCGAAATCTCTTACGCCTTCAGGGATCCATGCAGTAAACAGCAGGTTAGTCAATAAACATCAACCACATCAGAGCATTCCAACTTATGCTAAACAGCCTGCTCGTTCAAATCCTAGATCTAAATCTAGTAATAATTATCAAAAATGTCATCGATGCAAAGGTCCCCATGCATCTCATCGATGCAAGTTCAAGTTAGCAACTTGTTATAAGTGCGGTGAGCAAGGTCACATTGCTAAGGCCTGCTTTGCAAAGTCTTCGTCTGTTGCTAAATCTAGCCAGTCAAGACAGTACCGCAACCAAAAGCAGCACTATGTTAACTCTCACCAAGACTACCTAACCCAACCAATGAACCACTCTACCTGTGAAAATGCTCAAACTGATTCGCAGCCGGATTTCAACCTGTTCTCTGTGAAATCAATAAGTCATGCTCCCATCAATGTACCAGTTTATATCAACGGTAAGAGCATAAGCTTCCAACTTGACACTGGAGCATCACTAACAGTCATAACAAAGAAAGATTTTGACGCTGTCACAGGAGGATCAGTGCCTCTACAGCCATGTCACAAGTGTCTAACAACATACACTGGTGACAATGTTCCGGTAATAGGAGAGTGTATGGTTCATGTAAGTTATAATGGTCAAAGTGTTAAACTTCCTCTTCTTGTGGTTGAAGGAAATGGACCGCCATTACTAGGTAGGAACTGGTTAAGTAATCTTAAGTTAAATTGGGAGAGTATTTGTTCATTGAAGAATGTAAAAGAATCTAGTCTTACTTCACTAGATAAAGTAATATCTGAAAATAAATGTGTTTTTGGTAATCATGGATTACTAAATGATAGAACAGTGAAGTTAAGCATTAAAGACACAAATCCAAGATACTGCAAAGCTAGAGTTCCACCTTATGCAATGAGGAACAAAATTGAAAATGAGCTAAGTAGATTGGAATCTAATGGCATCATAAAGAAGGTAGACTATTCCGATTGGGCGACACCCATTGTGCCAGTGTTAAAGAAGGATGGTTCTATAAGAATTTGTGGAGATTATAAAACTACACTGAATAAGCAAATAGAGCTAAATAGGTACCCTATTCCTAACATTGAGGAAATTTCTTTGAATTTGGCAGGAGGAGACAAATTCACTGAATTAGACTTTAGTCATGCTTACCCTCAACTAGAACTGCATCCAGATTCAAAAGTCTATACGACAATAAACACACATAAAGGACTCTACCAATATGAAAGACTATGTTTTGGCATATCATCTAGCCCTGGAATTTTCCAAGCTGTCATGGACAGTATTTTTAAGGATATTCCAAATGTTTGTGTGTACTTTGACAATGTGTACATAACTGGTAAGAATGACACTGAACATCTTAAAACACTAGATAAAGTATTGAAAATTGTTGGCGAAAAAGGTTTAAAGATAAACAAAGATAAATGTCAATTCATGCTGACAGAAATTAGTTTTCTTGGTTATATATTAAGCAAGCAAGGTATCAGACCTCAACCTGAGAAAACAAAAGCCATTAAAGAAGCACCCAAACCTGAAAATACCCAACAACTAAGAGCTTTTTTGGGCTTGATAAATTACTATGCAAAGTTCATAGGGAATCTGTCTGGTAAACTATCACCACTGTACAAGCTGCTACAGAAAAATGCAACTTGGCACTGGGGTAAACAACAAGATACTGCTTTTAATACAGCAAAAGAGGCTTTGTCTGCTGACACCTTACTAACTCACTATGACCCAGGGAAAAGACTTATATTAACATGTGATGCTTCACCAGATGGTGTAGGAGCAGTCTTGTCCCACATGGATGAGAAGGGTGACAGACCCATTGCTTTTGCCAGTAGATCTTTGAACCAGGCTGAGAAAAATTATTCTCAGTTAGATAGGGAAGGCTTAGGCATCATTTTTGGTGTTAAGAAATTTCATAAGTTTCTGTTTGGTAGGAAGTTCACCATCTTTACAGATCATAAACCATTGCTAGGTTTATTTGGAGAAAACAAAACCCTACCTGAGCATGCCTCACCAAGAATTCAAAGATGGGCTATCACACTAACTGCATACAATTATGAATTGAAATACAAACCTGGATCTGAGAATAGTGCAGATAGTCTTAGTAGATTACCTTTAAAAAACCAAAGCCTGAGCTATGTACCAGAAGATGTATTTGTTCTCTTCACTATCATGGATAACTCCAATATAAATGTGAATGATATTAAAAGAGAAACACAAAAAGATGAGTGCTTAATAAAAGTATATGAGCACTGTATGAATGGTTGGCCTGAAGAGTCTGTGAATGATGACTTAAGGCCATATAGAATAAGAAATTAAAACCCTTTGTGAAGATAATATAAAAGATGGAGAAGATGCAGTCCATTATCAGTCAGAGTTGCCTAAACAAAGTACTTGTAACTTGATAAATGATTATGGTGATATGGCAATTTCAAATGTTTTAAAGAGAATACATTAGTAAGAAGGAATGTGATCATCAAACAACTTTGCTAACATCATTAGCACTTACAGAAACTAAAAGGGTAACATCAAAAGAAAAGAAAAAAGATTTTTGCCATTTAATACTTTCAGATGCCAATTCAAAAATAGTTCCATTAAATCATGACAAACATTCATTGAAAGAGAATTTGGTGTTAATGAGAATGTGTATCTAAGAAATTATGGGAGAAAGGAAAAATGGATACCAGGTCAAATTGTTCAAGGTACAGGACCTGTGTCTTATAAAGTTAAAAATAACTTGTGCAGATAATAAGTGTGAATCTGTCAATCCCACCAAATCTGATCAGTTCACACCAACTCAGTTTGTTCTACAACCAAGTTCTGTTGATATGAGTGAACCAAGTTGTCTGGAGTCAGAAAATGTAAATTCTGGAGTTAATGATTTAAATCCTAGACCTCCTGAGATAGAGAATCCAGATGGTCAGAATCTTGAGTCACCAAATCAAAAGCTACTGAGAAGGTCAAGCAGGACAATCAAAGTCCCAAATAAGTTAGACCTATGATTCTAAAGGTCAAAAGGACTTTGACATTATTGTTTTGTATTTTGATTATGTTGTAGCATATTGTGCATTGTTTGTAAGGATGTAATCTACCATAGTGTTCATGTTACAATATAATTGGTGATTTTAGGATACTATCAATTGTTCTATTGAGAGATGTGTTATTGTGTTCTAAGGGTAAAGGGATGTAATAGATTGAAATAATTGTGAGGTCAAGGGAACTCACTCTTCTGTATTAGTTATATTTATAATATTGTTATCTTGAGTGATGTCCCTTGTCTACTTCCTTCCGTCCTCTCTGTGTATTACCATCGTGGTAGTTAGACCCATTAAAATGTGTTATATACAACCACAGGCTTCTGTCGTCAATCTATTATACTGATTATAACTTGGACAGGACTAACCTCAGTTACCTGACGTTTGGTGGAGGAAAGTAAGATTTACCATATTTCACAGCAGTAAGATGGCTAATTGGCGAGAACATCCTGAGCAGAATGTTTAAGTCAAGAAAGGAAATATGTGACTTCCTGGAAAGTAAAGGCAAGCCACATCAATTAATATCTGACGAAGAGTGGGCATAGAAATTGGCCTCTGCTACAGACATCACTAGTCATTTAACTTTTCTGAACCTAAAACTACAAGAGAGGAAAATCTAGTTTCTGATCTATACACCCACCTAAAGGCCTTCAGATCCAAACTTGCCATTTTTTTGGAACAAGTACAGGCCAACAACTTGACGCACTCTTAGTAGTGCAAGGTCTTTACGGCAGAAGCAACCACTGTGTTCCCCAAGTCATTTGCATGCGAGATTATCAAAGACCTGCAGTTTCAGTAGCGGTTTTCAGACATGGATTCAAAGACAGAAGAAGTGAGGCTATTTCAAAACCCATTTGAAGCAAATGTGGCCAGTTGCAAAGATGAACTGCAACTGGAAGTGATTGAGTTGCAAGCAAATGTGGCCAGTTGCAAAGATGAACTGCAACTGGAAGTGATTGAGTTGCAAGCAAATGTGGCCAGTTGCAAAGATGAACTGCAACTGGAAGTGATTGAGTTGCAAGCAAATGACCTCCTTATAGACAAGTCCAAAGAAGGGCGGGTGGGTTTTTATAAGTTTTTGCCCATGGAAGACTCTTCTAATGCCAAAACTTATATATCAAAGTACCTTTCAAATTTTAGAACAAGATACCTGTGTGAACAAACATTTTTAAGAATGAGATACGTGAAGAATAATTTGAGGACAAACTTGGACGTCGAGTGTGTTGTCGGCCCCAGATAGTGTTTCTTTCAGATTTTTTTCTCCGAGGGAGGGACACTTGAAATTTGTATATATTTCTATATAAATTATATTTCGTTGGAGGGGAGGGGGCGGTAGACGTTCTTCTGGGGGGGGGGGGGGGGGGGCTCCACCCCGAAGATATGCTCTGAAGAAACTCTGGCCCCCGAACTGATATTTGATAGTTAATGCGGCACTCGGGCTGAAAAGTTTGGAGACCCCTGCTTTAGAGCTACGTGTCAAATAATCCTAACCAATAAAAAAATTCTAATTAACATCATGCCTAATTAATATCTAACACAGTAGCTGCCACAATTTGATACACGGTTAGAAAATATGTTTCTAACCACAAGCTTAGATGGTGACTGGTAGCGAATCATTCCTTGCCACGGATACCACTGTGTGTGGTCTGGTTTGTAATAAAGCAATTGAATGACCCAGCATTTCAGAGGCGTAGCAACCCCTAACGTCGCACGGGGAGAACTTTCAATTTGGCGCCAGCACCCCCCGTGTATATATATTTATATATATATATATATATATATATATATATATATATATATATATATATATATATATATATATATATATATATATATATATATATATATATATATATATATATATATATAAATATATGTAAGCTTGTGTGCGACAGTCCGGAATAAGTTTTATATTTACGGTGTATGGTTTTCTTTCCTTAAAACCTAACCCCCCCCCCCCCCGGAGAGATGCCTGGAAGAAATACTGCAGTCAATAACAAATGCAGAACTAGTTGTACTGGTTGAAGAAGCAGTAATAACCAGTTTAATAACAGTGGCACCGCCCAAGATGTTCTGATTAGAATCAACAGCAATAAAACGAGTTTTAACATTCTAAGCCAATGTGGAATTCAAACACGAATATATATATATATATATATATATATATATATATATATATATATATATATATATATATATATATATATATATATATATATATATATATGTATTGAATTTTCCACAATATGAAAAATTTCTACCAACGCCTTAGTAGAGTAGCTAACAAAGTATCATCATCTCATTGGCTGTCTAATCTCGAAAGACGATTGGACGGTTGCGCCTTGCAATCCCATGTAAATTCAAGGACCAAATGAGCTGATGATCATACTGGTAGCCATTACAGAACTTGAATCCTTGTCTTCACTCTCATAGAAGATAACTCGACATTGAGTTGCAGTTGGCCGTAGCTACTTTCATAGGCCTTTCAAGTTTTATGCAACGCGTGAGTGTAAATTATAAGACAAACTTTAGTTTCAGTGAGAGCTTAATGTATGGCGTGATCTAACGTACAACTGGAGCCTCTGTTATCAAGGACATAGAAACGGAGACGTTTTGACGTTTTTTATCACATCAGATACACAGAACTTTTCTGCATTTCTTTCCCATCTATACCAGAGCGGGAGATCTCTGGTTTATAGAAAGATTTTTATACATACGCGACTTGGTCCTAGTTTCGACTCTTCTATACTTTTCCTTCCTGCTTCCTCTAATATCATTTGGCCCAGCGTAAGGACAAGGAGCGGTCAAATCAGTCTAGGCCGCACCCAGACTTACTGTGGAAAACGGGTGGGGAGTTAGCCCCAGGCTCGGTAAAACGCGTCTGGGGCTTCTCTTTTTTTTTTGCGTGAAGGGATGTAATAATCCTTAACCGGGCCCTCATCATCTGGGGAAGAAGCTCATGGCCGTGGGAAGCCAGCCATGGGGGAGTAGATCTTGCGCTGCTCAAAATGGCCACCCCGAGTGGGCTCCCAGGTTGGGCCGGTTGGACACCTCGGTCAGGTGCACAGTGAGTCTGGGAGAAACGTAGGTCAGCGAGACTACGATGACCATAAAATCACTTCAGCAGAGGCGTAGGAAATAAAAAAATTGAGGGGGTGGGGTGCAAATCGATAGTATCTCCCCGGGCGCCGGGAAGGGTCGCTACGCCTCTGCACTCCAGGCCTGGGGAGTGGCCATGTAGCTGGCATCAAGGCAGCCCCACCTATAAAATGTCATGAAAAATGCAAAAAGTAAAGCGTAAAAGTGAAACTTGGGATTGACGGACACGTAGCGGGGGTGTTGGTAGAACCCGGCTAACAAGGAACGGGAAAAGACTATGAGGTTGAGGCCGTGTAAAATTCGTCTGGTGAGGTGCGGCGAGCAATGCCCTGACCGTCTCAGGGGGACTGGTTCCCCTCGACCCAGAATGTTTAAGGTCCAGGGCAGCGTAATGAAAAGTCAAGCAGTGGAAAGTTCAGGTAAAAAAAGACTCCGCGGGCCAACGTCCCAGCCGTTAGTGTGGGAGTCGGCGCGGAAGCACCTTTCAAAACGAAAACCGTGAAGGGAGCTTTGGCCATTCTGAAGTTTAATATATACGGCTTAGGCGACCAATTAAGTCAAATTGAATGTCACGATGCATTGTCTTCATGTCTTGACCCCCTTACCAATTACGAACCGTATCTGTCAGTTACAAGTGCCTGCAATTTCGCTCGGCCGTTTCGATCTAGACAGACAGACAGACTGACGACAGAGGAAGCAAGTTAAATAAAAGCTTGTAAAAATTGTTTAAACGACTGAATTTGATAGCAGAGTCTGTCTTGGGGGTCATCCATAAATGACGTCACGCTTTTTGACGATTTTTACCTCCTCCCCTGCGATATTTTTCCAAAACATATTAATATATTTTGATGAAGATTACATCGTTCGATTTTTTTTCATCATTGAATTGTTTCTAAACGACAATACAATTTAATTTTACACTAACATTTCAGCGATAAACTTTTATTTCAAAAATATAAAGTCGGCAGCAAAACATTTGTTTAGCGCAGTAAAAAAATGGCTTAAATAAAAAATAATTTGCTTGTTGACGGTTTAAAAAAGAAAGCTCATTGTGTTTAATTTTTTTTTTTTAGAAAAACAACCCGCAAAATAGAAGGATGAAGGAAATTTTTTTACTTCTATGTTTATGCATGTTAGATTTAACACCAGCGTCTGAAGTAAGTAATTAAGTAATTTGAAACAAAGACTTTGATTGCGTAAGCTACCTCGTGTGTATGAGAGTGTTTAGGATACACGATTTGTAAGTCGTTGCTGTTCTATGTGTAAATGTTTGTCAAGTGTGTGTGTGCGTGTGTCTGATCGTGCAAAACGGTACTGTGTGATTGTGTTTGTGATGATTTATGCGTGTATCATGTATATGTAGTTTTCAAAGTAGGGTACGTCGCTTTTCTGAAATTAATTAAATTTTAGTTACCTTGTCCTGATTATATATCACGTAGTAGATAGGTGTTGGTTAATCATTTTTAATTCTTGTATAACGGAGGCTGCTGGGAGGGGGTGTAGAAAACAAATATTTTTTAACAGCTTATAAAAATGTATAAAACAATTTTTTTTTCTAAAATTCAATTCCAGCCTTATCATTATTTTTTCCTTTGTGCATCCAAGACACATGTAAAGTAAAGTTACCTTTGAAACCTGACGGCCTATGGGGCAAGTGAAGTAGAGTTCACTTGTTTCTATGACCTCGACATATGAAGAGTTAGTGTGGTCAGCACTATGCCCAGCCGCCTTTACTTTCCCTAACCTGAGTTAGGTACCTATCAGAGTTGGGTGGACTCAATGACGGTCCACTGATTTGAACCCGGATTCGAACTCGAGACGTATGGGTTAGCAGTCCAGCTCTCTACCGCTAGACCACTCCATCCCTCAAGACACAATGGGCCGCCACAAAAAAATGCTCCCTCCACTTTTGTTTCGGTACTATTCCTGCGCAGTCCGGCTTCTGTCAGCCGCTTCCCCAATGTGCGCCTCAACATCTTCATTGGGCTTTACTATTTTCTTTTTCCTTGAGGAGTCCACTTCAGCGCCATTCCTGCTGTATCATCTGGATTCATTCTTAGAGCTTGCCCCAATCGTGTATCATTTGAAATGGTGTTAGGCCAGTGCATGCCAGTTAGTTTGGAAAGAGTCAAGGGAACGCCTGGTTGTGGTTGTTAGTTTGCAGCACTGTTCAGATTGGTAGTACAAATTCGCAGGCCACATCCCTGCAGACACATTTATTCTTTTATAATTTAATTTTTTTTATTCTAATGATGAATTTCTCTATTAGTATGAGATTTAATAGCTTTTTCTAGCTCTTGTGTGCAGAGGCGTAGCGACCCGTCCCGGCGCCCGGGGTGAACTTACATTTAACTAGTATAAACAGAAAACATTATAAAAATGTATACAAAATTAAATTTATACACATTTAATTTATTATAGACTGTAAAAGAAATTGTTCGGGCAAAAATAATCGTGGTCTCCAGGCTGCTGCTTTATTAGCCTCCCCCCTTTATCCCTAACTGGCTGAGGATGTGTGTTCGTTTGTATTTGTGTTTGATTGCAAGTGTGTCTGAGTGCGTATGTGCAAGATTGCGGTACATGTATTCGTTTGTATTTGTGTTTGATTGCAAGTGTGTCTGAGTGCGTATGTGCAAGATTGCGGTACGTGTGTTCGTTTGTATTTGTGTTTGATTGCAAGTGTGTCTGAGTGCGTATGTGCAAGATTGCGGTACGTGTGTTCGTTTTTATTTGTGTTTGATTGCAAGTGTGTCTGAGTGCGTATGTGCAAGATTGCGGTACGTGTGTTTGTTTGTATTTGTGTTTGATTGCAAGTGTTGCTGAGTGCGTATGTGTACGATTGAGGTATGGGTGTGTGTGTTTGTATTTGCTCGTAAATCAGTTGAATAAGGTATAAATATTTGCGTCTGTATTTAATCAAACAAGGATTAGACAGGAAATTCATTTTGTTCAAGTAATGCTCAATCTCTATAAGACTATAATACCTATTGCTTTAATTACACATGGATGCCAGTTGTTTCATTTATATCCCAAACTGGGTTCAAAGGGAACACCTTAACATGACGTTCTTTCTAACAATAAAGTGGTTTATATCAGAGGCGTAGCGAGGGCGGGGCGGGGGGTGCGGACCGAACCGGGTGACACCATTTAGGGGGGGGGGGGTGACACAAAGCTGAAAAATTGCATTAAATCCTAGCTTGTAGAAAGCGCCATCAAACCACAAAAGCAAACACTAAAACAAACACAAACAAAAGACAAACACAAACGCAAACATAAAAGCAAACGAAAACAAATCCAAATCCAAACACAAACCCAACCACAAACTTAAACCCAAACCCAAACACAAAGAAAACACAAATGCAAACAAAATATGGAAACACAAATGCAAATACAAATAGAAACACACTCGCAAGCGTACACAAAAACAATACCTTAAAATAATGCAAATAAACGCAACCATAAACACAAACTTAATTATTAACTCAAAGTGCTCAAAGTCTAGCCCGGTTCGCCAAATCGCACCATGCTGGGGCGCCGGCAGAACCGCCTGATTCAACGTAGTAAACGACTATAGTAATATTTCTTATCCATTGTCTATCGCACTGTTTAAAAGCAAAATTATACACCATAGCTCTCACATGATACCACAGGGCGCTAAATCGAACCCTGCCAGGGCGCCTGATTCAATTTAGTGAACGACTATAATACCCTAAGCTTATCCGCAAACGAAAATATAGAAGTAAACAATGAGGACTTTTAAGTGCGGCTTGTAAACTGTTATTTATTTAAAATAATAATTAGTAAACAGTACGTTCAGAGTATAAAATAAATAAATGACAGCATTTTCCTTACCACATTTTGCACTTGATCGCTCCACTCCAACGAAATAATTACTTTTTCTTCCCAACACCAAATCTAAGTAATAAAAATTTAAACCCCCCCCCCCCCCCCCCCGTTGTGGGTTTTTAAAAATGGGAAGTAATTGTGTTTTTGCTATTTTATCAAGGGACGTAATGAGTGCTAAATGTAAATATATTTCAGATACAATAAGAATTTTTGTGAAGGGTAAAACATTTACTTTAATTTGTTTAATGGAAATGCTGCCAATTAACAGTGTACGTTAGAAAAATGAAATTTGCTTTATAACAAAAATATAATTATTTTTATATCATTAATTTAGACGATTAGCACTTTAAATATACAACACTATGGCGATCAAGATTTTTTTTGCTACACTCTTTTGTAATCACGCTGTCCGCTGTCACATTCAGAATTCAACTTTATATATTAGATTTACAGTAGTTTCGACATTTTGGAGAATTATAATGTTTTCGTGTCCTACCCATATATGTGTGCTTGTAGAAGCGGTTAGTAGTCAGGTTATCAAAATGTTATATTATTATATGATGAATGGTCATCTACGAATGTTTTTAGCGCAATTTCCATTCTGGAGAATTGCGTTTATTAACTCGTCAAGGATGGATGGATGGATGGATGGATGTCCGCAGCTTTAAGTCGTATCTCCTCCTCAAACGAAGCAATATCGAGGACTAGTTCCAAAAGCAAAAAAGTTAAGCAAGTTCCAAGGATGATTGTGGGCCAAAAAATTCCCGGGTTTCCTTCCTGGATTTCCCGGAAAAGCCAAAAAATCTAGAAAAAAATGCAGTTTTGGCCCATATCTCGGCAACCAGACCACTTAGCGACTTGAAACATTTACCATTCGATTCCTGCCATAATTTTGAACAATATTGCCGAAGAAAGTTTTCAAAAATATCCTTTCGTTCGGTCACAAAATTTAAAAAAAAAAATGACATTATACATAATACATTACAGTACTATATAGCAAAATCGGCAGTGGAAGGCGAAGGAGGACGAGGGTAAATCATGTGACCTGCTCAGCAGCGAACTGCGCGAGCTGGCTTAGCAGCGAACTGCGCGAGACGCAGGCGAAGGAGGAGGATTCATGTGACCTGGCTTTGTCCCCGTGTGTGCTTTACGTTACGACAGAGCTATTTTTAGATAACATAAGGAAATTGCGCTTAAATTGTCACTAGACTTTTTAATAACTTGTTTTTAACGTGTTCATGTATATGAAGGCAAATGTTCAATTTTAATTACACTAAAATTTCTTTACTAAATGCCAGCTAAAGAGATACTACATTGTACAACGTCTATTTTATTCAGCTTTCCTGTGACACCCAGCTATGGTCGAGGTACCATGATGGGGCTGAGGGCATATTGTTTAACTTGACTGCAACAATCGGCAACTTAGACGACACAGCACTGTACGACCCCAGCGCCTGGACTGATCAACTGTTGATTCAGGTCAGCTCACTCGTGTGTGTATGTGTGTGTAGTCTTATTTGATGTGTCACGTGTGTGTAGTGATGTATGATGATGTGTTAGGTCACGTGTGTGTAGTGTTGTATGATTCGTGTTGTGTCACGTGTGTGTAGTATCGTATGATGTGTGTTGGTTGACGTGTGTGTAGTGTTGTATGATATACGTTGGTTCAGGTGTGTGTAGTGTAGTATGATGTATGTTGTCATGTGTGTGTAGTGTAGTATGTTGTGTGTTGGGTCAGGTGTGTGTAGTATCGTATGATGTGTGTAATGTCACGTCGTGACCTGAACCATTTAAAACAGCTCTTGTAGTTGGAACTTTGACCTGACGTGGGACGATAGAGTTTTGAAAGAAAAAGTTATTTTTAAAACGTAAATTTAAATTTGCGAATACGTTTGATAACATTACACAAGTAGGTGGCGCATTGACACTAATCGATAGACCAAACATTTTAAGTATGTCCCTACTCAACCAACAAACTAATGTGTTTCCCTTCTTTCTCAAATATAGCGTCAGAAAATCCCCCCCCCCCCCCTCCCAAGTCCGCCTATTAGGGGTCATCCATTTATGACGTCCAAAAAAATTGTGATTTCAGTCTCCCCCCCCCGTCTACACGCGCCCACTTTCGACGAACCCCCCCCCCCCCCCCATTATGGGCGTCCACAAAAATTTAGTAGACCTCTAAATACATGCTGTAAAATAACTGATTCAGTTACATGTAATGTGTACATTAACTAATAATGTGATATAAGGGTTTGATATTTTCGGTAACATCGATTACTAGGCCTAAATAATAATTGGGACTTTTTCAAGATGTCCGTAAATCTATTGCGTGTTAACTTACCAGATGAATGTGCTAAAACTATCTAAAATTGTTCTTTATTGAAAGAGTGATCGCACATGGTCGCTGTGTACCATGCCTCTCGATTTTAAAGGCTTTTCAAACCGCTATTTGTTATACAGAGTCATAGAATGCAGGCAGAGAATTTTTGCAAATCTCGACGTTTTACAGCTCCATGAGTCGGAAAAAAACAGTTTTGCAATCTTGTCCGTATGTCTGTGTGTATGTGTGTGTATCTGTGTGTGTGTGTAAACAAGATAACTTGAGTACAGTTACAGCTAGGTTGATGAAATTTCATATATACGTATTTTATAAAAATCGTAAATCCGTATTAATTTTTGAGCGATTTCCGATAACCGGAAGTGGAACTTTTTCTACTTTGAATTTTTCAAAATCCTATAACTTGAGTACTATTTCAGATAGATAAGTGGAATTTCTCGTGTTAGTAAAAGATCCAATTCTCTGCCTTCTATCAAATTTTGAGTAATTTTTTTTTACCGAAAGTAGTAATTTTCGCTATTTACGATTTCTCCGCACTATTATGCACATTTTATTTGGCGTTCACTTGGTGTGTAGTTCTTTTTTCTTCGAGATTTTATTCTAGTTTAAAAAGTTTAAGCATTTAAAATGGAATAAAAATGAAGTCTATATCCCGAGTTGCCATCCCCTGTTGTTTTACATAAGAATATTCGAGAAAGTTTAAGGGAGATCACTCCCGTTTTATTATAATTGAAGATGCTCTAGACCGAACTTTTTACTGTTATTTGTGGCTGTCTAGCTATCATTATCAACGGCCTGATATTGGTTCGGGTAAATTCGGCTAATCAACATGATGTCATTATGTTACTTTTACTCAACTTTACGCTGCATGTGTTTCCATAACAAACCGCCTCTCCCCTTTTTTGTGTTCGCGCTGAACGTTAGCCCTACACACCTGACCAATTGAGCACATTATGCACGTGCTGATATTTACTATCTAATAGCAACGTGGTTGTTTTGAGTATTTTACTTGAAAACTATTACCAGATCTACATAAACTTAGGCTTTGACACAAAATAATAATGTTGTTTAATAAATAATGATAATTGTTTGAAATGTTTAAAAATACAATTGAAATACCATGAATTGTTATAGAAAATTGCCGCGGTCACCACCACATCCCTCCCGCTTGAAAAAAAAAATCGCTTATTTTCTTAGGCGGGTAGTAAACTGTTACATTACTGATACATTTACCACGAGAATTGCCGATTAGCGCATAACCTGCATTTTCAATACATTTTTTAAAATTATTTTATAAATCATCAAATTTAAGTATTTTGTGGTTTAATTCCGCCTCTCAGAGCAATTAAACTTATCTTGAGTCCATTACTTGATAAGAAAAATAGATTAAATATGTTATTGTTTTTAATCTTTAAAAAAGCCCAGATTATGAACAATGTTGGACCTCGATATATGAAACGTAATTAACTCAGATTGATACTTTCCAGATAAACATATCCAAGCCGGTTTTACTGAGGAGTCTTCTAGTTCAAAATGAGCCGGGAGATTCTGGTCGTGTGACGGAGTTTGAGCTGCATACGTCGTACGACTGCTCTACATACAATTCACAAGTGAGAACTCCGTGAGAGCGGTGCGCGGACCTTTGACCATTGGTGCTTTGACCATAGGGGGCTTGACCATAGGGGTTTTGACCACAGTGGGGCTTTGACCATAGCGGTGCTTTGATCATAGGGGGTTTGACCATAGGGGGTTTGACCACACATGTTTTCTCAGCAGAGGGTCTTTGATCACAAGCGCTGTGTCCGGCTTTGATCACAGGTAAGGTACATATATCAGTCAGCATTGTGTCATCCCTCGCCATTTTTACTTTCTCGTATATACGAAGTATAGAGAAAGTCTTGTAATCGTGTAAAAAAATCTCGACGTTTTACCACTCACTGATACGGAAAAACATAATTTTGCAATCTTGTCCGTTTGTCTGTGTGTCTGTGTGTGTGTCTCTGTGTGTGTGTGTGTGTAAACACGATAACTTGAGTACCGTTACAGCTAGGTTGATGAAAATTCATATATAAGTATGTTATCAAAATCGTAGATCCGTATCAACTTTTGAGCGATTTCCGATAACCGGAAGTGGTACTTTTTCTACTTTGAATTTTTCAAAAGCCTCTAACTTGAGTATTATTTCAGACGAGCCGACCCGCTGCGTATCATACGCCGCTATTTAGTTGTTTTATTTTCTACTTTGCAGTAATTCATTGCAGTAATTCATAATTTGTGAATTCGACTGTACCAATGCTGCCACTGAAAATATTTACTTTAAAACACTAACCCTCCCCCCAACCCCTACCCTACACCCCCCTACACCCCCCCGGTGAATAGCAGCCTCCTCTTAGTTACCTCCTGTAAGTTTAAAATCGTTTCAAACTAAATTATCTGCCCATAATAGCCGTCAACAAACCAGGTTCTACAATTTGTAAACATTTAGAGTGAACCACAGCTCACCAGATCATGTGGGGGTGGGGTGGGGGTGGTAGTGATAGTGATAGAGAGGAAGAGAGGGGACTGCAAAGGCGCGCTTGCAGCTTGTTTTCTAACGGCTCCCAGAAGAGAATTATATATATAGATAGATAAATAAAATTTCACATGTAAGTAAAATATCTAATTCTCTACCTTCTGTCAAATTATGAGTAATTTCCGTTGACCGGAAGTACTAATTTACTAATTTCCGATTTCTCAAAAAACGCATGTAAATTTATAAAGTACTAATAATATTGCGCACTGTTATGCACATTTTGTTTTGGCGTTCGCTTGGTGCGCAATTCTTTTTTCTACTAGATTTTATTCTATTTTTACAAGCTTTTATTTAACTCACTTCCTCTGTCGTCAGTCGTCAGTCTGTCGTAAGTCGTCAGTCTGTCTAAATCGAAACGCCGGAGTGAAAATTCGGACACTTCTACTTGACCGATACGGTTCACACTTGGCACGTGGGTCAATACATGAAGACAATGCAATATGAAATTAAATTTGACTTAATTGGATGCCTAATTAATTTTTTATGAATTAATTAAAATTTTGACAGAATTAGTAGGTATGTCTATCCAACCACACCACACGCGTCATCACGTTCAATAGCGCGTCATCACGTTCAATTGGTGCGCAATGGTTTTTAGTCATGTAACTATATTGTAAATAAAACATGTAAAGTACTGAAAAAAAAATTCATAAAAAACGTTTCAATAACAAGCTTTTATGTAATAATGCACTAAAAAGTAGAAAATAAATTATAGACTACTATTTAAATAACTATAAAGAAAAGCGTGAGTGTATTCCTTAACATTAGTAAAGGTATCCAATGGTGCCCTGTCAAAACGGCCTGGGACAAATCGGCCCTGTCAAAACGGGCCCGTTGATTTGACCCCGTCAAATCGACCCCCGACAAAACGACCCAGTCAAAATAGCACCGTCAAAAGGGCCCCGACTTATTGGCTCCCTTTAAATGGACTCCAGTCATATTGACTTGCGACATATAGGCTCCCGACAAATGGGCTCCCGATATTTAGGCTCCCGACAAATGGACTCCCGACATATTAACCCCTGACAAATAGGCTCAGGACATATTGGCTCCCGACAAAGCTGCTCCCGACATATTGGCTCCCGACATAAGGGCTCAAGACAAATGGGCTCCCGACAAATGGGCTCCCGACATTTTGGCTCCTGGCTATTGGGCTCCCGACATATTGGCTTTTGACAAAATGACTCCCGACATATTGGCTCCAGACCAATGAATGGCATGACCACTATTGGCATAAAAGTAACCATTTTGTCCTACCTCCAATACCACTATAAACTCTTTTAAATGCCCGAATGAAATTGTTTTTCATGAACCAACATTAATTCACAAACAAATCGAGCCCTTAACAGCTAAATTCCACCAATTCTAAAGTTTTGATAATGTTTAATTTACAACAGAAAAGATCTGTTGCTTAAAAGCGATCACAGAAGTGTAAATGTATGATATAGGCTACATGATGTTTACATGATGACAACATTTTGTTTTGATAGCCTACAAGCACACTGCAGGTAGGAAGGTACAGCGTGGACCCTTCTCCCCACACACTGAGTTGGAACAGCCTATAACCGACTCAATTAAGGATGTCATAGATAGATGACCCTTAAATTAAAACATACTATATTTTATAATAGATAAACTAATATAAAATAAGGCCTGCCGAACAAGAGATGCATACGTTGTATTACATAACAGTGTTGGATAAGCTAACTCTAAAGAATATTGATGAAGGGGTCTCACTGGCAGGTGTCACATACAATGAGATCGCTTTGCCGGGAAACTTAGTCTTTACAGAAACGGTATTGTCAGTGGACCGTTTTGTGGAGAAACTAAATGGCGGGACCCTATTTGTCGGAGTCGTATTGACAGGGGCCGTTTTGTGGAAAAAACTAAATGACGGGAGCCTATATGTCGGGAGCCAAAATGACGGGAGCCAATTTGTCAGGAGCCTTATTGACTGGAGCCCTTTTGTCGGGAGCCTATATAACGGGAGACCAGTGTTTCTTCCAGACTTTCTTCGGGGGGGGGGGGGGGCGGACACTGTTAAAAGTATATATTTTCTATATAAATTATATAAATTTCATTTCGTTCGGGGGGGGGGGGGGGCGGGGCGGTAAAAAAATTTCGGGGGGGGGGGGGGGGGGGGCTTCTTCCCCCAGGAGAGATGCCTGGAAGAAACTGCGGGAGACTATTTGTCGGTAGCCTAAATGACTGGAGCCTATTTGTCGGGAGCCTATATGGCGGAATCCATATGTCGCTGGCCCTTTTGACGGGTCAATTTGACGGGGCCTATTTGACGGGGCCGATTTGTCGGGGTCGTTTTGACGGGGCCGTTTTGTCATTGGCCGTTTTGACGTCGCACGATATCCAATTGATACTAAAGTGACCCACGCTTTTCTTTATAGTTATTTAAATAGTAGTCTATATATTATTTTCTACTTTTTAGTGCATTATTACATAAAAGCTTGTTATTAAAACGTTTTTTATGAATTTTTTAAAAAGTTTAAGTAAACAAAAATCATGTCTATATTCCGAGTTGCCATCCCACGTAGTGTTAAATTAGAATATTCGAGAACGTTTAGGGGAGATCACTCCCGGTTTAGTCATAAACAGTGTTGTGTGTTACCTCTGTGAATTTTGAATGAAGTTATATATAAAAATGGGAGTCTTACACCTAGATATATAAATTGAACATTTGTTTGAGAAACTATACGTTATCAAGCTATAAATATTACATAGGAATTTAAAATAAAATAAACCGGGAGTGATCTCCCTTAACTTTCTCGAATATTCTTATATAACTCGGAATATAGACTTGATTTTTAATTACTTAAGCTTTTGAAATTAGAATAGAATCTCGTAGAAAAAAGAATTGCGCACCAAGCGATCGCCAAAACAAAAATGTGCATAATAGTGCGCAATATTATTATTACTTTTTACTTTCTCGTATATACACTTGAAATTTTAACAATTTTCACCGTATTACACCTCCGTCCTTCATCACATCTGAAGTATAGAGGACTTATTTTAATCGGGAAAAAAATTATCAATCCTGGATTTATCAAAATTAAGAGGTCTATGCGTAATCCAGTCTGAAAAACTGGGCTTTGCAATTCTGTCCGCATGTCTGTGTGTCTGTCTGTCTGTCTGTCTGTCCGTGTGTAAACACGATAACTTGAGTACCGTTACAGCTAGATTGATGAAATTTTATATATAAGTATTTTATCAAAATCGTAGACCCGTATCAACTTTTGAGCGATTTCCGATAAACGGAAGTGGTACCTTTTCTACTTTGAATTTTTCAAAAGCCTATAACTGAGTACTATTTCAGATAGATAAATGAAATTTCACATGTAAGTAAAAGATCAAATTCTTTACATTCTGTTAAATTTTGAGTAATTTCCATTTACCGGAAGTAGTAATTTACGCTACTTCCAATTTCTCAAAAAACTAATGTAAATTTTTAAAGTACTTATAATATTGCGCACTATTATGCACTTTTTTGTTTGGCGTTCACTTGGTGTGCAATTATTTTGTCTACGAGATTTTATTCTATTTTAACAACTTTAAGTATTTAAAATGGATTAAAAATCATGTCTATAGCCCGAGTTCCCATCTCCTGTTGTTTTATATAAGAATATTCGAGAAAGTTTAGGGGAGATCACTCCCGTTTATTTAATTTACATGCGTTTTTGAGAAATCGGAAATAGCGTAAATTAGTACTTCCGTTCAACGAAAATTACTCAAAATTTGACAGAAGGTAGATAATTAGATCTTTTACTTACGTGTGAAATTTCATTTATCTATCTGAAATAGTACTCAAGTTAGAGGCTTTTGAAAATTTTAAAGTAGAAAAAGTACCACTTCTGATTATCGGAAATTGCTCGAAATTTGATACGGATCTAGAAGTTAAAAAAAAAACAACTATAAAAGTTGAAATATACAGGGGTACATATTTTTTTGCATATAATTTCTAACGATGCAAGTAAATTGCAATCTTTTTTCGGAAGGGACTCTTGTTCTGGAAAATGATATTATATTTCTCTTATTAGTATTGCTACAGCGCAGAGGCGTAGCGACCCCCCCCCCCGGCGCCCGGGGCGAACTTTCAGTTTGGCGCCCCCATATCCATGTATATATATAAATAAATAAATAAATAAATAAATAAATATATATATATATATATATATATATATATATATATATATATATATATATATATATATATATATATATATATATATATATATATACATGCATATACATATACATATACATATACATATGCGTGTGTGTTTTTGTGTGTGCGACAGTCTGGAAAAAAATTAACATTTACGCTGATTGTCGTTCCCTAAAACTTCACTGGACGCCAATTAAATACCTCTTAAGATGCCGAAACGAATAAAAAGTAGAAAATCAAAAGAGCTTAGAACAGTGGGCTTCATCGAACCCGCGAGGTTCGGTAATTCAGTCTCAGGGCTTCCGCGGAGGTCAAGACACACAGCCGAGTCATTTGATTCACGGTCGGATTTGTCAGTGTGGACGATACAACTATTAAGAAGGGTTCGGTGACTGCTCATATGAAACTGGTGGGGTTCGGTACTCCAAAAAGTTAAGAACCACTGTTTAGAGTGTATTTTATAGAAGGTGCTAACCTTATTTGGTCTACTTTTGGTCTTGTCTTTAGAACAATTTCGATCATAGTAGGCCAATATTGCCATTTTGAATTATTAGTTAGGTTGAACAAAGTAATAATCAGTACAATATACTAATTTTCTTCTCTCTTAAAATTTTGGCAAAAAGTGTCGCTTCCCATCCACCCGCTCCGACAGTCTGCTATTTTACTGATCGGATAGCGATACAAGAATCCGTCATATTTGTTTCTCTTTAATGCAGTGATTCAGGCAAGATGTAATGCAATCAAGTAAAAGTATCTGATCTCTCTCGATCAAGTTGAGAGAATCGTAAAAATCGTTCAAAGAACTATAGTCGCGTTATTACTTAGCAAAACTGGGTAGTGAAATCGTACATTAAGTGTTAATACAATTGATTTCTTTTCTAAGTGTTAAAAGAGTTATCTAGCAACCGATCCAGTACAAATCCTGCGCTTTTTGTTAGTGAAAAAGCGCCCCGACATCTTGGACAAAAAAGGTAGAGCGGATTTTAAACGTCACTAACTCATTTTTATCTTACACAATCGTAAAATACGCTCTAGTTCAATGGGTTTCTTTTCTGAGTGATATCGGTTATTTATTCCTTAATCCAGTGTGAATTTTTCCGATTTTAGTCTTCGAAAAAGCGCCCCCTGCCCTCCCCATCTACGAAAGCTGGAAAGCGGTTTTTCCGGTCACTGTTTCTTAAAGATATATGTTTTACAGTTACACAATCAAGGTAGAAAACAGTTAAATCAGTATGCAAAGGCTCTCAGCCGTTAAATTTCTTTACTTAGACTGTTTATAATTCAAAACTGCAGCTTAAAATGAGCTTTTAATTTATTTTTTCTACCCCTTTTGGCGCCCCCCTAGGGTCTGCGCCCGGGGCGGCCGCCCTCCCCGCCCTCCCCTAGCTACGCCTCTGCTACAGCGTCCAGATGTAATCAGGAAACACCATCTATATGAACTATTTCACAGAACTACAGGATAGTATACGTGAACAATGGCGAGTTTGAAACTGTTCTCTTAAACAAGATTGAGTTTGTTTCATGTCTAAAGATGGTCATTACCGATTTCATAGAGATTATACCGTCTCTTAGTCTGGAACTTGTAGGCTGTGGTGAGTTTCTTCCCTTTATATATTTTTTTTCTGAATAAGGAGAAAAATGCATAATAGTTTATAGGTAAAGCTCCCTTTTGGAAAGTGACGGTCCACGGGGCAAGTAGAGTTCACCTGTTTCTGTGGGCTCGGAATATGAAGGGATAGTGTGTTTAGCACTATCTCCAGTCGCTTTGCCTTTTCTAATATGAGTTAGGTACCCATCAGAGTTGGGTGGACTCAGAGACGTTCTACTGACTTCAACTTAGATTTGAACCCGAGACTAGCAGTCGAACAGTCTGCCGCTAGGTCACGCCGTCCGTTAAAAATAATTCATAGCAGCCATATATTTTAATGTGGCTCATAAAATTTTAGTACATGTCTGTAATACAAAATATATAGGTATACAATATTAGTGGTGTAAAATTATATAAAGAACATCCGTTTATTGTCTTTTTAGTGCATATTATTATATTACAGGGGTGGGGGATATGCTGTCAGGTTTCACATTAAGTTCTTGTTACTTGTCTTTGTTAATACAGCTGTAACACAAGATGGAAGTTGCTTGCATCCTGTGCCACTACCTGCAGAACGAAATGGAAGTGGTTCGTTACATAGAGTCAGAGACCTGGCCTTCGATCAGGAAATTCTGTTGACATGGCTGACAGTAGAGCTGCACTCTAACCACTCGGCGGTCGAAAGTTATTTCAATATCTATTACAGCGCCAACTGCACCAATTTGTTATATTACGACTTGGATAATGCAACATTGGTAGGTATTCAGCTTGAAGTCTTACACTACAGAAACATGTGCGCCATCTAACCGGATTCTGCGGGTGGCCTTTTTTTTTAGTTCGCCACTGACCCAAAGAGCAATTATTTACTTATTGTAGACCCAAACGGTTTGGAGGGCCAGAAATAGAAAGTGCAGGCTTAAATGAGACAAAAAAAGTAATGAGTAGTTAGTGATCAGTCAATCGTCCCATATCACTATATCCATGGTCTCGGTCGCAAACCGTCTAACTCCGAAAATGTAAATTTTACAGGAGAGACAAAAAACTGATTATTTCATTGTTGATCGCTCTAATACAATTTTTTAAAAAGATATGTGCGAAGAAACTCTCTACCGACTATACTGTAGCGTTTTAAAATGAGTTTTGTTAATATTTACAACATTATAGCAGGTTTAAAAGATAGTCGGTTTTGCACCAGGAAGAAGTGCATTTAATAGAGTTGAAAGAAAAATGGCGCCACTTAGCAATGAGCTCACGGGATTAGTTTTACCATATGACCACTACGGCAGTCATTTGGATGAAAGAGGAGTCACAATAGACACAGATTTAGAGAAGAGGAATTTTCAATTTGCCGGAAACACTTTGGCAGAAATATGATCACACTTGACAGTGGATACATTTCCTACAGTGGCAGAATACATAGACCCAGAAGAGTCTGAACTCCTTGAAACGTCTCTGCTCTCAAAGGATCAGCTTTGCACGATATTCATGTGAGAACTAGCCAGTATTTGACTCAGATCGTTAAATGCATGGATGGTAAATGTTGCTCAAAGCCAAGAAGCTCGTTTTTCAGATTAATAACTGATATATTTCTTCCTCCACCTTTACCAGTCGTCCAAACAAGCTGTGGACTATCAATACCTGAGCGTTCAACAGATGGCTCTTCACATAAATTTCTTTTTGCTGCTCAATGTATAAAAGTGGATGAAATCCTCCCCCTCGCACAATCCCTTATGATTTGTATTGTCCGTCTGTTCAATCCGTGATCAGCGACAGGGTTTGTAAAAAGTGTCACTCATACTTCTCTTCATTGGTTATGCTGCGCAATCATTCCTTAACTCACAAACAGGATTCATCAATTGTGCCATTACAGCGCATCAGGCCTCTGAGAGTTGCTACACGTCGCCAACGTGAACTGATGGTTATAATTGCCAATGAAATTAATGGTGAGAGTGTAGATTGGATAGAAGAGGAAGACCTTGATGTAAAGGGAATTCTTATTCCATACGGGAAAAAAATCAATTCCGTCCCTGTGTTTTCAATGAAGGAACATTCTCCATGGGAGAATGAATTAGCTTAAATATTACAACTTTTTAATCGAGGATTGCCATGTTAATAATGTTGTAAGTAGTTTTTTTTAATACTTCGGTTAATGATCTTGCTAAGGTTTAGAAATATGAATGTATATAGATATGGTCGGTTAAGTTATAAGTATAACCTGTTACTGATATTATTATTAAATCGTTATTAATAAAATTTCTATAAAATTTGCTTAGATTTAAGTCAGTGTGAGGGTATTTCTTGTCCTATTTCAACATCCTCTTCGCTAACAGCAAAACACGCAATTTAATAATCTAGTGGAAAGTTTTTACCATAAAAAATCTGTGACATTTATATTACTTTGTAAGAGATGACATCTATTAAATCCATCATATAGGCTACAGTAAAATATACCAGGAAAATTGAAGGTCTGGGCATAGTTTTAACAGTTAAATAATTTGCATATTATACTAAATATATTGTTATTCTCGCGTGTGTCGTCATGTCTGCAAGAAATACCTACATTTACATTAAGTATTTTAAAAAAAATTAATACTTTCAGCTTTGACATTACCTCACTGTATTATTGTTTACCTGCTGGTGCCACGTATGGGTCCAGCACGCTCATTATTAATGCTGTGTCAACGAGGGGTAATTTTAAAGGGATGAAAACACAGTAAATTTAAAACAGGGTAAATTAGAGGGTGGTTGGGGTGGAGTGTGACGTCATTTTAGGGGGGGGGGGTCTGACTTTCTGTGACGATGTGTGACGTAGGGGGGAGGGGGGTAAAAAATGTCCAAAAAAGCGTAACGTCATTTATGGACGATCCCTTAGCGTGGATTGATCAAGTTTAATGTGGTAGGTATTTTAAATACTGCCTTTTATTTATTTTCTACACTGAACTTACTGTTTACTAATTATTATTTTTAATTATAGACAATTGACGTAAAATAGACATCTTTATTCGGGAGCGGGAAATCTCGCAGGTTATTATTTGTGTCTCTTTTTTGCGCACGACTGGGAATTCGTTTTTGACTGTCGAACCAACCATGCTGAACGTCGTCTTTTTTTTACACCACCATAATGCGTACCTTTTTACAAGCTTTTATTTAACGCACTGTCTCTGTCGTCAGTCTGGATCGAAACGCCCGCGCAAAATTTTGGGCACTTCTAACTGATAGATTCGGTTCAAAGTTGGCACGTGGGTCAAAATATGAAGACAATGCAATTCGACATTAAATTTGACCTAATTGGATGCTTTATTATTTTTTAATTAACAAATTAAAAGTGTTTCCAAATTAGTAGGCAATAACAAGCATTTATGTGCTAATGCGCTAAAAAGTAGAAAATAAATTATACTCTACTATTTAAATAACTAAAAAGAAAAGCTTGGGTCTCTTCCTAAATATTAGTAAAGGTATCCAATATATACTGAAGTGTATAAATTGATATAGAGAATTTGAAATCCCCCAAAGACAATCTACCGCTCCCCCTCACGGAATTCATATAGAAAATATACTTTTACCAGTGTCCGAACCCCCTTCCCCCGCGGAAAATTAAGTCGACCCTCCCCCCCGCCCCCCAGGAGAAAAAAGTCTGAAAAAAACACTGCATGAGACGACACTGACTGTTGAACTGTTCACACAAAAAGATACACTTATCAGTTATACAAGAATGACATATCACCCCCCTCCCATAGTACAAACGTAGTAAGCCTTCTATTATCCATAACTCTACTTTAAAGTACTCTAAGTTTATTCGATCAAAACAGTAGGTATTCAGCCATAAAAGAACTTTATAAAAGCCACACCCAAAAGATCCAACATTGCTAGTATTGTCAAGACTTATTCGCAATTTCTGGTCTAAACTGTGACATAAACTTTGATATTATCGTTGTACCTAATAGATGCAACTAAAATATCAAAGAATTAAGAATGTAATTATTCCCTTAAAAAATTATCACTTCAACTGTTTTCAAAATATCTGTATCCTAGTTGAGTGTCATGTCAAATGACAGAAAATCAAAATGGATGACAGTTAAACTCAACAACCCAGTCAGTGCCAAATGTCTTGCCTTGTATCCTTCAGTGAAAACAGACATTGGGAAGATCTATACTAATAGATGCAGTAAGTCATATCCAAGATTTTAAATTCTATTTGACACTAGACGTTTCAGATAGGCCATGCTCCGGCCATATATAGCCAACAATCCTAAATTTAAATGTTAATTTTTTTTTAAATAAAAAATTAAACACAAACTTAATGTGCAAAAGTTACAATTTTACAAGATTCTAAAATTAATCTAAACATCACCTACCATTCATCGACAACACGGTTCGTTACGAAAATATGCTAAAAATGTAAATACAAGAAGCACCGGAGTCACATTATACAGAAATCCGCTGGTTAGATACAAGATGAAAACCGCAAAGCCTTACGTTTAGCTAAAAGTAACAATGGGTACGCTATTTATTTCAACCTGTTAAACACACTATTTCAAATAACAGACCTTTACGAAAAAGAAAACGAATATCAAAATTATTTCCAACTTAAGACATAACTGAAGCAATAAATACAAACCTATTTTTAGACATAATCTGTAACTCTGATTAAAAGTTAAACTGTATCCTCAATTAAAACTTGTTTCATTAAAATCTTAATTCAATTCACAAAAATAAACCAAATATTTCAAACTATTATATAGCACAACATGGGGCATTTCTGCCACATTCATCGGCTTTACGCTATAAGCGATTCCGATGAGCGACCACCCTTAAAAACGGTGTTACTAGTTTACACGTTGTGCGTTTTCGCTCCTTTCAGAACATGGGGTTTCTGTAAAATGGTTCTTCTCTCTACGATCCGTTGCCACTCTTTTTAGCTTTTCCCAATTCTTTCCTACCGTTTCTTCCTTCTCCAGACCCCACCCTACGTGTCTTCCTGAATCGTTTGTACTGGGGGTTCCATTTCAGGTCCTGTCCTTATCTACACCAGTGCAGAGCCGTAGCGACCCTTCCCGGCGCCCGGGGACAAACTTTCGATTTGCACCCCCCCTCAAGATTTCGATTGCACACCCCCCACCCTCAAACTTTCGATTTGCACACCCCCCCCCCTCAAACTTTCGATTTGCATCACCCCTCAAGATTTCGATTTACACCTCCCCCCCTCAAACTTTCGATTTGCCCCCCCCCCCCCAAGCTTTCATTTTTATTTTTCCAACCCCCCGACCCCCCCCCCCCCCCTCTCGCTACGCTACTGCGCCAGTGTCCTTCCTCAACATTCGCCCAATCCATAGCATTATCTTCTCCATGATTTAACTTTCTACTGTTTCCTATCCACACATCTCCCATAGCTTTGCTGCGTTCTCACGGAAAGATCATTAAATTAATTCTCAAAAAACCAATATTATTGCCCAGGTAAATTTACACTAGTAGAAAATTTTAAGAGTTAAAACCAATTGATCTGGCACACAGATCGGTCCGGCTGTGGCGTCAAACCCTCTGCTGACCATGGTAGAACAAAACGTATTGTCAATGGGGTGATTAACAGAGTTGGAGAATGGCCCTGGCTTGTATCTCTGCATCACTTGTTGTAAGTCATGGTTATTTAAAACAAAATTGTTTTGCCTTGAGTTATACTTTAAACATTTAAGTGAAGAATGTAATTGTTTAATCCATAATGTTTCTACTTTCAAGTAAGGAATATTTGCTTTTAGATTGCTTAAGTTAGAAGATCACCCCCCCCCCCCCCAAACAATTTTAAAGTAGGAAGTATGACATGTTTATTATAACATATTTAGAATCGAAATGCATTTGTTTATTAATTCAACATTTTCGCAAATATTTAAATTACTATTAAAATTATATGCCTTTTTATGCACCGCACCAGCCAACTATTTGTCTAGCTACAAATATTTACTATTAAATAGCCTTAAGAATAAAACAGTAACATTAAAATGTTTTACAAAAAAGTATCAATTATTAAAATCTCCACTCAATTATAAATTAATTAAACTTTATTTAGATGCGAACATTCAATAATTGTAGTCTGTTCATCGTGCCCAGGGAGCTCAGTATACATTTGTGAAATGGGTTTACTTATGATGTTAAAGTATATGTATAATTCACTTAAAATGGACCACGCGAGACACCACCACGTAAATGCACGTCGTTACTCCCACGCTCTCTAGGCATATAACGACCACCCCAACTTCTACCATTCTGGTGAGCTAAGGTTCAGCCCGAATGTTTAAAATCGTAGAGGCCGGTCGAATTAGTAACGGCTATTAGGGACAGATACTTTAGCTTCTAAACGATTTGAAACTAAGGAGAGCTAAGAAGTTCTGCTTGATCTTTTCATTGTCGTCCGTAAACTGACCTCACGTACTGCTTCTTTTACAGCGGCGAGCTGGGGGGGGGGGGGGGGTGGAGGGCAGTGTCGAATTCATTAACTATGAAGTACTGAAAAGTAGAAAATAAAAAAAAAAAACTAAATAGCGGCGTATGATACGCGGCGGGTCAGCTAGTATTTTTAAAAATGTCAGGAGTTTAAAACTACACGGTGTTGAAATTTTTTTTCAAAGTTCTATATTATTCTAATAATGTAGCGTCGTCTGATTTTACCTTAATGACAATTCTCCCAACAACCTAGAAAAGAAGAAAGACACTTTCTTTTACCTCATACTACCATATTACTAACATATTTAAAAAAGTTATCTCTTTACAAGCTGTACAAAAGCTCTCGTTTTAAATAAAATGTATAAGTAAAGTTCTGTGTTGTTCAATTTTAATTAAACTATATGATAATTAATTATAATGTTAGCACCGGGAAAGTTGGCTTTACTAGAATATCTGGCTACAGACATGTATGCGGCGGATCTCTAATCTCACCCAGCTGGGTCTTGACCGCTGCCCACTGCTTCGCGTAAGTAACATCTAGAAATCAAAGATTATAGCACAATAAAATCGCAAGGGAAATGAATTGCATCATTGCATTCTTCCTTTACGTCCCCTGAGGAGCAAAGAGCTGCAGCCACACCCATCCTCATGACTCGTTTTTGTACATCTCTATCTTTATTTGCATCAACGTAAACCCTGGAGCCTTTGCCTCTTCTACTGTTTTTCTCCAGGATTTCATTGGCCGGTCTACGTTCCTCTTCTACTGGGGGATTCCAGTCTAACACCTTCCTCGCAATATTATCCTCTACTCAGTGTTTGCCATATCCATCCCCATTTGCGGGCTTAAATGTCCCTGTCTTTTAGCTGCTGTTTTGGTGTTGAGCCACAGGTCTTTATTTGATAATTTATCTGGCCATCTTATCTTGAAATAATCCACCATTATAACGATACAAGTATCCACATTTTTAGGGGCCTACATTTGGTTTAAAGAACGCCCTTCATTAGGGATTAGGTGGGATTCTGCAATCAAGGACTAAACTGAATGAGTTGCGTTGTTGGTTTCCGCTCACGCACTGTAACGTCCCCGACACCCAAGCTGTTGACGAAGGGGTGTTCAACCTAGTTTTTGCGGAGGGTGGTCAATTTACGCTTAAGGTTTATTTATTCTCACGGGCTAAAAATTGACTATCGGTCTTGAGGGAAAAATCTACTTACATTACACGGACTGGTAACCAGACCTGAATGAAAACATCAGTGCAAATGATAACATGTTGCCTTCCTATTATAGGAATGCCCTCTCCAACGTCAGCAACTGGAGAATTTACTTCGGCCTACACGACCTCACTGATGACAAGAACGAAAGAGTCCAGATGAGGTTAATTGAAAAAGTATACATCTACCCAATGTACAACGGTAAGTCAAAAAAGTATAGCTGTCATTTCTAATTCTGCAAAATATAGCTGTCATTCGTGTGTCACCAAATTATTACTGCGTTTTTAAAGTTAAAAACTTAAGCTGCTATTTATGAGTTATCTATATCTATATATATAAAAAGCAATGTATGTCTGTGTGTCTGTGTGTGTGTCTGTCTGTCTGTCTGTGTGTCTTTTATGCATTACCACACCTCTTATCACATCGCCGTGAAACTTTGGGAAGTTGTTGAGAATATTCCTGGGGAGGTATCTGAGAAAAAAAATATTTCAAATTCGCAGGGGTGGTGCCCCGGTAGGGCGCGATTTGTTTTTCTCTATATACGGTATATAAAAATAAAACTTTCGTCAATACACGGTTTGGCGCCCAGAGTTTTAGAGCGACTAAGTTGGCACTTGGCATCCGTTAATCGAGCGTCCTGCATAGCGAGTAAGGGGTACTACTATATTCATCGGTAAAACTACAACAGGCTTCCAAAAATAACTTTGTAATGCGAGGAAATCCTTCTGTACAGTATCTTCACCTTGCGAAAGATGAAAAAATAACTTTTTGAATATGAGGAGCCTACTGTAGAGTTTCGTCACTTTGCGAATGATGCAATAAGCATCTATTATTAGACAATCCAGTCAGAAATTGAGATCGAGAATCTAATAATAGACCATTAGTAACGCTAGCATATTGCATCAGTCACACTGATATTTAAAACAGATCAAATAATTTTTTTACGTGTTAAAGAAAAAAATCCTGTTCATTTGTGTCACTTTAGCGAATGACGAAATCTGCATCATTATTAACAGGATGCTATTTGGCCGATGGCGCCTGTTAGTTTTAATGAGCCAGGGGTCGTACGCCGCGCCTATGCGGTAGTGTAATCGGGGGGTGGGGGCCCTGAGAGCGCCCCTCTAAGTCTCTGACACAGAGGCGGTAACCGAAGTGTGTTCTACCATATTATTTCGGTGAGTGCTTAATGTACACTCAAGGTTTTCATGCGGTAGTGTAGGTAAACCCGTGTCCCGATATTTAAGATCCAAGAACAGGCATTGTTTACATTTAAATAACTCATTTTTAGAAAAGAAGGTCACGCGTCTAAGAACATATAATTATAATTGATAACGCGTGGGTGAAATCCTAATATATTTCGTCAAACTTTCTTCTATCACCGCGGCAACGCGCGGGGGTCGGGTACGCTAGTTAATTATAAATGAGCAGTGTAGCAACCATTCATAGGTCGGAAACGTAATGCTGTCATTCATTCTATAGTAGGTTAATTATTTAAAAAAACTGTCATATTTATTTGTTGTCCATTAACATGACTTGCTAACCCTCAGATACTCTGAATCTTAAGCTATGGGACATTGCCCTCGTCCACCTCAGTGAACCAGTCCAGTACACCAGGTACATCTCTCCCATTTGCTTAGATGAGTCGGAGCTGTTTTACAATGAAAGCCGATGCACTGCCACAGGATGGGGACCACTAAGACTTGTTCCAGGTGGCAATTTGATGGTTACCCACACAACATACATGGTTAAATAATAAAGCTATTAATGTTTGCGTTTGAAGATTTTCTAATTCATAGCTCAATATAAATATACGAGCGTAGCATATGCCGCTATTTAGTGACTTCTTAAATGACACAGTTGCCCAAATAGTGTGGATACACACTGTTGCGCATGCCTGGAGAGCGCGGGAGGGAACGGGAGGAATGATAGAGATCTGGCGTGCGTGCCTAGTGTCCCGCATGATTGGGCGACGTAGATAATTATATATATATATATATAAATATATATATATATATATATATATATATGTATATATATATATATGTATATATATATATATATATATATATATATATATATATATATATATATATATATATATATATATATATATATATATATATATATATATATATATATATATATACTAGCCATCGGTACCTGTTTCACGTGAATTATAGGCCTATATATTTTAAAATGTTGTACTTGTTTGAGAAAAAAAAATATAAAATAGTTATTGGTCAAAACGCAATGTGCTTTATTACACGCTGAACGATATTAGTGACAAAGCAAAGAAATAACTAATTAGCTAAAAATCCTACACATTTAACATAACACAGGCACACACTGATTAAGTGACTTAAATGATTCAGTAAAAATCTCGACTATTCAATTGTATTCTTTGTGTTTTTAAAGTAATTTATTTTTTATTAGGTTTTTATGTATAGATCTATAGATTTAAATAAAATAGTCAATTTCTTCATCGATAATCATGCCATATTAAATGCACTCGCTGATTAAGAGACTTAAAATTAAGAGACTTAAAACATTTCGTTAAAAACCCGGCTGCTCAAAGGCAGTTATGTTGTTTTTATCTTTTAAAATAAAAATGTATGATGTGAATAGATTCTAGAGTAGATTATAGTCTAAATCTAGATCTTGGCGTCTACGTCTAGTTTTTCCGTATACCTAGTTTAGATCTAGAATCTCTAGATCTAGAATCTAAATAGATAAAGTAAATTTTGTAAGTTTAGGCCGAGAAAATTGTATTATATACATTTCAAAGCGTGCGTAGATCTAAATCAAATTTGAATGAAATAATTCATTTCTTTTTATTCTAAAATCGGAAGATGACGCCATGAGTTTTGTGTAAACATTAGGCAAGTGACGTCATTGTTTTATGTGTTCTTTTTCACAACTATAAATACTTTTCCTGTTGTATAATTAAAACTGTTTTTCTACATTCGAATATGCCTTTATTTTTAATTTTTCTTCTTTAAATACAATTGTGGTTATACATTTAAAACATCTACCATATTATTTTCAACAAAAATTGTATCAAGTTCTCCATATATCGCTGATGATTCTGGATTCTGATGTGATATCCGGCGAAAATATTTTGCGGACAGAGAGAGAGAATTGCGCACATGGCCTTTTATATATTAGGATATATATATATATATATATATATATATATATATATATATATATATATATATATATATATATATATAGTTAAATAATCTCCAAGACTTTTGTTTAGATTTTGCCTCTAAATCTGATACCGCAGGATTTGGTTTTCCTGTTAACCGCTTCCAAAACTCAGGTAACCTGAGGGTCATTTCTCCAGTTGAATGCGATTTGATCGTAACAGAAACGGTAGGAGATTCCCCCATTCCACGCACTGTGGTGTGCACATTGGGAGACGTATACGATGAATCAAATTCTACTAATCGTAGTCCATGTAATGTACGATCCTTTCCATTATAAAAACAGCAACAATTTAAATGTACATTTTATTAACAAAATGACCAGACATCATTTTCTGTATGCTGACTGTAATTAACAGTATAGATAAATATAATCGTTAACAAATACGCTTTTAAAACAAAAAAAAATTTAAATAAAACTAACAAAATGTTTTATTGTATTCTATTAGTAGAAACAAACTTTGTTACACTTTGTTTCAGTTTTAATAAACCACGTGGAACTAAAAAGTTTGACTTAAACCTATTTATCTCGTCTAATTCATAAATTATTCAAATAAAATCACCGCAAATTAAATAAAGTAAATTTTGTATTTCTTCATAAAAAGTAATGAGAATGTCACTTTTTCTCAACGGCGGCACTATCATTTTCACTCTGAGTGTTGTAAAAACAAATTGTAATTTTTTTTCCATAGGGTGACTCAGGTGGGCCACTGATGTGTGAGGTGAGTGGACGCTGGTACCAAGTTGGGATAGTGTCGACGGTCTACGGCTGTGCGCTGCCAGGACTTCCAAGTTTTCACACACGAGTGACCTCCTTCAAATCTTGGATTAAAGATACCATGGCCTTAGAAGAGACAAATGGCTAGTCTGTTTAATATTATAAACAAACAACTTTCTATTTAATACTTTCTAAACAACCCAGAGTGTCACTTTGCTTGTAATTTACAGTTTCATTATCCTTAAATTATATGTATTATATATCGTAGTGACATAATTCATGAACTTTTAATTGCATTTCCTTTAATATTCGATACACTTGTAAAAGGATTGAAAACGTTTGGGTCTTAAAATAAAATTAAAAAAAAAAAACGTGTTTTTTTTACATTTAAAAAATTATTAGAGCTTTTGTCTGTCTGTCAGATTTAATGAGCCAAAGCACTTGTGCTCATCAACACAGCATAAACTAATTCTACTAAAGTTTCATATTTTATAGATTAATCTATAACATGTAAGCCTATATGTCAACTAAATATATTTAAACACGGTTTTTTGAGATTAGGCCACAACGCACACATAACAGAAGGAGCTCTATCAGATTTTTTTTATATCTAAGAGCTGACCTAATTACGTAGAAACGATATAGGGTCGGCTCAAGGCTAATGTGCCTTTACATAACGGACAAGTCTGGGGAGTCTAGAAACAGAATCAACAACAGAATCCATCCCATCCTTCCATCCATCTATCCATTCATCTATATATCAATATCATCTATATCTCTATCTCTATCTCAATCTCAATCTCTCATCTCTGATCTCTCATCTCTGATCTCCCATCTCCCATCTCTCATCTAGCATCTCCCATCTCCCATCTCCCATCTCCCATCCCCCATCCTTCATCCCCCATCTCCCATCTCCCATCACCCATCTCCCATCTCCCATCTCCCATCCCCCATCCTTCATCCCCCATCTCCCATCTCCCATCACCCATCACCCATCTCCCATCTCCCATCTCTCATCTCTCATCTCTCATCTCTCATCTCTCATCTCTCGTCTCTCGTCTCGTCTCTCGTCTCTCGTCTCTCGTCTCTCGTCTCTCGTCTCTCATCTCTCATCTCTCATCTCTCATCTCTCGTCTCTCGTCTCTCGTCTCTCGTCTCTCGTCTCTAATCTCTAATCTCTCATCTCTCATCTGTCATCTCTCATCTCTCATCTCTCATCTCTCATCTCTCATCTCTCATCTCTCATCTCTCATCTCTCATCTCTCATCTCTCATCTCTCATCTCTCATCTCTCATCTCTCATCTCTCATCTCTCATCTCTCATCTCTCATCTCTCATCTCTCATCTCTCATCTCTCATCTCTCATCTCTCATCTCTCATCTCTCATCTCTCATCTCTCATCTCTCATCTCTCATCTCTCATCTCTCATCTCTCATCTCTCATCTCTCATCTCTCATCTCTCATCTCTCATCTCTCATCTCTCATCTCTCATCTCTCATCTCTCATCTCTCATCTCTCATCTCTCATCTCTCATCTCTCATCTCTCATCTCTCATCTCTCATCTCTCATCTCTCATCTCTCATCTCTCATCTCTCATCTCTCATCTCTCATCTCTCATCTCTCATCTCTCATCTCTCATCTCTCATCTCTCATCTCTCATCTCTCATCTCTCATCTCTCATCTCTCATCTCTCATCTCTCATCTCTCATCTCTCATCTCTCATCTCTCATCTCTCATCTCTCATCTCTCATCTCTCATCTCTCATCTCTCATCTCTCATCTCTCATCTCTCATCTCTCATCTCTCAGGTTTTTGGCTGATGACCTATTTTGTGAGTGAATAAAATTCCAATACTTCATAGTAAGGTTTTTGGCTGATTTGTGTCTATACCGTTTTAAAAGGACCAAGTAACAGAAATCGATACTTTACAGCTGCGTGTCAAATAATCATAACCAATACAAAATTGTAATTAAGATCTTGCCTAATTAATTTCTAACACAGTAGCTTTCACAATTTGATACATGGTTAGAAAAATATATTTCTAACCACAAGCTTAGATGGTGACTGGTAGCGAATCATTTCTTGCCACGGATACCACTGTGTGTGGTCTTGTTTGTAATAAAGCAATTGAATGCCCAGCATTTCAGAGGCGTAGCAACCCCTAACGTCGCACGGGGAGAACTTTCAATTTGGCGCCCTCACCCCGCGTATATATATATATATATATATATATATATATATATATATATATATATATATATATATATATATATATATATATATATACATATATATATATATATATATATATATATATATATATATATATATATATATATATATATATATATATATATATATATATATATATATATATATATATATATATATATATATATATATATATATATATATATATATATATATATATGTGTGTGTGTGTGTGCGAAATTAGAAAAAAAGGGCCACCCCGCAAAAAAATGTTTTGGGTCCCCCTATATATATTTTATATATATTTTATATATATTTTATATATATATATATATATATATATATATATATATATATATATATATATATATATATATATATATATATATATATATATATATATATATATATATATATATATATACATATATATATATGTTGAATTTTCCACATTATGAAAATTTTCTACCATCGCCTTAGTAGAGTAGCTAACAAAGTATCACAATCTCATTGGCTGTCTAATCTAGAAATACGATTGGACGGTTGCGCCTTGTAATCCCATGTAAATTCAAGCCATTGCAGAACTTGAATCGCTGTCTTCACTCTCACAGAAGATAACTCGACAGTGAGTTGCAGTTGGTCGGGGCTACTTTCATAGGCCTTTCAAGTTTTTTGCAACGCGTGAGTATAAATTATAAGATAAACTTTAGTTTCAGTGAGTGCTTAATGTATGGCGTGATCTAACGTACAACTGGAGCCTCTGTTATCAAGGACATAGAAACGGAGACGTTTTGACGTGCAGCTACCCCGGGGGATCACCTTATTTTCGTATTGATAGGGATGAGAGCCCCGTGGGTGGCCAGCTGTAGCTAAGGGTTTTTAGTGTGTAACGGGTGTCTCCCCCACGTTGCCTTCTGGGTTTACCAAGTGACAACCCGTAGCTCTATTATGGAGTGGTAAGGGTTTCGGTAGATTAATATCCTAATCTAACCTTCTTGAATGAAAGTAAGGCAGAGCTTCCTATCCTGCGAGGTAGTTGCAACTAACAGAGTTTCTTCCAGGCATCTCTTTGGGGGAGGGGGGGGGAGGGGGAGGGGGAGGAGGGGGGGGCGAGCCCCCGAGGAAAGTCTACCACCCCCCCCCCCCGAACGAAATGGCATTTATACAGAACATATATACTTTTAACAATGTCCGCGTCCGCCCCCCCCCCCCCCCAGAAAATTTAGTCCCTCCCCCCCCTATGAAAATTTCAAGTGCCCCCCGGAGAAAAAAGTCTGGAAGAAACACCGGCACCTAGAAACAGGGCAAAGCGTTAAGGTGCACAGCCGTCCCTTTGGCTTGTAAAAGCAACTCTTAAAGCCCATACAATTAATATAAAACACAGAGAGATTTTCGTATCCAAATAAATCTGTACCGTCTTTGTTTGTTTATCAAACTCAGCATACAGCCAATACAGTTGGTTCTTCTGCAACTAAATGTTTCTTATCACATCAGATACACAGAATTTTTCTGCATTTTCTTCGATCGCTTTATGATTTTAATCCTATTTCTTTCCCATCTAGACCAGAGCGGGAGATCTCTGGTTCATAGAAAGATTTTTATACATACGCGACTTGGTCCTAGTTTCGACTCTTCTATACTTTTCCATCCTGCTTCCTCTAATATCATTTGGCCCAGCGTAAGGACAAGGAGCGGTCAAATCAGTCTAAGCCGCACCCAGACTTACTGTGGTAAACGGATGGGGAGTTAGCCCCAGGCTCGGTAAAACGCGTCTGGGGTTTCTCTTTTTTGCGTGAAGGGATGTATACTAACCGGGCCCTCATCATCTGGGGAAGAACCTCATGGCCGTGGGAAGCCAGCCATGGGGGAGTAGATCTTGCGCTGCTCAAAATGGACAACCCGAGTGGTCTCCCAGGTAGAGCCGGCTGGACACCTCGGTCAGGTGCACAGTGAGTCTGGGAGAAACGTAGGTCGGCGAGACTCCGATGACCGTAAAACCACTCCAGGCCTGGGGAGTGGCCATGTAGCTGGCATCAAGGCAGCCCCACCTATAAAATTTCATGAAAAATGCACAAAGTAAGCGTAAAAGTGAAATTTGGGATTGACGGACACGTAGCGGGGTGTTGGTAGCACCCCCGCTGACAAGGAACGTAAAAAGACTATGAGGTTGAGGCCCTGTGAAATTCGTCTGGTGAGATGCTACGAGAAATGACCTGACCGTCTCTGGGGGACTGGTTCCCCTCTGACCCAGAATGTTTAAGGTCCAGGGCAGTGTAATAAAAAGTCAAGCAGTGGAAAGTCCAAGTAAAAAAAAAGACTCCGCGGCCCAACGTCCCAGCCGTTAGTGTGGGAGTCGGCGCGGAAGCACCTTTCAAAACGAAAACCGCAAAGGGAGCTTTGGCCATTCTCAAGTTCAATATATACGGCTTGGTGGGCCGGCTGGTGGAGCTGAACAAAACCCTAGCGGAAAATAACATCGATGTGGCGGTGCTAAAAGAAACGTTGCTAAAACCAAAGCAAAATGCAATGTGACTGGCTATACGAGGAACTACTCATCGGTAGCTAGCGGAGCGGTGATTTTCACCGACTCCCTTTCGAACAGAGGTGCGAAACGCAAGGTCGCTACAACCCCCGCTACATACAGAGATTGTGTTGTAAGGCTTAACGAAGCTTTCAAACAGGAGTGGGAAAAGGAGTGGACAGAATGATTCAAAGCCAGTATTGTCTACAAGCACATGAATAAATCATCGAGGGTCGATCCATGGTGCAAGTTGCATAGATGGCAGCAGTCGATCATTACCCAGATTAGGACAATGCCCATCAGTCAAACTTGCACGGCTTGAAGGTTGCCCACGTTGACCAGGTTGCCCACGTTGACCAATGCCGACACTACAATTTAATAATTAATTCATAAAGAATCAATTAGGTGACCAATTTAGTCAAATTGAATGTCACGATGCATTGTCTTCATGTTTTGACCCACGTACCAATTACGAACAGTATCTGTCAGTAAGAAGTGCCTCCTATTTCGCTCGGCCGTTTCGATCTAGACAGACAGACAGACTGACGACAGAGGAAGCAAGTTAAATGAAAGCTTGTAAAAATTGTTTAAACGACTGAATTTGATAGCAGAGTCTGTCTTAGGGGTCATCCATAAATGGCGTCACGCTTTTTGACGAATTTTACCTCCTCCCCTCCGATATTTTTCCAAAAGGTATTCATATATTTTGATGAAGATTACATTGTTCGATTTTATTTTCATCATTGAATTGTTTCTAAACGACAATACAAATTAATTTTAAAAGAACATTTCAGCGATAAACTTTTATTTCAAAAATATAAAGTCGGCAGCAAAACATTTGTTAAGCGGAGAAAAAAAATGGCTTAAATAAAAAATAATTTGCTTGTTGACGCTCAATGTGTTTAATTTTTTTTTTAGAAAAACAACCCGCAAAATAGAAGGATGAAGGAAATTTTTTTACTTCTATGTTTATGGATGTTAGATTTAACACCAGCGTCTGAAGTAAGTAATTAAGTAATTTGAAACAAAGTAAGCTTCCTCGTGTGTATGAGAGTGTTTATGATACACGATTTGTAAGTCGTTGCTCATCTATGGGTAAATGTTTGACAAGTGTGTGTGTGTGCGTGTGTTTTATATGTCTGATCGTGAAAAACGGGACTGTGTGATTGTGTTTGTGATGATTTATGCGTGTATCATGTATATGTAGTTTTCAAAGTAGGGTACGTCGCTTTTCTGAAATTAATTAAATTTTAGTTACCTTGTCCTGATTATATATCACGAAGTGGATAGGTGTTGGTTAATCACTTTTAATTCTTGTATAACGGAGGCTGGGAGGGGGTGTAGAAAACAAATATTTTTAACAGCTTATAAAAATGTATAAAAACAATGGTTTTTAAAAAATTCTTTCTAAAATTCAACTCCAGCCTTATCATTATTTTTTCCTTTGTGCATCCAAGACACATGTAAAGTAAAGTTACCTTTGAAACCTGACGGTCTATGGGGCAAGTGAAGTAGAGTTCACTTGTTTCTGTGACCTCGACATATGAAGGGTTAGTGTGATCAGCACTATGCCCAGCCGCCTTTACTTTCCCTAACATGAGTTAGGTACCCATCAGAGTTGGGTGGACTCAAGGACGATCCACTGATTTGAACCCGGATTCGAACTCAAGAATTATGGGTTAGAAGTACAGCTCTCTACCGCTAGACCACTCCATCCATCAAGACACATGGGGCCGTCACAAAAAATGCTCCCTCCACTTTTGTTTCGGCACTATTCCTGAACAGTCCGGCTTCTGCCAGCCGCTTCCCCGGTGTGCGCCTCAACATCTTCCTTGGGCTTTGCTATTTTCTTTTTCCTTGAGGTGTCCACTTCAGCACCATTCCTGCTATATAATCTGGATTCATTCTTAGAGCTTGCCCCAATCTAGCGCCATCTTCTTTTCTTCTATTTTTTTTTTTCGAAAAAAAGCTCCCATTTACGTCCCGCCTAGTCGTGTATCATTTGAAATGGTGTTAGGCCAGTGCATGCCAGTTAGTTTGGAAAGAGTTAAGGGATCGCCTGGTTGTGGTTGTTAGTTTGAGTTTGCAGCACTGTTCAGATTGGTAGTACAATTTGTAGGCCACAACCTGCAGACACATTTATTCTTTTGTAATTTAATTTTTAAAAATTCTAATGATGAATTTCTCTATTAGCATGAGATTTAATAGCTTTTTCTAGCTCTTGTGTGCAGAGGCGTAGCGACCCGTCCCGGCGCCCGGGGTGAACTTACATTTAACTAGTATAAACAGAAAACATTATAAAAATGTATACAAAATTAAATTTATACACATTTAATTTATTATAGGCTGTAAAAGAAATTGTGGGGGCCAAAAATAATAAAGCAGCACCCTAATCCCTCACTGGCTGGGGATGTGTTTTCGTTTGTATTTGTGTTTGATTGCAAGTGTGTCTGAGTGCGTATGTGCAAGATTGCGGTACGTGTGTGTGTGTGTGTGTGTGTTTGTTTTTGCTCGTGAATCAGTTGAATAAGGTATGAATATTTTATTCGCCAGAACAATATTTGCGTCTGTATTTAATCAAACAGGGATTAGACAGGCTTTGAGTCAAACCGACAGTCAAACCAAAAGGTTTTTTTTTCGTAATATAGCCCATATAAGGTCAGTCGATGTCAGTTTTGACTTCCTCTACGTGGACTTGTAGGCCAACTAGCACCGGCCTTCGTGTTCTATCTCCCCAAGGAAGACTCATGCCAAATTTGAAGCGCCTGCGGCGCCGGGAAGTGCCCCAACGGGCACCCGACAACTTTGCTTTATGTATATAGATAAATCTTCTGTTTAACAAGTAATAAAGAATTTAACATTGGGTAGAACATTTTACAATTAATCCACACATTTAATTAAACTACTGAGTAATTAATTAAAATTCCACAGCAGGATAACTTCGAAATGAGCAATTATTACAAAGGTCTAGCCGGTCGATAAATGATACGTGTCGTACTACCATTGGTATCTTTTTAATGTTAAGCTTGATATACATAGGCGAATCAAAATGATAAGTAAATGGGTGGCTTAGCAAATAACCGTCACCATATAAAAATAAAAATAAAATAAAAATGAACGTCAACGTCAACGTCAAAGTCAACGCACGCGTACGCGCACGCGCACGCGCACGCACACGCGCACGCACACGCACACGCACACGAATACGTACACGCACACGCACACGCACACACACACGCACACGCAAACGTAAACGTAAACGTAAACGTAAACGTAAACGTAAACGTAAACGTAAACGTAAACGTAAACGTAAACGTAAACGTAAACGTAAACGTAAACGTAAACGTAAACGTAAACGTAAACGTAAACGTAAACGTAAACGTAAACGTAAACGTAAACGTAAACGTAAACGTAAACGTAAACGTAAACGTAAACGTAAACGTAAACGTAAACGTAAACGTAAACGAACACGTACACGTACACGTACACGTACACGTACACGTACACGTACACGTACACGTACACGTACACGTACACGTACACGTACACGTACACGTACACGTACACGTACACGTACACGTACACGTAACCGTAAGCGTAAGCGTAAGCGTAAGGGTAAACGCAAACGCAAACGCAAACGCAAACGCAAACGCAAACGCAAACGTAAACGCAAACGCAAACGCAAACGCAAACGCAAACACAAACGTAAACGTAAACGTAAACGTAAACGTAAACGTAAACGTAAACGTAAACGTAAACATAAACATAAACATAGACATAGACATAGACATAGACATAGACATAGACATAAACATAAACATAAACATAAACATAAACATAAACATAAACATAAACATAAACATAAACATAAACATAAACATAAACATAAACATAAACATAAACATAAACATAAACATAAACATAAACATAAACATAAACATAAACATAAACATAAACATAAACATAAACATAAACATAAACATAAACATAAACATAAACATAAACATAAACATAAACATAAACATAAACATAAACATAAACATAAACATAAACATAAACATAAACATAAACATAAACATAAACATAAGCATAAGCATAAGCATAAACATAAACATAAACATAAACATAAACATAAACATAAACATAAACATAAACATAAACATAAACATAAACATAAACATAAACATAAACATAAACATAAACATAAACATAAACATAAACATAAACATAAACATAAACATAAACATAAACATAAACATAAACATAAACATAAACATAAACATAAACATAAACATAAACATAAACATAAACATAAACATAAACATAAACATAAACATAAACATAAACATAAACATAAACATAAACATAAACATAAACATAAACATAAACATAAACATAAACATAAACATAAACATAAACATAAACATAAACATAAACATAAACATAAACATAAACATAAACATAAACATAAACATAAACATAAACATAAACATAAACATAAACATAAACATAAACATAAACATAAACATAAACATAAACATAAACATAAACATAAACATAAACATAAACATAAACATAAACATAAACATAAACATAAACATAAACATAAACATAAACATAAACATAAACATAAACATAAACATAAACATAAACATAAACATAAACATAAACATAAACATAAACATAAACATAAACATAAACATAAACATAAACATAAACATAAACGTGCACAAGCACAAGCACAAGCACAAACACAAGCACGAGCAGAAGTACAAGTACAAGTACAAGTACAAGTATACCTGATCCTAATCAAAGAATACAATATTGAAATAAAAATGTTAGTGGCTCTTTGAAAGCTGGTAATTTAAGTAAATGGTAACTTTCGGCTCTTCCGTCTCAAAATGTTGCCGTCCCCTGGTCTAGGCCAGTGGATGCTGTTTATCGTTCATTGGTAGGCCTACTAACTATACAAAACATCTAATATGTAGGAGGAAGAAATGGTTGCATTCCAGCATTCACTGATATACAAAAGAACGGTTAAGGCATTATCTTTTTAAAAAAACCGGCATTCAGTCTCTTTCTTCGATAGCCAGTTGTTTTTTGTTTTTTTTTAAATCTCGCCTGGCTTCAGTTGTACATGTTTTATTGTCAGACAGTCAAAACTATTTTTTATTCAGTTTAAAAAAAATATATTAAGAGGAGGGGGTAACACTCCACCGGAAACGCACAATTGCTGGACACGGTGGGGGTGACACTCACTAAACGCAGCGGGTGATATCGAACCTAGTGATGCCACTAATTAAATACAAAATTTAAAAGTTGCTCATGATTTATTTAGATGTTTTTTTCTTTCTTATAAGTTTGCAAAATGATTAATATGTTCCTTGAAGTCCATTTTAGCTGCTTCTGTATGTTCGGTACTTAGGATGGCCAAGTTACTGACCCAAACGGCATATCTACAACATCATAATAATGGAGAGACTCGGGGCACCTATTCGTATACTACTGCCGAGGCGGCTGGAGGACACCCCTTATTTTCTTTCTACGTATCCCTATGGCATGGCGCTTATTAAAACAAGTGTGCCGTAGTGCTCACGGGGGTGGGGGGGGGGGGGTAGGGGTAGGGGAGCTCGGGCATTGGCTGATGCACTTGCAGTTTGACCGTTGAATCTAGCTGTAACCGTGACCCCTTGTACAAGTCCCATAATCAACTCTGGGTGGCAAACCGAACTGCCTTACTGTAAATGAGCCGGTCTCTGAACAAAATTAAAAAAAAAATTTAATAGCAGAAAACTTTACAGGAGTTTCTTTCTGGTTTCTATTCGAGGAGGGAGGCATTGCTCCTCGTGTGTTGTATTGTGGTAGGTAATTTTACGGTCAGTAGAGATTTGTCTGAATTATTCTAAACGACTTCCCAATGTTTCTTTGTGATTGGATCATTTTTGTATTAATGCACAAAGGACAAGGAGACAAACAAAAATTAGACAAATTAGATCAACAAA